CAGTCAAATAACATCCTCCGCAACTGCAGGTCTTCAATTACATCACTACATAGCGATGCATTGAAGGCCAGTTATTTTGTTCACCAGAAGGTTTTGCTAATCTTGCACATAACGTGGAGTACAGCGTATCTATACACAACGGATTTTGATTTTAACATTGCCTTTGTTAAATATGCAAGTTGCCTTGAGTATACAAATACATTTTCCTTGCCCATTTTATTTTTTTTTTACTTCAGAAATGATTTCACATTCCAAAAAAACAAAAACATGTAAATTTAAATACATGGGTGTCAAACTGGTTCCATAAATGGCCAACATAGCTGCAGGTTTGAAAAATTCCAACCCAGCAGAAGCACACCAGTCTCCACCTTTTACTCAGATCTCAAGTGAGTCCAGGTTAAGACTGGACTCACTTGAAGAAATGCAGTGGAGTCTAGTGTGCTCCTGCTTGGTTAGAATTAAAACTTTGGAATGGATGGAGTTGCATTTACAAATAAAAGTTTCATTAACACACACACAACTTTTAAAGCTGGTTTAGGTCTGGCTCCAAGCTTCAATTCTGAACTTTTATCCCCCTATACCAGCCCCCCCGCAGCCTTAGAACCTCAGGCTCCCTGTTGGCCATTCCAAGGTCGAGGCTCCAGATAAAAGATGACCAAGCTTTCTATGTCCGGGCCCCTCGGCTCTGGAACAACCTGCCTGAGGAGAAAAGACTAGTTCCATCAGTATCCTCTTTTAAATCTCTTCTCAAAACCCACGTTTACCAAATGGCCTTTAAATGCTTGTTTTATACTTGGTTTTTTGTCTTTCTTGTTGTCTGTCTGCTTTATTCTCCTGTATTATGACTGTTTTTCATTGTTTTTACTCCTTATGCTGACTGTTTCTTAAAAGTGCTACACACATAAAGATTTATTACTATTATTAACGGCAGCACATGTGACTAATATGAATGAAACCAACCCTGTGATTAATAGCCCACTGCACAAACACGGTTAGTCATAGTTTTAGGGTGCAAAGGGTGGAAACCTGCTCTGGGACATTCCTGCTGCTGGGGAAAGACTCTTCACATTAAAGAGTAAGAATCTGAAAGACTTTTAGAACATGTTCATGTGGAGGTCCAGAATGACTAAGTCCAGATCCGACCCGACTGAGAGTCTGTGTGAGGAACTGAGGAAGGCTCTGCTCACACCCTCCTCTCAGCACTAGATCTGGGGGAATAATTACCACACAACACTGGATGTGAATGGAAACAGTCCATGTGTGCTGAGATCACAGCTCAAGACACTTTGAAATATTAGTGTGGAAACGTATGTATTGGACAGTGCATTAAAGCCTGGTTTTACCACACCATCGTACAATTTTCAGTACGTACTAAGGTCGGAATTTTCTCCATTGAGCTCCGTTAACAAGTGGGAGGGGTTAACTCATTTTGCAGATTGAAACGATTGGATCTAAGGAGTTTGCCGTCATGTTTGTATTGCGCCCCAGTGAGTCACTAGCATTTAGCATTTAGCCTAGCCATCTCCATTGCCACTAACGGAGCCTGTGGGGAGTAAAACCACAACATCTTTGCCAGCAATGAAATTTGCTAAACATTCCTCTTGTTTCGGCTTCAATTTCTTGATATTTGTAGCCATACCAGAACGGATTCCATTACTATCACATTCTACGCCATTGCCAAACTACAACCAGCAAGTTCGGTGCAAATTCTCGACATCACCAACACCTACCGTAAACACCCGCCTCCCCCACGTGCTGATTGGTCGGATGGGATACAACCAAGGTAACCGCAGCCACAGGGACCAGACCCAGACAAACATGTAGGGATGGCTAAGGCCAGGCTAGCATTATACTGATGTACAAAGAAAACGTTAATATAATAGCCTTGAGCGTATAAAAGTGAAATATGTCATATGTCCTATAGGCTCAGCAAGAAGTTCCTGGGTTCGAATCCCGGTCGGAACAGGAACTTTCTGAGTGGAGTTTGCATTTTCTCCCCATGTCTGCATAGGTTTCCTCCGGGTGCTCCGGTTTCCCCTACCACTAGAAACATGCACAATAGGTATGAATGTAAATGAGAGAGTGAATGGATGGTGTTGATTGGGGGTTGATGGTCCAGTGTGTTCGGGGACTCGCTTCCGTCATCACCGTGTGTGGAATAATTGGAACAATATCTGAACTCTGAACATTGTAAAGCGCTTTGGGTGACCTTGGTCTGTAAAATGCGCTATAAAAATAAACATTACTTACTTACTTACTTACTCAGCATGGGAGGTTGGAAACTAGCTAATGTATAGCTACAATGTTGCTAATTATATGTATTGTCTCTTTAATAAATCCAAACTCAAAAACGCAATAATCTCCCCAATATTGCAAAGAAAATATGAAGATTGCCTAATTCCATGAAAAGTTAGTGCCATATGAACCAACTTGGACTCTGAGGAGCACAGGGACTGGCCTCCTGCTGGTGCCCAGAGTCAGGACCAGTGGGGGCGGGTCCCAGCACAAAAGTGGCCAAAATGACGTGCGCTGACATGCTTGCAATACCACCCCGGGCCGATGGGGGTGGACCCAGAAGAAGAATTAGCCAATGCTAACATATCGGGACTACGGATGTAAATTAGCAGTTTTGCTACAATCTGGCACATTTACAATTTGTGTACAACTTGTATATGATTGTTCATTAATGTGTGTCGTCCCGATCAAATAAATAAATAAATAAATAAGTAATCTTTATTTATATACCGCCTTTTCACTGCAGATCTGAGTCTCAAAGCGGTTTACAATTGTTATTTATGGGCATTTATCTCTCACTCCACACAGAGATGGGAGCGGGGTCGCCGGTACAGGAGGCGCATGCCAGACATGCCTATTGGACATATTTTTTAGTGGTAGGGGAAACCGGAGTACCCGGAGGAAACCTACGCAGACACGGGGAGAACATGCAAACTCCACTCAGAAAGGCCCTGGTCCGACCGGGATTCGAACCCAGGACCTTCTTGCTGAGAGGCGAGAGTGCTACCCACTCAGCCACCGTGCCGAGTGGGTAGCAAGAAGATAAGTATAGCATCTTCTTACATCTCGAAAACGTCTTTACAGGATGGACCAAAAGTTGGCTCTTGGCCCAAAGCTCCGTTCCACATGTGTGTCAATGCTGAGGGGGGTGAATTTTTTCGGTCCACTCTAGTTTACTTGCTGTGAATTTTTGAAGTCTCTCATTCAAATGAATGGAGCTGCGTGATGCGTTTTTTCACAATTTTCTTGTGGGCGGGACCACTCGCGGCCATCTTGGATTGCTCCATGAAAGCACTTTTTATGGCCAACTCCTATGAACGGCGGAGATAGGCGTGACTCTGTCCGTTAATATATACAGTCTATGGTCAGGACTAAATATGGGGTAACAGTACTTGAGATTCAGGAACAGTCTTCCTGAAATTGTGACACTACTCCGACAAATGTTCAAAAACAATTATTTTAGCTTTGCATACTGTGTCTTCACTCATTTTGAATGCACTTTATGATTTTAATTCCTTGTTTTCTTTTCAACATTTTGAGTTGCCTTGACTATGAACTGTGCTATTCAAATTTGTGCCTTGCCTTGCTAAGAAAAGGAATATGTACTCACAATATTAATATAACAATACAATGCAATTTTGCTAATAATTCTAATCTGGAGACAAAACTATGTCTACATGACTTTTCAGACGTCTCTTCTCTGCACGTCGCAAACCTGCTTTCCCTCTCACTCAGATCCATTCCCTCTGACTCCGAGCAGATAGAAATGACTACGGAGGGTGATATAGTGGCTGAATGAAAGCTGCAGATGTGCACACACCTAGACAAACAGGACAAAGGGCCAGAGAAAAAGCTGTGAAACGTCCTCACACTGACGTAAGTGCAGATGACGGAGCGTTCACAGGAGCCCAATCAAGGCCCAATAAATCACACGCCAAACACGCCCCAGGCTACTGCTAATCAGCTGAGGGGAGAGCGTGACCCCAAGCACCCCAGCGGCCCGGATCTAACCACCAAAGAGCAGGGAGAGATGCAACATGTATGGTCTTTATTGTCCATATTACCAAGAGAATCATAAATTAATCTCTTTGACTTGTCATATTCATATAATCCGTGGATGAGTGGCAAAAATGGACGCATACAGCAGGGATTACAGGCTGGGGTTAATTGTCCCTGTGAGATTATCTGTTGTAAAACTAGAATGTTTCAAAGTCAAGCATAAAACGTAATACTTCCATGGAAACTTGTTTAATTAATGAGTTTCTGTTTGAAGCAAAATACATCTGTTTCAAATTTGCATTGGCAGGTTACGTCTGAATTGTGTATTGTGTATTTGTGAGCCATGTGAGTCTCTTTATGCCTTTTTGGGCTGAGAGCTGCTGCAGGGGTAATCCAGTCTGTTGAGCTCTATGATAAGCTCTATGTATCCATTATGATTTGGCACTTTGTTTATTTTGTATTATTGACTGTCTTGTGTGCTTTTGAGTTTCATCTCCGGTGATGGCCTGCCCCACCCTCATGTATTTCCCCATGTCTTGTTTATTTTTTATTATTTTAATTTATTTTAATTAATAGTTAAATTTTTAATTTAAATTTTTGTGTGAATCATTATCCTTGATTTGTTTTTCCCCCCTTGTATTACTCTTTTTATTTACAGTCCTACATTTTGGTTTCTTTGGGTTTTTTTCAACAAATACTTATTCTTATACCGCACACCCAAGACACATACACATCACCCCAACCATAAGCCCCAGCCAGACAACTTGCCAAGACAATCCAAGTTCATACCCTAAAACCAGCAAAAACCATACCATTTCACACACTATTTACCTTTTAAAATGCCTTTTTCATATTGGACATGAATATCATTCTACAGTTTTTGTTCAACTGACTCATATACGTACATGATTCTCTAAACCACATACTGTAACAAATACTAAGCTCCCACCCCCCACCAACACACGCCCTCTGGTGGCCGGACTCACGTGTGTTCGTGTGGGATGGGTGAGGACCAGGCCTGGCACATGACCCCGTCCACCGTCACCGACCGTTGCCCGCGGTAACCCAGCCCAGTGCCCACAATGCACTCACGCACGTAATCTGAGGAGGAGACAAGAGGGCAAGATCACACATGGGAAAACATGTGGGACATACTCATGATCACAATCAATTTCACACAAAAAATCAGATAGTCACATGATTCAGAAAATATATGAATAAAGATGAACGGTCAGGATAAGAAAATGCTTCTAGTGGCAGAAGTAGTGCATTGCAGTCTCTTTTATTATGGAAGTAACATGGCGTGATGTAATTAAAGTAAGTAATGTTAGTAATGTTCATTTATACAAAGTGTTTTACAGACCATGGTCACCCACACTTTACAATTGTTGAGAGTTCAGATATTTTCAGAAACGGATTAAGGGGAAGAAAATGGATGGATGTTCAACAAATGATGTGTAATTGCTTTCATGGAGCTATTTTTTGTTGTGAATTTGTTACAAAACAAAACCAGCTACATTTCACCTAAAAAATGGCATATTCTGCTTGAACATTGTAAATATAATGGTGCATTTTGGCTTGAAACTTGTGTTCAGAAAATATGTAAAAAAATGATAAAAAAATATATAATATATTTTTTCTTAAAATGAAAATAATATATACTGTTATGACTTTTTAAGTTCTAAAATATAAACTGCTGAAGTAAAGTTCCAAAATGTTCAGATTTTTACACTATTTACACATTTCATAAATGTTTTCAGCCTCAACACATTAAAGGCTGGATTTGGAAAACGCATTTTTGTTGAGGATTTTGTTAGCAGCCTGAAAAGACATCACCCAACCGTTATCATACAGTGGGAGCATGTGTGGGAGCGTGTGTGTTTGTGTGTGTGTGAAGGTCTAAAATACAAGGTTAACAGGTTTTATACAGAACCACAGGGACATCATATTGGTTGAACATTTGCACATTTACTTTTCCGTTTTGTTTGCCTGGATTGGTCCAGCCCTGATGCGCACGTGCCTGATGAGCATTGCAGACAGAAGGAAATGTTTGCTGAGATTCTCTGACTGTTTGGTGAAAGAGGACAACGCCAAAAGACGCCTCTGTCTTTCACATCAGGTGCACACACTCTGGTCAGAGAGTCCGTGTTCGCTGGAAAGTATGCACGGTTACACTGTAGAGGAGATGCACTGAATTTGATCTTGTTTTTCCTGCACTAGGACTGAACCACTATGTTTAAATACAGGGATTATTTAACGCACTTGTGACCATTAAAAAAATAAAATAACAGCTTAGATATTTATCAATGTTGGAACAATAGTCAAGGACATATCTGCCTTTTTCTCTCATCATGCAAAAATTCCTTGAGATGTAGAGAAAAATGGCTTTAAAAAATTTATATATGTATATATACTGCCACTTTTTTATTGTACATAATTATTTCTAGCTTGGCCTTAGCAATCCGTAAACTCCGGTCAATTCTCATTTCCCTGCATTTACCGTCTGGGTCTAGTCCCAGTGTCTGCAATTACATTAGTTGAATTCCAACCGACCAATCAGCGAGCGCCGGAGGCGGGTGTTGTAGGTAGCTGTCAGTAACGTCAAGAGTTTGCGTCAAATTGGCTGATCGTAGTTTGGCAATGGCGAAGAATGCAATAGTAAAGTAATCCATTCTGGTTTTATTAAGAAATTTAAGACAGAGCAAGAGGAATGTTTAGCAAATGTAATTGCTGGCAAAGATTGTGGCGCTATTCCCTACAGGCTCCGTTAGCGGCAAAGGAGATGGCTAAATACTAAATGCTAACGGCTAACTCGGGCGCATTACATACGTGACGGTAAACTCAGATCGATCCAATTATTTCAATTTGCAGAAGGAGTTAGCCCCTCCCACCTGTTAACGGAGTCAATGGAGCAAAGCCAGACCTTAGTACAAAATGTAATTTGTACTATGGTGTGGTACAACCAGGCTAAATTATATCCTGCACAGATATTTTTTTACCTTTAATATGTTTGCACACTTCTGTCTTTTGCACAATCTGAGTGGTACTATCTATGCCGCATGTGACATGTACTTTTCTCCAGTGTGAGATCAGTAAAGTCTATCTTATCTTATCGGAAAATGCAATTTCATCCATCCCTGGCAACAATACCTACATCAAGAAAACCCTCAACCCAAGTGATTTTAATGAAGTGTCTTCTCAGATCAGTAAAAGCCAAACAAGATCCTCAAGAATTTGTGTATATCTGAAACACATCTGCTATTTTATGCTGAGAAGTTGAGGTAAAACTTTTGCCTATTGTGATCGCCCCAACAGAGAAACAGTTTAGAGCCCAATCCCTGTAAGAGCTCTTGATGTCATCTTAGCTTCATTGTAGCAAAACTAAATTGTTTTTCTATTTGAAATAAAACTTTCAATCATTCTTCACTTCAAATGAACATGCGGAAATACTTTTCACAAATACTTTCACTTGTTTTTCTTAAAGCTGGGATACATAACTTTTTGTTGTGTGTCTTATTAAGTAAAACCAAAACATGCTGTCTTATTTATAACATTTATTCTAACTGTTATTTACTGGGGGCTGATTGGTTGAGTGAGACCTGGTAATCTCTTTTTCATGGAAAAAAGCTGATGTCAAGATGTGACAGAGGCCATAAAAATACATGCATGTGAATATGAGAAAGAGAAACAAACAGTTGGAGAGCAAGGAACTAGTTACATGAAGTATATTATATAGATATTTTTTGTGGTTTAAAAGTTTGGGTATAAGTTTGGCAACTGGGGCATATCCTGTCTGACTTTAACCCACCCAAAAACAAGAAAAATGCTGTATTAAAAGTATAAAAGTAATCATCTGTATTAAAAGATCTCCACTGGCTCTGGATTCAGGCTCAACTTCACTTTGAAATCCTTTAGGAATCTCTTTATATTCTGACACATTCATTTGTTTCCAATTAACTTTGATCTAATGAACCAGTCACTGTCTCAAATCCTCAGACCTTCTCGTCTTTCTTAAAAAAACTGGAAGTAGAAAAAGTAGCTTTCTCCCATTATGCTCCATGTAATTGGAATGCTCTACCTAATGACAGCAAGGGTTCTAATGGGTTTGCTTAATTGTGTCCACCTTTGAACTATGCAAAAAGTGATTTTAAAAAAGTCAAATGTGTCTTATTTTGAGCACAAACAGAATTATCTTCTTGAAATAAGACTAAAAGGCTCGTCCCATTGATGAATCTTGTTTTAAGACAGTCAGAATAAACTCAAATTAAGATAAAAACCACTCGACGCAAGCAATTATTATCTTATATTGTATAACTTTTTGCAGTGTATGAAATGTGCTAAACATGATTGTCCTGTATTTCAAACCCGCTTTCCCCCAGGCCTTAGAAAATTTAGTTTTTAGTGTCCAAATTGTCTTTATTCACCTTCAAACATGAAGCACAGCGACTTGGGGGAAAAGTCCCTGAGATAAAGCCCATTAAAAGCAGCTTAAGTGCTTCAACCGAGACTCCACTCCAGCTCCACTTTGGCGAACCCTTAAACCAGAGCTTTTACAACTTCATTTTCCTGAGGAACAGATTCAAAGGAAACTGATGGTCTTTGGGCCAGATCACACACATAAATGAAGTACCACTTTTATCAAACATCACAATTAAAATGGTTCAACCAACTCTTTATATGTTTGTGAATAATTCAATGTAAATATCTCAAACATCATTACACAGGTAAACAATTAAAATCACGACACTGCATAGTGCTGGACTTGTACAAACCAGATTGCATCAACTAACTAAATAACTAAAAATTATAACTAATACAGAATGAAACTAGGCCTAGATCTGGACCATAGCTGTTAAAAAAATATGTCTTTATTTTTGGAGAGATGGGCATTGGGACGGTCGGACTGCTCAGAGAACCTTTTTTGTCCTCTGAGAAAATTCTGTTATTTTCTGTCTTTTAAAACAAAAGTATTACGTCCAAATTAGGGTTTGATATTTCTCCAGTCTATAATGTACAGTGTCTTTAATTGTGAGACAGTGACTAAAACTTGTGGCCATTCTTCCAGGCGAAAGACCGATCCCCTCAGACCTCTGAAGATAAGCAGGGCAGGGCCTGGTTAGCACTGTGATGGGAGACCTCTAAGAACACCTGGTGCCACAGTTGCCGCACCTGGTGTTCTCACCCACAGCCTGGAATGCGTCTGGTGTGCGTGTGAATGGCTGGTGGTGGTCTGAGGGGCCAATCCTTGCCTTGCTTCTGTCAGTGAGGCCCAGGGCAACTGTGGCTAAAGTGGTAGTTTATCACCACCGTGTATGGAGTGGAAGAATAATGACATGTGAAGCGACTGAGTTTCCTGAGAAGCGCAATATAAAACTGATGCATTATTTAAAAAGTAGAATGCAACCACTAGAGGGAGGTGTTTCACCGCTCAAGTTCCATTATACATAATTATACACTTGCTTTTAATCTAACAAACTAGTCACGAAAATGCCATTGCAGCTATAGTTAGTGTTATATGAACAACGTGACCACACATCGTCCATAGTACCGGCCCTTCCTCACTGCTTCAGTTTAATCATAAATAGTAATTAGCGGTACGCACCCTTCTTCTGGTACAAGTCAAAGTTGAAGTTCTGCACGGCCTGGATTCCTGGGGAGTTTCTGTCAAAGGACAACCATTGGCACTTCCTGTTTTTATGATCGTAGAGGAAGGCTCTGGGGAGAGAACAAACAAAGAAATAAATAAACAAACGTGTTGGTGATTACAGAGGTCATCAGAGCGCCGGCTGTTTATTTATGTTTATTTTTTATCTTGTTTATTTATCATTGGATGTGTGTGCACAGGCATGATAAGAATGAATGAATTAAATAAAAATAAAACGTTCTCAGCGTGTGCGGACATACATTACACAGCTGTAAATACTCATTATTTAATGTAAAAGGAGGAACAATGCCTAATAATTATGTTTTCATTTTCTAACAATTGTGGTGTCAGATTATAGCTTCAAGATCATTTCCGTCTGCAGACCCCGAAAATGTACCTATAGACGCCATTTACACAGGCAAATAGTGTTGCCAACAGTGAGAATCAGAAATAAAATTGATGCTAATATTAGTATTTGAAAGAATATCAATACTAAACATGTATGGACATTAATCAACATTCATGGACATCGGTCTCTCCCTACGGACCAATACATATGTGTTTTTTTGTGTCTTAACTGTGTCTTTAAAATACACAAACACACTACATTGAGTCTAAATTAGAAGTTAAAAGTCATTGTTTCCTGATTTTCACATCTGCCAAATCTGCATTTTTTGTGTGATGACCTGTAAAACACAACGTACAAGTGAGACTTTGTATTATTTTTGTGAATGCAGATGTATGTTTTATTATGCAAAGTTATCTTATGGCCTGGACTTGTGTATGTATGGCTGTGTTTTGTTTTAAAAATGTGTAAAAACGCTTTAAAAAATCTATTTGAAAAAATCCTAAAACTAAATTGCCCTCGACCTTTTTCAGTCTGAGGATTTGCATAACATTTGAGCAGAGGGGGCAGAAGTTTTAGCATGAATAGAGTTAAAAATAGCCCCAGGTGTGTGAGTGCGTGTGTGTGTGCGTGCGTGTGTGTGCGTGCGTGTGTGTGCGCGTGCGTGTGTCATGACTAAAAATGTTGAATGAGTGAGTTGTTTTTTGCTTGTGCTTAAAAGACATTAAAATTCCATGGAACCAGTATGAGAAGAACACAATGGTTCCACAGACAGTGCATTCTCAACAGGATTGAATAATAAGAAACCTGTTTGTGTTGACTCTGCTAATACACACACGCAACTGCTGTTAATACACACATACCACACTACAAACTCCAATTTTTTTTTGACAAATTACAAAACTGCTTGTTGCGTTGTCAGTATGCAAAGTATTAAGGTTAACAAGGAAGTCGTTTCAACACATGGGGGTTGTGTGTCGCTCAGTGGAAAGCTGACCTGGGGTTTTTGTACCAGTGTTTTTGCTCAGTAGGAAAGGGCCTATTGCCTCCTGTTGATGGTATTTATACTTTCAAACCATGTCTGCTCGCTTTCATTGTGAATATATGTATAAAAAACCCTACTTGTGTGCGCTTGGCTGCAGTGATGCATTGTTTTATTAGTTTAAGCGTGCATCAAAGCTCCATTCAGAGATCCATTCATTTTTTATTCATTTATATTTTCTTTCAGAAATAACAGCCATTTTCAGTGCGCCTAGGTCTTATAGAAATGTCTATTAAACCAGGAGTACCTATTTTTCAATTTGATAAAAACAATTTGTTGTCCCAATTATCATAGTTAAAGTAACATTATTTGGAGATGAACATCAGACCACAACATGCGCTCTAGTTTGTATCTTTTACAGACTCAAAGCTGATTGCTTGTCCAGGGACAACAGGTAGAAACTAGCATTTTAGCTAAAACCTGACATATTTATTTTTTTATAAGACTGATGTTTGTTTTCAAATTCATACTTGTCATAAACAAACAGCAGGATTCAATACAAAAGACATTCATAGACCGGGAGATACAAAACTCCAGAAGAAACACATATACAGTATAAGAAGATGAAACTTTGGCTCCTGTAAGGACTGCTCTTTCTTTTCTGGAAACTGTTTTCTGATAGGTTAAGTGACCTGCCGAACCAGACAGACAGGAGATGACATGTCTGGGATCCCAGGTCTGGAGCCAAAAAATGAGTAACGGCAGGGGATGTTCTGAAACTCTAGAAACATGGATGGGTTGTTCAACAACAAACCCTTAACGAACACATGCCTCCCCCCAGACCCTCTTCATCCTCCACTTTAATAATAAACATAATGTATCGTTTTTATATATAATGCTTTTCAGGACACTCAGCGATGATTCACATGTCATTATTCTTTCGTTCTTGGTGATAAACTACTACAGTAGCCACAGCTGCCCTGAGGCACACAGACAGAAGCGAGGCAACCACTATGTGCTATCGGCCCCACCGACCGCCACCAACCATTCACACCAACCAGACTCATTCTAGGCAATGTGGTGAAGTGTCTTAGCCTGACTCTCGCCAGACCCTTGTAGATCGCCGAGCTTCACACCAGGGTCTGGGTCTGCTTCCTTGTATGTGATTGGATAAACCACTTGTCTGTTATCTTGAATGACCTGTTTCTTCAACCACTCACACCGAAGCACACGATTAAACGTAATGTAATCAACTTGGCCTATAATGATTCTGTTTTTTGTCTTTCTGTTTATTTATTACCTATAAGTCTATTGGACAAAAGTATGCGGGAAACCATCCAACCTGGCAACCATGCTGCGTAGTGTTGTAAACAGGAACACTAAAACTAGTACTTAAACCATACTAAACCATACTAAACCCTTGTGTGTGAAGTGAAACGCCTCTGGTGGAGCACAGCAGAACTACAAGGTTCTGGCGAGAGTCAGGCTGCAAGTGTCTTGCCTAAGCCGCTGCCACCCCACTGTGCCATATCATGGAACTAACCAGGCCCTGCCCTGCACAGCTTCAGCGGTCCGACAGGATCTGGCTTTTGCATGCAAGTATGGGCGTTTTACATACTGGCCAAACTGTGAACTGATCATGCATTGTTGCAGCTAATATACTCACTTACATCCTGGTAATGTGTTGCAGATCCACCTTATATAGCCCTCTGCCTGTTTTTACATCCTGTACTTATGCACTTTCTATGCTCCATTACGATACGCTCAAAATGCAACTTTGTTGTTTTTGTGACAATAACAATGAATTATTGAATCTTGAATATTAAGATGAGATAAGATCAAATGTATTCATCTCACAATGGAGAAATTTGCAATTTACACTATCTTGATTGTCACATTAGCATTGCTTTTAGATAGTCACTCAAACACAGACATAAAGTGAAAATTCTGATCAACATGGCCTTTACGGTAAGATCAATGCTTTAAAATTCTAAAAGAAAACACACGTAGAGCACAGACCTGCACCAAGAGGCCTTTATGCACTCCTTGATGAAGGCAAAGTAATTATTTTTGGGATTTTCTAAGATGTGTAATGATGTGTTTTTAATGAAAATGATATGTGTTTTAAATCATAGGCCTTTACCACATGGTTGAGATGGTAAAAGTGCCTAAAACCAACTGAGATGCCCCAAAAAGGTATATTTCAGTTCCAAGCATGATTAAAGTAGAAGTAAATTGCGACAGTGAAGCTTTTTGAGTGGTAAATAATGTGGAACTTGTGCAAAAGGACCAATAGTGATCAATAACACATCATGTTATTTTCCTCCTTGTTTGAATGATCCTGGTTTGAACTTGCTCAAACACTCGTAGAATGCAGATGTTTTTCTGCGAGCTGACCAATAAGAATGCATACCTGCAGTTGAAGGGCAGTCTCTTGTTGCGGCTGCAGGCGCGTGCACACCTGGCCATGGGGACCTTCCGGCTCTTGGTCATGTTGGCAGTTACTGGAGAGGAGACGACCAGTTTGATGCTGTCAGTCCTCTGGTAGTCCTGCAGGGCGTTCCTCTTGGCCTCTGGAGACACACAGGCAGGATCAGCACATGGTGAAAAACCCAATAATGTTAGTTTGTCATTGTCGATAAATACACAAACACACAACATAGAGTCTGAATCACACAGTTAAAAATCACTGTTCCCGGATTTTCAAATCTGCCAGATTTGCATAATTTTTTTAATGTCCTTTGAGGCACACAACTTACAATTGTGAGATTTGCTTGTATTATTTCATTATGCAATGAAAGTTAATTAAGATTAATTAGCACGTAAAAAAAATTGACGCATTTTCCTTGTATTTATTTTTGCACCGCGGAACGTTTCTAACTGGATGAGTTTCAGGCGGACCGAATGTACTGGAGCACCAACTAACGCACATGAATTGGGTTCACTTCAGACAACAACAAACCACAGTGGCACAGTGAACATGGACAAAGAAGCTGATGTGAGCGCGTTGGTTGGCCCCGTGGATGGGAAATGAAAAATCAATCGATGTGAAAAAAAGTTACTTCTCACTGTTCTCAGGTCCAATATTTAGTATATGTGAATTACAAAGCCTCTAATAATTAGATTATTTTTGTTAATCAAGTCCAAGCCCTAGTACAAATGCATTAAAAAACTAACTTAAAATGTATACTAAATTGTCCTCAACGTGTTTCAGTTGTGCTTTAAAGTTTAAGAAGATAAGATCAGATAATCCTTTATTTGTCCCACAGTGGGGGAATTCCAATGTCATCGTTGCTCACGTGGCAACCGAATAAAAGAAGGAAATAAGAGCACTCAGGTTGCACACATCAAACAGGATGATGTCATATTTAGTGGTTGTGTGAAGCCATTTCTCCCAGTACTTTCTGACACATGTGAAAGGAGCGTTTGAATGGCATTTATTCCCAGGTCCTCCATCCGGAACATTTGCCAGCCAATGACAAGTCGCAGAACTGGGAACGTGAAATTTCCGCCTCCAATTTGATAAGTTCCTCCTTTGTTTAAATCAAATTTAGAATGACTGAATAAAGCCAATAAAACAAAAAAGTTCCAAAGAATACATTCAACATATTCTCTAACATCTTCTATGGAGGCAGGCATTATGAAACCAATGCATTATTATTCCCATCATTATCACATGCACAAAGAGCACATATCAAATAATTGTGATAAACCATTTGATCACATTTTCTGTTTCTAAAAACCCTCACACAGACACAATTTCTCAAACAAGAAAATTTAAAAGTCTGTTTGGTTCAAGCAAAGAGTAATAGGTACAGTAGGTACTGTATAGTTTGAATATTAAAGCTGGGGTACCTAACTTGCATAAGTAAAAAAAAACAAAAAAAATCCGACAACTTGCTGATTCTTTTTAATAAATATTATGGACACCTGCAAGAAAGAGCCCTGTGAGTTAATGTTTGAATCATAGGTGGTGACGGTGGTTTTCTCTTTTCATTTTTGTCTTTAAAAGTTGAAAAATCATGCATGTGTAAACTGTATTGAGAGCGCAGAATTATTAGGTTTTATTACATAGTTAAATATATTGTGGTTTGAAAGTTAGGTACCCCAGCTTTAAAGAATGGTTATCTTCTGACAGCAGTGAATTCTTTACATGCACATATAATTAAAATGTCAAAGTGGGTCTAAGACGAGCCATGATTGTTATACCCTGGCTCTACAGGTGCAACGTGAAGGACAACAGGTAACTAAAAGGTAATATAATTTATTAACAGCAACAAAAGTCTAGGGAGATAACACAAAGGAAACCAAAAAGGGGAAGGCAGGTGTTTTTTGCATGAGTTAATGTAGTCTGCATCTTTGTGCAATTCATTTAAAGAAAAAACAATATACTTTTGGAAACTTAGACCATGAAAAATAAGAACATCTTTGGGCGCAATATCTGCTTTAACAAAACAGTTTGAAACCAGAATCAACCAGCAAGTCCATGATATGTTATGTTTTGGTGAAGGTGTGACTATCATACTCCATGATCGACCAACAGACCGGAATAGACCATCGTAGAGCAATCATAGATCACAGTTTGCATGTTTTCTCCACTTAGGTTTCCTCCAGGTGCCCCGGTGTCTTCAGAGTGCTCTGGTTTCCCCTACCACTAAAAACATGCAAAAAATTCTGAAATCTCAGTGGGACATTTCTGGTTAAATAAAGAGACCAGCATAGACCATCAAAGACCATCACAGACCAATGTAGACTATGATTGACCACCACAGAGCATCAAAGAGCAGAATATACCATCACAGACTCTTCGTGTCTGCGCCTGAGCTCAACAGCAGTCCGCCTCAGCTGCTCAGTAACTCCCCTGTGCTCATCATGGCTGCATTTAATCAGTGCCTCTCAGTTCTCTGCAGCTCAAGCTGTGGTTCGAGCTGGAACCCACCTTCGGCTCAGCTTTTATCGCCACCAGTGTCTAGGCCCCGGGAGGTTCGCAAGCTCATAATTTCTAATAAACTCCCTCCTGCATACGTCATGCAGTATTCCTGCCGGGGTCTATACATGCAATCTTTACAATAAATATATTCTAATGCAATCTTTGTCTCATGAAAATAGCAGTGTGTAGGGGTATTTGTGAGAAAGAGTCGAGACAGATAGTCGCCGACAATGTTATTACCCCCGTTCAACAGAATAAAGATACAGTATATGATATCAGTATAATAATATCAGGGCGACAGTAGCTCAGTTGGTAGAGCATTGGCCTTTGGGCCTGAAGGTCGTGGGTTCAAGCCCACCATAAGACCTACTTCACGACTCCCACTGATGACTGCTGGCGTTGTGTCCTTGGGCAAGACACTTAAGGAGAAGAAGGTCCTTTATTCGTCCCACAGTGGGGAAATTTCAGTTTGATGCATACACATATAGTACATACATACACATCAAGGCATGCAGCGAACATCATATCCGCGCTCCTTATAGGCTAAGTGGGTTAAGTGTCTTGCCCAAGGACACAACAACAGCAGGCATCAGTGGGAGTCGGTGGAGAAGGTCCCATGGTGGGCTCGAACCCACGACCTTTGGGCCCAAAGTCCAATGCTCTACCAACTGAGCTACTGTCGCCCCACTTTGCCTGATGCTCCCACTGAAAGATCTCAGCTCCTGTGGACTCACCCCCTGCAGGAGGATCAGTGAGGGGCTGGTGCTAAGTGTACTGGGTGCAGCTCTAACTGCCACCCCCCGACCCAGAAATGGATTAAGTGGAAGAAAATGGATGGATGATGGATATATAATATCAGCCTGTTGTTTTCAGGAATTATTAATGCAAAGATTTTATTACCAACCCATTTTAAAACTTTTTTTTTTTTTTTTTTAAATTCCGGTCCCACTTAAACAAGTTCAAAGCAGGAGACTAGAAAGTTGTTGTGAAACTTGGATTATGCCAAATCATTACATTTAAGAATTTCCTGAATGACAGATCAGCATTTTGTAGGAGCATAAATATTATTACTCATGTGGTCAGCTGTCCACTTCCTCCAAAAACCTGTGCAGACACAGTCTGCCGGTCTGCACATGCAGTGAGCATGCACATGACACTGGGCACACACTTTTATCTCCTCGATGATCCAACAACACATTTGATCCTTGCATGATTGTGTCATTTATCATTTTTACTATTACACCTAATTTTCCTCATTATTATGATCTTCACATTTCACAAAGGGGCTAATTCTTTTGGAGATGACAACAACATAATAACACTTAAACCGGTGTGAAGTGGTTCGCTACGCTTCTAAGCTACACTCAGCCTCTAAATGTTTTGTTTGTTGTTATATTCTTTGCTAGGATGAAACTCTTCTGTGTCTCACAGGCAAAGTACCAAATAAATATATTGTCTGCACAAAGAAAGAAAATTATTTCAATTCTTTAACTTTCACCAGGGTCAAAACAGAAAGTTTGTGTGATTCTTTATGTTTTTATTCTTCATAAAGCACCTTTACACAGTCTATACACTGTTTCCCTGTGTCTGGGTGTTGGACAGGTGGCAAAAGTACTAGTTCTTATTTTAAATACAGCTGAAGTAGCCTGGTCGTACCACACCATAGTACAAATGACATTTCGTACTAAGGTCTGGATTTGCTCCATTGAGCTCCGTGAACAGGTGGGAGGGGTTAACTCCTTTTGCAGATTGGATCTGAGTTTAACGTGACGTATGTAATGCGCCCGAGTCTGTTGTTAGCATTTAGCATTTAGCCTATCCATCTCCTTTGCCGCTAACGGAGCCCGTGGGGAGTAGCGCCACAATTTCTTCCAGCGATTACATTTGCTAAACATTCCGCTTGCTCCGGCTTCAATTTCTTGATAGAACCAGACCGGATTACTTTACTATTGCATTTTTCGGCATTGCCAAACTACAACCTGCCTGTTCGACGCAAACTCTTGACATCACCCACAATTAACTACAACACCTGCCTTCCGCGCTCTCTGATTGGTCGGCCGAAATTCAACCGATTGTAATCGCTAACATAGGGACTAGAACCAGACGTTACATGCAGTGAAATGATGATTGAACGGAGTGTAAGGATGGGTAAGGCCAAGCTACAGCTGAAGTAGAGTAATTATTATTATCCAATATATTCAAATACTTAAGTCAGGCATGTCAAAGTCAAATACATCAGAGGGCCAAAAAAACAAATTTGCTGCGAGCCGAGGGCCGGACTGGTTCAATGTTTATTAACTCATTGCCTGCCAGCCTATTTCAGAACAGGTACTCCCATATTACCAGCAGTTTCTGATGATTTTTATAGATTTTTCAAGACCCACAGAATATTGTGAACTATGACTATCTGAAATCCGAAACCATATTCTGAGAGAATAGACTGTCTACTTTCATCAGCAAAAATAATTTTGTTTCTAGCTTGTAATCCTCAGTTGAGTAGAGGGAAGTTTTACTGAAATCACCAAAAAGCTGAGAAAAAAGAGGCACAACAAGTGCATCTAGCTGTTTTCAAACCATTCAGAGAGCGCTGCTGCCACCTGCTGGCTCGATTCAATATGCTCTCAAGCTTATCCCCAAACATATTAGATATAATAGACATCTGGAAACATGAAAATAGCGGAAACCGCAATTGACGTAATAGTGCGTCAATGGCAGGCAACGGGCCATGTAAAATTCATTCGCGGGCCGGATTTGGCCCGCGGGCCTTGACTTTGACACATGTGACTTAAGTCAAAGTAAATCACTAGCGTTTTTCTTTGCTCAATGATATCTGGATATGATTTTTGTATTCATCTACAATATATACTTAAGACTCTTCACTTACAGTACACCGGACCAATTCAATTGGGGCAAAAATGCTTAAAAAATCTGTTTCCAAAGTGAACTGAGGTGAAATGCCAATTTGTTTAGTGCTATTACGTCCAAAAATAAGACGTTGAACCAGTGAACCAGATCAACAAGTGTGAATGTGCACTTAAACAAGTGTTTCAAGCTGACACAGAATACAGCAACAAATACAATATGAACTTAGAAGCATGGCCTAGGCCAGCCATTCCCAAACTCAGTAACACCGAGGCCCCCTTAAAAATCTGACGGGTCTGCGTGGCCCCCCAAAATAATAACCAAGAAGACAACATTAAGAATAGGCTCTTCTGGTTATTTTATTTTGGGGAAATAGCCTCTGCTACAAACATTGTTATACAAAAATGATTACAGTGGCTTATTCAAGTCAAATAATGAACACAAATATTTTAATATAACAAACAAAACATTATAAATTTAACATTAAATAATTATATTATTTTTTTATTTTTTTTATGACCTCCCACGGCCCCCCTGCAGTACCCTCGCGGCCCACCAGGGGGCCGCGGACCCCACTTTGGGAGACACTGGCCTAGGCTAACCATTACACACACATGCTGATAGGAGCAGGACAAACAACTTCAAACTGACACAATTAACTTTCTGCTGCATCTTGGAGCTTCACATTTGACCTCACAGCATGAAACAGACAAATGATAAGCATATTTCCAATGATGTTATGAATAGAAAGTACAGATAATATGCATGCTTCCCTGCTGTAGTACACATGAAATGATAGAGGTCCTATCCAATGTGGGTTTCTTTCAACTGACTTACGGACCCCCAAGTCCGACGGTGCGTGACCAGACACTGACAAAACCAGTGCACTGAATGGCTTTGCTCCTGCTGTAGTACACTGTACACGGACCACATGATGGCGAGGTGCTCTCGTCCATCAACGAGAACACCAATAGTTGCGTTCACCACGTATCATTTGTATTATAGGTTACTATGGAAACCATAGAATTAGTTTTTGCAGAAGTTAAAAAAAAAAAATCATTGGTTTTATTTATTTAGGCCCCTAGCCCCAAGCACCCGAGGCTCAAAGCGCAGAGTACACCAGAGGTACTCATGTTCCTCAGGTCAAGACATGAAAAAAAGTTAATAATGGCTCCGGCCCATGGACAACCTCGGCGAGTAAACAGCCCTGCTAGCTATCTATAACTGGACGTTCAAAACTAGAACTCTCTCGAACTACATGAAAACTGAACATAGCATTTGTAACTTCAGCAGTTAGTGACCCAAATATATACTCAACCTAAATTCATGAATCAGATCCTCTGAAAATGTGTCATACAATGTATTATTAATGTTTATCGTTACATCCAGGTTTACCGCGGGTCGCATATTGTCGCATTAAAACAGTGTTTTTTCATGAACGGAAAATTCTGAAAACCTCTGTGCACGTGTATTAAGAATGTATATGTATAATGTATTCTTCGATTAACATTTAATGTGTTTATTGTTACACCATGGATCTATGTGTGGCTACACTGCAGTGGAAATAATGAGATTACATTCAAATCAATGGAGCTTTCTGCGTCTACTGTGAGGAGCCGTATATTTTATTAATAAATACTAGCACGGGGCACCCTGGAGCACGGCTCAGTCGTTCACATGTCTGCTGGCCTTCGGTAAGTCAGATACCCTGTGAACAGCTAAGATACAAGCTAAGCTACAGTCTATGCTACAAGCTAAGCTACAGTCTATGCTACAAGCTAAGCTACAGTCTATGCTACAAGCTAAGCTACAGTCTATGCTACAAGCTAAGCTACAGTCTATGCTACAAGCTAAGCTACAGTCTATGGAGCATCCCCACGTTGCAGTCAGACAGATATGTTTTATCCTTAAACTTCTTTTAGTTTCGGAATAACACTAAATCCGCCATCAAATTGATTTTACTTAACAGAAATGAAATGATCCGAGCATATTCGGGCGCTCTGGTGGCTTTTAGTTTTTTGTTGTTGCGAATATGTTGTGCCATTTCTCTCTCGTTTCTTTGAGATTTCTTCTGTTTTTGAGCCGTGTGAAGTAAGGACGGCTGGCAGTCGGTAACACAACTTATTTTCCCTGTCTCTCCTTTTGCTGCAGCCAAAAACGGCAAAAATGTTGAACATGTTTATGCAGTACCGGGTGCACGCCACTATCATACAGCGTTTGCTTGTCCTCCAGTATGGCGGATGCCCCGCGAGTTCGAGGCATCGTGACGTCACGTGAGATATCTCTATTGGTAATTAGTACTTTAAATCTAACCTGGCAAAAGCCAGATTGATGATTGTGTAGAACTCTAACGCGTTCTCCGCGATATCAATCTGGGATTTCTCCCGGAGAATCCTTTCGGGGAAAGGAGGGGTAAGCAGCAGAATACTTGAAGCTGATTGGGCGAAGTGACGCTGTGTGCCCGCCTACCAAGGTTGCCGTCCAGAAATGTACAAAGCGCCTCTCGCTGTTCATCTTTCAAAAAAGAAATTGGAGATTCTGCTAAAACTGACTTTGCGTCCGTCCTCCTGCGTAGCCATGTTTGTTTTGCTTCGGCCCGGCACTTCTTGCTTTCGTCAAACCCGGATATCCCGCCCTAAACCCCCAGACTGGCGCGTGATTGGCTCGCACACCCAGGGGTTCGACTCGAAAAGTGTAAGCGGGAGCGGTACAAGATGTATTCTCGAGTGTTTGTGAACTCACAAATACCGCGAGAATTCAGCTTGCAGGCAAGGTTACTTTAAATCAATGATAATTATTTTTTTAAGAAATACATGTGCCCTGCTTTGCCAGTGCTAAGATAAATACCTAGGTATATAAAGATGGTTTATAAAGTATGTTTATTGCACCCAAGCTCACAAAGCACTTCCCATAACAATAACAATAATAATAATAATAATGATGATGATGATGATGATGATGATGATGATAAAATAATGTCAGAAATGTACAAAAAAAGAGACGCATTAGGAAACACAGTACACAGGTAGGGTGTGGTTAGAAAACCTGTCTAACCCTTTAAGGATCACCTAATTTCGCCTGTTCCTTTTCAAATTATGATACCCAAATGGAAATGCTTATTGTGTGGACATCTTGTGTCTGATGTTGTGTTATGATGCCTCATTTGAAAGGTAACACCTTCTAGTTTCTGGAAATGTAGTGTAGCGACCCTGCATTTATGTTATGTTAATGCTGTTATTTCATGTTATTCTTCACGGTTTAGTGCACTTACAGGATTGGTTCTGAGGATGGAGGGGCGGGCCTACTGGGGGGGTTAGAGAAGATTGTTTTGATAACGCAGTCTTTTTACCCGGGACTGCGAACGGGCTGTTGTTCTGCTAAGTTGTGGACTTGTTTTGGCGTGGTTACGGCCGACAGTAACCATCTTGTATTAAAGCAACAAGTAGAACACTGTCTCATTCATTACCTCGAGCCAGGACGTTACACTGGTGTCAGAAGTAAAAAGCCCGAGTTCGTCTCCAAAGCCCGGTGATCGCTCCTAGCTTGTGTCGGGGTCTGCTCGTCCGCCCGTTTGATATGTCGATGCCATCGGGGAAGTCCGGTGCTCGCCCGAAAATCAAGAAGGAGGTGATGGACAGTGACTTTGAGACCCAGTCCCGGAGGCACGATATGGAACAAAGTCGACGTTCTGAGCACTCTGCTCATATAAGACGGGTAGCCGCGGAGATGGCAGCGGAGGCGGGTTTCAGCGGCGGGAGCGCCAGAGGACAAGCCCCGCCCGCCATGATTGACAGGTCACCAAATTCAGACGAAAATGGCGGCAGGGAACGACTGCAAGTTAAGACTCCGAAATATTCAGGGAAAGCAGACTGGGAGGCCTTCTATGCCCAATTTGAACTGTTGGCTGGGGCAGCTGGCTGGTCTGTAAAAGTAAAAGCACTCCAGCTGGCTCTGTGCCTTACTGATGATGCCCTGTCATGCTTATTGCTGTTAAGCCCAGCTGAGAGAGATGATTATGGGGCTTTGGTTGGGGCCCTCCGGAGGCGTTTTGGACAATGTAGCCAACCCGATGTCCTGCGCTCAGAGCTGGCTAGCCGACAGAGGTTGACAGGCGAGCCACTCAGGGGGTTGGCTAACGATATTGAGACCCTGACAAGACGAGCTTACGCCCATATGCCCCCTGAAGTACAGAGTGAGCTGGCCAGGGACCAGTTCATTCGTGCCCTGGCTCCCAGAGAACTTCGCGCACAGACACAGCTGGCACATCCTAGATCCCTGCAGGAGGCACTGGAGCTCGCCCTAGAGAGAGAGGCCGTAGGTTCAGCGTCTGAGAGTGGCCCCATTGTGAGGACAGCAGTGCGGGAGGACCCAGGTCAGGAGAGGCCTGCCTGGGTTGCTGAGCTGACAGAACTGATCCGAGCTGTGACGTTACAACCACAACGCGGCGGTGCCCGCCCGCGCCATGGCCCTCCAGTGTGCTGGACGTGTGGCCAGGCAGGCCATATCAGTGTGCGGTGCCCCCAGAACTCGGGCGGTCAGGGAAACGCTCCGGGGTCTGTGTAAAAGGGACCACACAGGCCCCCGCCCCTGTGTCCCACCCTATCGTTTCACATGTGTACGGGGCCCAACGACGCAGTCGGGGGAGCGGGGCTCCACTCCCCCCAGAAGCAGATGACAGCGCCATCGAATCTTCGAGGGTGGTGGGCTGGACACACTTTGGGAATTTTTGTCATGTTCCTGTTACTTTGAACAGGGCCCCATGCACAGCCCTGGTTGACACGGGTTCCACCGCAACACTAATGAGACCCGACATGGTGCCACCTGGGACATTACTAGAACCTACTGTTGTAAAGTTGCGGACTGTGACTGGTGAACTCGCTCCTATGCTTGGTCGGGGATTAGTGACTATACAAGTGGGGGAAATGTCTGTGGATTTTAGGGTGTGGGTCGCTGCAGTGAAGGACCCCTGTATTTTGGGTCTTGACTTTTTGAGGGCCGCTCACTGTGTGCTCGATCTTGGCAGTAACACTGTGACATTTCCGGGAAACCCCTCAGTTGAAATGGTGCCCCCTGAACATGTCCAAAGTCAAGCAGCGTCTAAAGCAGCAGAGGTGCACCAGAAATACATGCCACTACCCCAGTTTTCTGCTCCAGTACCCACCAACCCGCAACATGCAATGGCAGCTCTACCTCCTGCACTGGAACAGTTACCTGCAGTAAGAGAAATGGACAGGGTCGTGGCCGTAAAAGAGATTTGGGAACGTAACTGCACCACTTTGGAAACCAGTCAGCGGGAAGCTTTATGGCAAGTGCTACTGCAGTACAAAGACATCTTTGCCCTTTCTGAAGAGGAGGTGGGTCTAACACACTTGGTGCAGCACGAAATAGATACTGGAGATGCGCACCCGATCAAAACGCGCCCCCGCCGACTCCCTCTGGCGCATCAAGCGGCTGCTGATAGCGCAATTGACGAAATGCTCGCGGCTGGTATTATCGAGCCGTCAGATAGTCCCTGGGCTTCGGGGGTTGTGATGGTTAACAAGAAAAATAATCAAAAAATGCGGTTTTGTGTGGACTATCGACCGCTGAATAGCATAACAAAGAAAGACTCATACCCGCTACCACGTATTGATGAGTCCTTGGACATGGTATCTGGCTCTTCCTGGTTCTCATCATTAGACCTGCGCAGTGGATACTGGCAGGTCCCCCTGAGCCCCGATGCAAGACCCAAGACCGCTTTTTACACCGGCAGGGGATTGTGGCAGTTTAGGGTCCTCCCCTTCGGGCTATGCAATGCCCCGGCCACTTTTGAAAGGTTGATGGAAAAAGTGCTAGCTGCTGTCCCCCGTCAGGAATGTCTCGTTTACTTGGACGACATTCTGGTCCATGGCGGCTCTTTTGAGAGGGCTTTGGATTCTCTCCGGCAGGTGCTGCAAGGTATCGCGGAGGCCGGGCTGAAACTCCACCCCAACAAATGCTGCTTCATGAGAAGGGAATTGGAGTTTTTAGGGCACAAGGTTGGTGGAGAAGGCATCAGCACTCTGGAGGAAAAGGTACAGGTTGTCAGGGACTGGCCAATCCCCACTAACCTCAGAGAACTGAAGAGTTTCATTGGACTAGCATCATATTACAGGCGATTCGTGCGCGGTTTCTCTTGCATCGCCGCACCCCTGTTTGCCCTACAGCGGAAAAATTGTGACTTTGTGTGGACCCCAGAGTGCGACCGGGCCTTTTGCACTTTGAAAAAGGCACTGACGGAGTCTCCCATCTTAACCCCCCCAGATACCAATCTGCCATTTGTCATGGACACAGACGCCAGCGATGCGGGGATGGGTGCAGTGTTGAGCCAGGTGGGATCACACGGGGAGAAAGTAGTGGCATACTTTAGCAAAACTTTCAACAAGGCTGAGCGGCGTTATTGCGTGACGCGGAGAGAGTTGCTTGCTATTGTGAGAGTGATAGGGCATTTCCGGTACTATCTCTGTGGCCTCCCCTTTACTGTGAGAACAGATCACTCAGCACTCCAATGGTTAATGTCCTTTAAAGAACCAGAGGGGCAGATTGCCCGCTGGTTGGAAGAACTTGCGCCATATAATTTCAAAGTGGAGTACAGGGCTGGGAGTCGCCATGCCAACGCGGATGCCATGTCCAGACGTCCATGTGCTCTGGATGGCTGCCGCTATTGTGAAAAACGAGAGGCCAAGGAACAGGAGCTCTGTGTTGAGGAGCAGGCGGGTCCCTTGTGCAGCGGGGAAGGGCCAATCTGTGAAGTGGCGGAGCTCCATGATCCACTGGAGTGGAGGGCTCAGCAGGAACTGGATCCCGATCTGCAACCTGTGCTGCAGTGGGTTGAATCGGGACAGAGACCACAGTGGAGTGAGGTAGCTGGGTTTTCGCTGGCCACCAAAGGACTGTTTGAAAAGTTTACAACCCTCCGTATAAAAGACAGAGTACTTCAAAGAGCGTGGAAAGAGCCAGCTACAGGGGAGGAAAGGTGGCAAACTGTAGTCCCCAGAGCACTCAGAGACCCAGTTCTGAAGGCTTGTCACGGAACTCCTGGGGCGGGACACTTTGGAGTCTCAAAAACTCTCAGACGGCTCAGGCAAGGGTTTTACTGGGCCAGCTCAGGAGGGATGTAGAGGACTTTTGTCGTCGTTGCGACCTGTGCGCTGCTTATAAGGGCCCTCCAGGTCAATCCCGTGCCGAGCTTCAGCAGTTGGCCGTGGGGGCCCCTATGGAAAGAGTGGCTGTGGACATAATGGGTCCGTTTCCCCGGTCAGACCAGGGGAATCGTTATGTACTCGCTGCCATGGACTATTTCACTAAATGGCCAGAGGCATTTGCCATCCCGGATCAGGAAGCGGTGACGGTGGCAGACACCCTGGTGGAGGGAATGTTTTCCAGGTTTGGGGCACCCGAAGTTATCCACAGCGACCAGGGGAGAAACTTTGAGTCTGCCGTTTTCTCTGCAATGTGTCAGCGTATGGGAGCGCAAAAGACACGTACTACCCCACTACACCCTCAGAGTGATGGGCTAGTCGAGCGTTTCAACAGAACACTCGCAAAACAACTGGCGATCATCACTGCAGAACACCAGCGGGATTGGGATATGCACCTCCCCCTTGTCCTGCTTGCCTACAGGTCTTCGGTTCAGGAGTCCACAGCATGCACACCTGCTCTTCTCATGTTGGGGCGAGAGCTGCGGACACCCAGAGAAATGTGCTTTGGCAGACCCCCACACACTCCTGCTGTCCCACCAGGACCGGAATACGCTCGGAGGCTACAGGACCGGATGGAGACAGCTCATGCGTTTGCCCGTGACCAGCTGCAAAAGGCTGGGATCCGGCAGAAAAGAAACTACGACATGAGGGCCAAAGGAAGAGACTTTAACCCTGAGGACCTCGTGTGGGTGTTCAGCCCTAAGAGAAAAAAAGGGAGGTGCCCTAAGCTGGACTGTCACTGGGTGGGGCCCTGTAGGGTACTTGAGAAGCTTGGGGAGGTGGTGTATAGGGTGCAGCTCCCACCTAGGGGTAGACGGGTGGCCCTTCACAGAGATAGGTTAGCCCCATACATGGGTGACGCACATCCCCAGTCACGCCCTGTATCCACTCAGAGAGACAAAACAGTCGGACCCCAGACATTGACTGTTTCCCCATCAACTGACACACAGATGCCCCCTGCTCCGAAGCATGTTGTTCCCAGGTTAGCAGTCACCCCAAAGAGACCCCGTAGGGAGATAAGGGCCCCCAGTCACCTTAGAGACTTTCTATGTGATCCCTCGGGGCGAGGGACTTAGTGGGGAGGGGGCAGTGTAGCGACCCTGCATTTATGTTATGTTAATGCTGTTATTTCATGTTATTCTTCACGGTTTAGTGCACTTACAGGATTGGTTCTGAGGATGGAGGGGCGGGCCTACTGGGGGGGTTAGAGAAGATTGTTTTGATAACGCGGTCTTTTTACCCGGGACTGCGAACGGGCTGTTGTTCTGCTAAGTTGTGGACTTGTATTGGCGTGGTTACGGCCGACAGTAACCATCTTGTATTAAAGCAACAAGTAGAACACTGTCTCATTCATTACCTCGAGCCAGGACGTTACAGTATGTTACAGTTTGTTAGGAAGGACACAGTCTGCACTACAGCTTCTCAAACATGAGTCAAAGTTAGGTTTTTTTGTCTCAAAAAAAAGAAGGCAATTTCAAAAGGTTCTCCTGAATACATACTTTATGGTATGATGTTCAAACTCACCAGAGCAGATGTTTGTGGTGTTGGCAACACCTGTATGAAATTTTAGACCTTTAGGTGGAACTATTTTGATGCTGGGGGCTTTTTTGTAACTAATGGGCACATTCGGCACAAGTGGTCCATTTTTGTGCCAACTGTGCCAAAGTGTTTTACATGCAAATTATCAATGTTTTTACACCAAAAATCTAATTATATCATTTTTTGGCTATTACTCTTGCTATAAATAGCATTTTTTCCAGATATTGAAATGTTTGCAGAAAAGCTATTATTTATATAGTTATAGCGCGTGTTCTCCGTGAAAGAGGCTCAGTCTTCCTCTCTTATGGGCTCGACACACGGGAGGCGACATCGCATCGCCTCCATTCATTTTCAATGGGACGTGCGCGACATAGCGTCAATCGCTAGCGAGCCTCCTGCTCAGCGACGGGCGAAAAACGTGCGTGTGAAATCCTCCCGCTCGTGCATGTATCGTGCACGCGCAGGTCAGCGACGCGATCCCAGAAAGTTGAAATCGGCTCAACTTTTCGACGCTGTCGTCAAGCCGCATCGCGCCCCGTCTGTCATGTTATCTGAGCGACAGCGTTGAGTTTCGCTGATCGCTCTCATTTGTCGCCTCCCGTGTGTCGAGCCCATTACGCATTCAAATAACACTCGAACAGTGGGAGGAACCTTGAAGTCCGACACATCGCCTGAAACCTGAGATTATTGGCTACAAGATGATTTGATTGACATCCAAATCGGCAAATGGTACTTAAGACAATGCTGTCGTGACGCACAGATATCTATATGACTGGAGCGCTAAAGCTAGGTGCGCTTGTTTTACTCAACTTACTCTACCTTCCAAACAATAGCACTGAAAAGTCCGGGAATGGGCTTGTTTTGAAGGGGAGCCTTAGGGGAAGACGAACATACCCAGTGACGCTAGGTAAATAGTAAAATGTTCTCTTCATACAGTGCGCAAAGAACAGGTTTTGTTTTTGTTTGTGCAACTTTCAATACTCAAATATGTTGTTACAAGTGGATATCTACTATAAGGATGACTTTGAAGAAAAAACAACTGGATATAATTATTCTCTAGACCGTAACGAACAAATTGAATGCACACATGTGTGGATTAGACGTGATTTGCCCCAGAATATTAGCATGACAAGGTAAGAAAGGACAATATATATTTTATATATAAATACAGTTTGACTCCTTATTCTTACTTTTGGTTATATTTAATGTTTATTTGAACATAATACGCGTTTAGAGGTGGGAATAAGCTTTCAAAAGAGATCAGGGACGTGCGGTGAGGTTTGTGATTGGGGAGGCACTGACTTTAAAAGTCAGATTTACAATCATTATTCAAATAAAATAGCATTTAATCACCAATGCAATGACATCCACAAACTTTATATACTGTAAAGATAAGAGAACCAGCTTCTTTTAATAATCTCACAACAAATCTAGCTGCTGACTCTGCTCCGCATCAAACAACATCTTTAAGAAGCGCAGGTGCGAGAGACGCGAGGAGAGAGAGACGCGAGGAGAGAGGAGCAGAGAGAGACAGAGAGACGGAGACGCGAGGAGCAGAGAGAGACGGAGACGCGAGGAGAGAGAGACGCGAGGAGAGAGGAGCAGAGAGAGACAGAGAGGAGAGAGGAGCAGAGAGAGACAGAGAGGAGCAGAGAGACGGAGACGCGAGGAGCAGAGAGAGACGGAGACGCGAGGAGAGAGAGACGCGAGGAACATAAACAATAATTTAAACAAGTTGCAGAACTCTTGAGCAGTGTTTGAATCAGTGTTTTTCGGAAAAGCACTACTTTGCCGGTATCTGTCAATGTTCAACATAAAACACAGATTAACAAACTCCTCCCCCGCAGCCGGACTAACCTCGTAAGTCCAGTGGTGGTCTCCCAGTCTATATTAATTCTTTCTTTGTTTGAAAGTCCAATTGAGAAAAAAAATCTTCATTCAAATCATCCATTTTCCAGCAAAAGAAATAGCATTTTGGGCTGATTGTTTGTTAGCAACTCTGGAATGAACTTTATGCTCACTATCACCCCTAGCGGTGAGGCACAGATACCGCCTGCCTCACGCCAAGCTTTTTCCTTGTGTGTTCATCTACGATCAAAAGACTTAAACTAAATATAAATTGTACACACATACGTGCAATACACTACTAAACACTAAGAGGAGTTTAAAAAATGTTTTTAAAGCAGGATATTTGAAACAAACGGTGATATATCAACTGCACGAGCTGAGTGCACTCAGACACACACACACACACTGTGAGGGAGCGGTCTGGGGTGAGGCACGCAGGAGCGCTGCCTCACCTCGTCTCTTTGAATAGGAATAACGGGATTTCGGCGATTTTGACTTCAGAAATGATCAAAACTGATGGGAACCGTGCCGAATATACATTAAAAGCATAGGACAGTGGATATAAATTATATATTTAAACTAAAATAATTATTAGTTTCCAATAATGGCAGGTGAGGCTCTGCCTCCCCTGACTGCACGTCCCTGAAAGAGATATAGCTTGACTATATTGACACAAGTGAATTCTAATACTGATGCTGTTAAATGAAAAATTACTGAATCCTCCCTGTACAGGGAGGGTGATCCTTAAAAGGCTAAACAAGGGCGCCTCATTAGACCTGTTTATACCAGCCATACTTGACTCTATACTACTGCACTCTACTTTATTCTATTCTATTCCACTCAGCTCTGCTCTACCCCGATCGTGAGTGTCTCCACTGGCCCTGTTTAACCAATACCAGTTACTTTTAAGATAGAGATGTCATTCCTAATGTTCTATCTTTTGTGATGCAACACTGACATTTCCCCACTGTGGGACGAATAAAGATCTCTTAATGCAAATCTTATAGTACTTGCTTGGTCCTAGTTCTATCCAGGCCAACCTGTTACTAAAGTGTTCTAACTGACAGTGATTGGCTGGAAGTGACCACTGAATTTCAATGAATACTGGTTATGTTGTGGGTAGCAGATACTAAAGGGAAATGGAAACAAATTCAAGTAGAGTAGAGCCAAGTAGGGCTGGTAGAACTGGGTTTTATGTTGACTCTTGAGATTGACCACAAAATCTGGGCAGAGACTGGGAATCTCAGTCCAAAGGCGAGGAGTTCCAGCCTTCCACAAGCAGTCTCCTCTGGTTTTAAAACAAATGCAAGGGACCATCAATAGGCTCTGAGTGGAGGCCCTCTAGCTCCTGTTAAAGTCATTTAGGCTGGACTTGGGCTCTCAATGTTTCCTGGTGCCCTACCTTAAAGGCAGCACCAAGATTCCAAAATTGATTCTTTTAAGTGACAAGAAATCAATGATACGGTTTTTGAATTGGAGTGATATGGGCTTACCTGTGGGGTGGGTCAGAAGCAGCAGGACTTGTCCATTCGTGAGGATACCAAAGCATGAAGATTAAATTAAAGATACAAGTTCTGTTCAAAATTGAATTATATCCCCATCAAAATATAGATAGTTAAATAGAGAGGAAGTAATTTTCGCAAACAATATACAACAGTACTATACACATTTGTTGCTATACTATTGTCATTGCAGATGTCTAAGAAGCTGGTGATCGTGGACACAGACTGTGGCATAGATGATGCTCAGGCCATCCTCATGGCTCTGGCGGCTCCTCAGGTCCAGGTTTTGGCTTTGACCTGCGTCTTTGGAAACGCAGACGTCAACAATGTCTGTCAGAACGTGCTCCGGGTTCTGTCTGTCTGTGGCAAAGAGGAAGTGAGTACTCTATGGCTCTGTGTGTGGTTTTGAATAGACAAACAACTTGACTAAGACTATATACACATAACTTAAGATAATAAAAAAAACTACAATCATAAAATTACAATTCTACTTTTTAGTTTTACTTTGATGTGGTCTACTAAAATCTGTGTTTGTTTTTGTAACGTGACTAAATGTGCCAGATTTCCAGCTAACCCTAACCCTTTAGAAAGGCACTGTTTGATCGAAAGAGCTTCAAGTAATTCAGTGCATTTTCAATGTATTTCCCAATAAATCATATGGCATCCATTGGTATCTGTCCAGCCACACGTCGCAATTCTGCAACATTGAAATAGAGCTGACCCTGGAGAAAAACCCAGGAGATAAAAGGTTGTAATTGGCATGTACTTTATCAATGTATATTCATCTTTCAGTTTATGCAGTTTTGGTTGTAAATTATTAGAGAGTAGAGGTTGATAGTGATACAGACTTTAAATTGATGCCTAGAAAATCGTTTTTTGAAGTGAGACAGCTCTGCCCCCTGGTGATCAAGTGGACAACTGTGTGTTGCTAAAGCTCAAATTCTGAGTAAAAAGGGTCAAAAACATAGATGTGGAGTTATTAGGTAATAATAAATGTAGCTGTTGAAAATCTGTTACGCCAGCCTGGAGAGGATTTAAAGAACTCAGGTAATTTTGAACCGAAAAATCAGGGAACTTTGCTGATCTGAAAAAAAGAGGTTACTAAAACAGAACTTTGATCAAATCTTATCTTAAATGAATAGAGAAATAGTATTGCATTTGTATTTGTTGTATTTTGACATGAAGCCATCTATGTTTGTTGTCTGTCATAAGATAGGGATAGGGGTTTAAATTAGACTCCTGTTCTTTATGTGACTTTAATGTTATATAAGAGCAAATAAAATGAAATGTAATGAATGAACAGCCTCCTTCCTCTTCAGGTGCCAGTGTTCCGTGGCTCCAGGGGGCCTCTGGTCGGAGCAGACTGTCCGCTCAGTGATCACTTTGGGTCGGACGGTTTGGGCGACGTGTTCAAAAACAAAGATCCTCAGTGGGAGCAGAAGATCCAGAAGGAACACGCCGTCAGCGCCATGATCCGCCTGGTGTCGGAGCGTCCGAACCAGGTCAGTCCTGTTCTGCTGCACGGAGAAATGAGATTCATCACTAGTATTAACTGTTTTTCAACCTGTATTTTGACTTGTATTTTATATCAATCAATCAATCTTTATTTGTAGAGCGCCTTTCCTTCACAGAGCAACACAAATCGCTTCTCAGTCCACATCACACAAGGCACAATTCATCACAGAAGTCACCAAAGTCACCATTAAAAACACAATTAAAATCACACAGGTAATTAAAAACATGAAAACTTTAAAATCACACAAGGGATTAAAATGATCAATAACCACAGTGCGTTAAAAATAGAAATAAAACCCTTCAAAATTCAATCAAAATTTTTTCTCAAGTATCTCAGGGTCTGTTTTTGGTGCAGAGGGAGCAGCGTCTGTAGTCAGAGCTGTATCATGCTGTTGTGGTGCAGAAGCTCTCTTTCAGTCTACATCCCCTCCCTCTGATCATGAGCTTTGGGTAATCACCAAAGGGACCAGATTGCAGATACAAGCGGCCCACATGAAATTCCTCCACAGAGTGAGAGGGTGAGGAGCTCAGTCACATGGGAGGAGCTTGGACTAGAGACGCTGCTTCTTCACGTCAAGAGAAACCAGATAAGGTGGCTCAGGCACCTTCACTCACATCGTCTAGTGCGATTCTGGTGCACCGTGCATGTGAATGATGCTAACTGTGGCTATCGTTGTGTAGTTCAAACCACTGTGTGTGGAGTGGTTGAAAGACACAATGTAAAGCTAATAATTAACCAATGATGTGTGGTAATACTGTGGTCCAGTGACGTGCGGTGAGGTCGGTGATTGGTGAGGCACTGACTTCACCCCACGCTTCGTGCCCGCATTGTTTGTTCATACGAAACGCAAAACTATGAAAAAGCACATCAAAGTGTGTTATGGGTCTTACCTTAAACATAAACTACACAGACCAGTTCAGACCAGTTTCATGTTGAAGTCCATATAATAGTTTGAGCGCAGATATGTAATTCTCCATTTGGGAATAAGTCCAAACGGGTGCCTCCTCCATTGACTCCTCTCATGTTTTGCTGCAGCCAACTCTCGGGTGCATCCAATTTCTAAAATCAACCTTCTCAACCTTCACCTCTCTTCCTTATTCTTTGTATCATCATTGGAGGCACCACATTACCCTGAGTGCATTTTAAATGATCTTAAAATGTGTTATATGTACAGTATGTTAGCCAAACCTGTAGCTGCCCTTAGCAGGAGAAGAACTCGAAAGGATACCCTGAGGCTGGCCTCACTCTGTGACATTACAAGCCGTGGTTTGAGCATGATAAAGACCCATATTAGTTGTCAAAACGAGGGTTACGTATGTAACCACGGTTCTATGAATCCCGGATGACCGCCAGAGGGCGGTGCATAGCACTGAATGTTCCCTTCGCGCATGCGCAGTTCGAGTAATAATACCAAATGAGTCACACCTGTGACCCCCTGGGTGACACACCGGAGGTAATAAAGTCCAGCGTCATCCAGCACTCTGTTCCTGCAGAATCTTCTCGCGGATGCAAGGACCCTGAGTGACAGAGCGCCTCTGGCGGTCATCCGGGATTCATAGAACCGTGGTTACATACGTAACCCTCGTTCTATTTCATCCCTTCAGACCGCCAGAGGGCGGTGCATAGCACTGAATGACCTTATACCAGCTATGTCACGAAGGAACTTGACCACACACCTCACGGAGGAGAGCCAGAGGATTCCTGAAGGACCACGCCAAGAGGAGCCGGAGTGGCCACATTGATGTTATAGAATCTGGTGAACGTGCTCGGTGTAGCCCAAGACGCAGCAGCACAAATAGTTCCCAACGGCACCCCGCGCATAGCGGCCCAGGAGGTAGAGACACCCCTGGTAGAATGGGCCCTCACCGTGGCTGGCGGGTCGCGGCCGGCCGAAATATACGCCTGACTGATAACGTCAACCACCCAGTGGGAAAGGCGTTGCTTCGAAAGCGGACTCCCCAGTCTAGCACCACCATAAGCAACAAAGAGCTGGTCTGAGCGCCTCACACCTGCCGTCGCAGCAACGTAGGCCTCCAATGCCCTCACAGGACACAGCAGGTGCAGTCTGTCCTCACCCCCATCCAGGGGGGACACAAACCGTGCCAACCTCAAAGGCCGGTTACAATAGTCACGGGAAAGCACCTTAGGGAGGAAAGTGGGATTAGGCCACAAGACCACGCCAGCCCTCTCAGGATCCCAGTGTAGGCATGAGGGACTGACAGAAAGTGCATGTAACTCACCGACCCTTTTTGCAGAGACCACAGACAGGAAAGCAGTCTTATAGGAGAGCCACTTGAGGTCCGTTCGGGCCAATGGCTCATACGGAGGGCGGCAGAGAGACTCCAACACCAAGGCCAGGTCCCAAACCGGAGACCGCGCGGGCACGCGAGGGTGCAGCCTACGAGCTCCGCGTAAAAAGAGAGACACCAGGTTATGGCCCCCCACAGTACAGTTATCAACCAGGCCATGATAACATGAAATAGCAGCAACATATACCTTCAGAGTAGATGGGGCCCGACCTTCATCCAGGAGAGACTGAAGGAATTCCAGGACAACCGCCACCGGGCACGACACGGGATCCCGACCGCGGGAAGAACACCAGCGGGAGAACAACTTCCACCTGTTCTCATACAGCCGCCGAGTAGAGGCCGCCCTGGCATTCAGGAGTGTACGCCTGACAGGGCCAGTGACATCGAGTGCCCGCAGCTCGGGCCAGCCAACGGCCATACCCATAACTTGAGGCGGTGAGGACAGGGATGCCACACCTGACCGTCCAGCTGTGAGAGCAGATCCCGCCTGGGAGGGAGAGGCCAGGGGGGAGCCCAACAAAGTCTGAGTAGCAGTGGAAACCAGGGCCGTGCAGGCCAAAACGGAGCCACCAGTAATAAACTGTGCCCCGCCCGAAGGACCCTCTGGAGGGTTGGCCAGATCAGAGGAAAAGGGGGGAAGGCGTACAGGAGGGCCTGAGGCCAACTGTGCGCCAGGGCATCCTGGCCGAGAGAGCCCGGAACCCCGTCCAGGGAAAAAAACTGAGGGCAATGAGTGGAGGCCACCGAAGCGAACAGGTCCACCTGTGCCCGACCAAAGAGGCCCCACACCCTCTGGACCACACCGGGGTGGAGACACCATTCCCCCGGGGCAGGCCTCCCGCGAGACAGGGAGTCCGCCACGCGATTGCAGTCCCCTGGCAGATACGCTGCACGCAGTGTAGCCAGGCGAGGCGCAGCCCAAACCAGCAGAGCCTGAGACACCTCGAGGAGCCGAGCCGATCGGACACCCCCTTGATGGTTGATGTGATACACGACCGAGGTGTTGTCCGAACGAATGAGGACATGTTTCCCCAGCAGGTGAGGCAAAAACTCCTGGAGAGCAAGGTGGACGGCCCGAAGCTCCAGTACATTTATGTGGTCTGAGCGCTCCGCCCGAGACCAAACCCCTCGGGCCAACCTGCGCTGCCACACAGCACCCCATCCCGTACGGCTGGCGTCGGTGGTGACCACTTCCCTGCGGCACACTACCACCCCCAAGGGGACCCCACGTGACAGGAGACCGCGGTCCCTCCATGGAGCCAAAGCACAAAAAACATGCCCACGTCACCTGTAACCGTCTGTGGCGGTGACGAACGGCATCCAAACGAAACCCGTTCAGCCACCTCTGCAACGGGCGAAGCGAAAGCAGCCCGAGTGGAACCACACGAGAGATCGAGGCCAGCTTCCCCACCAGCTGTAGAAAGCTGACGTAACTGTGCAGGGTGCCAAGACCGAAACGGGACACCACACCGTGGATGTCGACCAGGCGGCGCACCGACGGACGCGCCGTCATAGTCAGCGTGTTCAGACTCAGGCCAAGAAAAACAGCGGCCTGCGAAGGTACCAGGCTGCTCTTTTCGAAATTGACCCTGAACCCCAAGCGGGCGACATGAGTCAGAAGGCGCTCCGTATCTTCCAAGGACCGTGCCCTGGACGGGGCGCAGATCAACCAATCGTCCAGATAAGGCAACACCTTCATGCCACTGGCCTGCAGCGGAGCAAGAGCCGCCTTCACGCATCGGGTGAAAACCCTCGGAGAGAGAGAGAGGCCAAAGGGAAGAACCCTGAACTGCCAGTGAACGCCCCGATAGGCGAACCGGAGGAACCGCCGGTGGGGCTGCGCAATGGGCACGTGAAAATACGCGTCCCTCAAATCTACGGACGTGAACCATTCCACGGCCCCAACAGTCTGAAGGACTTCCGCAGTCGTCAGCATGCGAAATGGAATGACCTTCAGGAAATGATTCAAGCCCCTCAGATCCAGAATTGGTCGAAAACCCCCCGTCTTCTTGGGCACGAGAAAATAACGGGAGTAATAACCCCTGGGTTGCAGCAGCGGATCTACCGCCTCGATGGCACCCTTGGTCAGGAGGGCGGAGAGCTCCTGATCCAAGATAAAGGCTTTTGCCGGGTCCGAGAACAAAGTAACCTTGACCCGGCCCGACAAGTGCGGCCGGCGTCGGAATTGCAGACGGTATCCGTGGGTCAATGTGGCAACCACCCACGGATCCCGAGCTCGAGCAGCCCAACACTCGAGCTGCTGATGGGAAAAATGTCCGACGCTCGGCCCTGAGGCGTCAATTCCGTGCCCCCCGCCCCCTAGGGGCTCTGGGGGGACCCCGCCCAGGACCAGCCGCGGCGCCACTTGGCTGGCGGGTCGGGCGCCTATGTACGGGTGGGGCACGAAAATTCCCGGCAGGCCTGACCTGGGGAAAACGCTGAGCACCAGACCAATCCCGAGGAGGCTGCCGAACACCGGGGGCCACCATCGGGCGCAAAAACTGCCGGGGAGGGCGCACCACCCTGCTAAGGCTAGAAAGTTGCTGTCTAGTCTGACCAGCATGGACAGTCCGGTCTAATGCTTCCTGGGCCGCCGTCCCAAACATCTGACCCGGCTCGACAGGCACGTCACGGAGGGTCCTACGACAGGCCTCAGTCAGGGGAGACTGAGCCAGCCATACCTGCCGACGAGCCTGTACAAGGACCGACATGACCCGTCCGAGTTCCCTGGTCATCAAGGCAAAAGCATGCAGAGCTGCGTCGCTAAACGCAGTAACATCAGTGCCCACAGCACTACCCTCTTGGAGGGAGGCAGACAGGGCAAGCAGCAGATGCGCTAAGGAGTTACCAATACGGCCAGCTCGAGCACCAGAATTGTAGGCCTTTGTTAGCAAGTGATCCGTCGCACGACACTGGCTCCGAGGGCACCTCACATTCTCCCGCAAGGACTCCTCTGGAGAAACAATGAGGGAGGCAACCGCCGGCTCAACAGCCGGCATGCAATCCAGACCAGCCGAAGAGGCATCGTGCATCGCGGCCAAAGCCCGACCCTCAGCCGACAGCTTAGAGAGACGGCTGGGGTCCCTCCAGCACGCGTGTAGCTCCTTCAGATACTCCGCGGACGGGGGCACAACAAAAGCAGGAGACGAACCACCACGCCTGAAAAAAGCACTGCCAGGGTCAGCCTGTCCCGACTGGGGAAGTTCCACCTGCAGACGGGATAAGGCCCTGCGAAGAACCTCCTGCATTGAGCCGTCACCAGACCGGCTGGACACACTATGTGCGGAAGAATAAGCATCGTCCCCCGAAAGGGACCGCGCGTCATCCTCGTCCCGGAAGCACGAAGCAGATGCCGCCAGAGAAAGCACATCCTCTTCCGGATGGAGGGATGGCATGGAGCAAGAACCAGCCCCAGAGACGGCATCAGCAGCACAACGTGCCTGGAATGCAGATTTCATCGCCTCCAACTCTGCAGATAACTGCTCCACCCTCGACACCAGGACAGTATCCGGCTTGGCCTGCTTGGGAGGACCATGGCCATCAGACCGCTCCCCCGAAGCACAGGCCTCAGCACGGCGCTTAGAACGCCGAGGGGGCGGAGCCACAGCAGGTCCCACTGGCAAACTACCACCGTCGCCAGACGAAGGCAGCTGAACCAGCCTCGCCACCCTAACAGCCCAGGGCAAGCAGCTGCAGTTCATGCACGGGTTATCGGACACTGCCTCCCTCAAGTGAGTGGGGCCGAGGCACGCCGGACACAGGTCATGGCCGTCATCAAAATCGAGTGCTGACCCGCAGCCCACACACGCATGTGACCCGTCCATAACAAGGTTGTTTTTTTTTTTTTTTTTTAAATTAAATTATTATTCTTGTTTTGTCTGTCTGTGACGTTAATTCGATATGGAATTAATCCCAACCGGTATACAAACTGCAGAACTGAATCAGCGTACTGCAGTTTCACAACAGAAAAGCCAAATATAGCACGGTGGAGGAGCGGACGCGCGAACAGCAGCCTTCACACCACACAATGCACCCGCAGCAAAATGCCACTCGAATAAAGTAGTGATGGAGGAGAGGGCGCGCGAACAGCAGCCGTCACACCACACAATACACCGGCCACAGAATAAACACAGGCAGCAAATGCTAACCCAAACAAGAACTGATGGAGGAGCGGGACAACGAACCGCAGCCTTCACACCACAGAGGACACCGGTAACAAAAACTAACCCAAAGAAGAACTGATGGAGGAGCGGGCGCGCGAACAGCAGCCTTCACACCACACAATACACCGGCAGTAAAACGCCAACTCAAAAATAAAGTAGTGATGGAGGAGAGGGCGCGCTAACAGCAGCCTTCACACCACACAATACACCGGCCACAGACTAAACACAGGCAGCAAATGCTAACCCAAACAAGAACTGATGGAGGAGCGGGACAACGAACCGCAGCCTTCACACCACAGAGGACACCGGTAATAAAAACTAACCCAAAGAAGAACTGATGGAGGAGCGGGCGCGCGAACAGCAGCCTTCACACCACAGAGGACACGGGTAGCAAAAACTAACCCAACTAAGAACTGATGGAGGAGCGGAACCGCAGCCTCACACCACACAATACACAGGTAGCAAAATGCTAACCCAAATAAGAACCGATGGAGGAGCGGGCTAACGAACCGCAGCCTCACACCACTCAATACACAGTTAGCTAAGCTAACTCAAACATGCACAGGCGGAGGAGCAGGCCAACGAACCGCAGCCTTCACACCACGAAATGCATGTACCAAAAGAAAGTACTGACGGAGGAGCGGGCGCCACAGCAGCCTTCACACCAACCAATACACACGTATAAGATAGAAAACACCAATAAATACCCGAAGGACAACGTCACCGTCGCGCCCCACGGAGGGCGAACCGCAGCTCCGATGAAGAGGGCTTTCAGCGACAGACGTTGACGAAGTTCAAGCAACAACGATTCGAACCGCACGCGAGAAGAAAAAAGGAACAGAGTGCTGGATGACGCTGGACTTTATTACCTCCGGTGTGTCACCCAGGGGGTCACAGGTGTGACTCATTTGGTATTATTACTCGAACTGCGCATGCGCGAAGGGAACATTCAGTGCTATGCACCGCCCTCTGGCGGTCTGAAGGGATGAAATAGAAACACAATTTATGACCCATCCCCTCTACTGTAGACATGTTGATTGTAAATGAAATATGTTTTAACTTTGTAAACCGCAATAAACAGGGAAAACAGTTTTTGATAGCGCCGCACGAGCTCCTTCCACTGTGAGCTGTTGCATTTACGTCTCCCAAGTGAGGCTCGCCTCACAGCGCCGCTCTGTCAAATATGAGAAAATTATGACCAAAAATTGTGATTTCAATCTAAAAAATAAATGAAATGAGGCAAAGTTACATTGAAATAGTTGATATAGTGACAAAGTATTATTGTTTCCATTACATTTTTTCTTTCCATTATCTGCCTCATCTGACCGCACGTCACTGCTGTGGTCAAATCTCTGTTTGTGTTTTCACAGGTCTCATTAGTGTCTCTCGGTCCTCTCACTAATTTGGCAATGGCTGTAAGACTGGACCCGGAATTCCCACAGAAACTGAAGGATTTGTACATCATGGGAGGCAACATGGAGGGTCAGCACTCCTCTGCTAATGTTTGTACACATTTCCTGTCATACGTCTTCATTACTGCGCAGAATCGTTGCTGTTTTGTGTCCAGGGAAAGGGAACGTGACGCTGTGTGCAGAGTTTAACTTCAGGATGGACCCAGAGTCGGCTCACGTGGTTCTGGAGGACTTTCTCTGCTGCACGTACATCGCCACCTGGGAGTTTGCCTGCAGGAACAAGCTGTCCTGGGTGGGTGAGGCTACTGCAGCGGTGGTTTACGAAGCGCTCCCAAAATTTCAGTTTGTTCATTTATTTATTTCAGACGTTTTTGATAATTTCAGGCACTTGGGGAAAAAATAAGAAGTCAAAATACAGTCTGAAAAAAAAAAACAGGCAGAAGCTAAAGTTTATAGACTCCTCCGCAAATCAAGTTAAGACATTTACTCCTTGATAATCATTACTTTTTGATCAACATTTGATCATTGTGTGAAAGCTTGGGACACTGGCTTTACTTCAATGTGACTTTCATTTCAAAGCAATCACATTTATTTATAAAGCGCAATTCGAACAGTGTAAAGTGCTTCACCAGCAACAGCATATATACATTTATACTTGAAGTCCATGGCTTTGGGACACACACACATCTTTACAAGGGGTAAAAATAATCCTGAAACCCATTGGTAGGAAAAATAAAGTGGAAATCTGACTCTGCTGGAACTCTGAGGGGCACAGGGACTGGCCTCCTGCTGGTGCCCAGAGTCAGGACTAAACATGAGCAGCGTTTCAGATTCATGCAGCTAAAATCTTGACCAGTCTTCCTGAAAATATTGAAATCCAGGTTAAAAACAGTTCTGTTTAGCTGTGCATACAACTGAAGAATTGTATCTTCACTCTTTTGTACTGTAATTATTTATGATTTTAATGTTTGTTTTCTTGAACTGTGCTATACGAATAACCACGCCTGCATTGCCAGGACTTCTTCGACACACTGATGAGCCAGGACTCTGCGGCGGCTCGCTTCATGAAGACCGTCACGTCTCAGTGCTGGGCCTACAGCAGAGACGCACTCCAGAACAAGAGGGACGTGTTCTTCGGTCCCGGGTTCGTCTCGTACGACTCCTACGCCGTCGCCGCCTTCATCGACCCCGGCCTGATCACCGCGTCCCAGCACTGCCCCGTCCGCGTGGAACTGCAGGGGACCATCGGCCGGGGCATGATGGCCCTGGATCCCACAGACGTACTGAAGAAGGCACATAAGGTTTTTGTGTTTGAGAAATGTGACGTTGAGAAGTTCGGGCAGTTGATGATGTCGTCTTTCAGGCAGATGTAAGAGACAAGTTTGACAAGGACTAACCAAAATCACCCGCCACAGTGATTAAAAATAGAAGAAACATACCATAAATTAGAGTCTAGCAGGGTCTAAATAACCCAGGGCTGGTCAAGTTAGGAAAATTCAGCAAAATCCAGCTCAAAAACAGGAGAGTCTCCAACCTGTAGCTCGGGAGCCACAGGTAGCTCGCCACCCCCTCTCAGGTAGCTCGCCAAAGGATTTAGAAATGAACCAGTTAAATAATATACTAAATATTTCAGAATGACCATTAGCAGTATGTAAAGTGCCTTTAAAGTTAATTATTTTTGTGATGTAAAATGTGTGTATTAAAAGAATTATCTTTCTGAAGTCTAATGTAATTTATTTAACATTCTCCAGCAGATATTCAAAATTATACATGTTTAGGCAGAATATTACGTTTTGATTCAGTGAATGACTTTAAAGTGCACAAGGGCAATCGGCTGCCGCCCAAGTCTCATAGCACCAGTCCCTCGCTGATCCTCCTGCAGGTGGTGGGTCCACAGGATGGCTTCCCAGATATCGAAGAGATGACCTTGGTCTTTCAGCGAGGGCTCTGGGCAATGTGGGGTTGAGTGTCTTGCCCAAGGACAACGACAGCAGATGACATGAGTCATGGTGGGCTCGAAGCCACGCCCATTAGGTTCAATGAACAGTGCTCTTCCAACTGAGCTACTTGTTAGAAAAATCTACCAGAAAATAATCACCAAACTCGGGTGAAATTAAAGTAATCCATTTGTCAAAATCTTTTATATTTTTGGGCCCAGAGGCTCGAAGACTTTATTAATCTGGCCCCTGAACAAAATGAGTTTGCCACGGAAGCCATAGACCATGAATGTGTGCAATCTAATTATACTAATATTCACTTATCTTTTGCTACTGTAACCTGTGATGCAACACTGACATTTCCCCACTGTGGGACGAATAAAGGACCTCTTCATCTTACTCTAGGGCGAGACAGTGTGACCAGCAGAGGCCTGTCCCATTAGTCTGCGTCAAAAAGACATATTCAAGATGATAAATGGCCATAGTCTGGACATAATTATGTCCAAAACATCAATGAAACGTGAATAAAGACCACAACATATTTTTCTGCTTGCGTAAATCTTTTATTTAAATTGGTGTACAATATAAACCCCATATGCAAAGGTCATACTGATGCTCTCTGGGCCAGTGGAACCTTTTTAAGATCAGCCCAATTTAAAAGTAAAGTTTAAATAATCCTCTTTTGGTTTTTATTTTGGAAAGCTCAAACCAATAAAACCAAATAATGAACCAACTCGACACATGGCAAATACTGCGTCCTCAGCGTCCATGTCTCCAGAGTATTGTGCGTTGCCAACAATAATCCGAGGCCAAACTGTTAAAATAAATTTAAATAAAAGCCAGCATGTATCGCTCTCATAAATAAAAAGCCATGGAAATGAAATAAACATGAGAAACATTGGCGTCTGATGAGTTACGCTCGAGGTAACGGTGCGGAGGATGGAGGGAGCTCAAAGTGGGAATGACAGGATTTCACCTTTTTAAAACTTATTTGGACAAAAAGTAACAAGCTACAAATAGAAAAGATGGTTTTGTGATTGTTCCTGAAAATAGAGGATGACATCACATCAGCGAGACTAAAACTGGGCGTTCAGATATAAAGGCACCTGAATATCTTTACACTGAAACTCCCAGAGCAGTCAATTTTAGTTTTGGAAGTTTAATCACACATACTTCTGAACGTTGTGACTTTTTTTGTATTCATTTTTGTAATTTCTATGTCATTATATTTATGAAATAAACAATCTTTTATCTGTGTGAGGAGTTCTGCCTTTAGCTCCATTGATTTGAATGCAAAATTTAAATGTAGCAATTTGTTGTTGCTTGGCAACCAACGTCTGGTCCTGGACCGGTCCTGGACTGGTCCTGGACCGGTCCTGGACTGGTGGTTTTCTCATTTCATTCTGTGGATTCAGAGTTTTTGTCTCAATCTCTGGTGTGACGTCATTACTACACAATCAAAAACATGAAACTTTAAAAATGCATAAACAGGTTTAAAACGAGTCAAATGATCCGGATGTAAAGTTTAATAGAATCTCTGTAGCTGTGTTTCCTGTCAGACACACTTTGAGTCAGGGCTACACAGAAGCAGGACCACTTTTGTGGCGTCAACAAATGAGAGTTAAGCTTTTTTTTTTTTTTTACAATGTTTAGTTTGATTTTCTAATTATCTTCTGATGAATCAATCTTTCTGTTTGGTACAAAAACAGGAAATAAATAAGTAGGTGCTAAAGCTGTTTTTAAAAGTCTTTAAAATGGTAAGAAATAATCTAGAGGATCTTTTTAAAATAAATGTCAAAAATCATGAGCTAGCATGCAGTATTTATCGAGTCTTAGCTCAAATTTAATTCTTAACTTAGGATTGTATCAAGTGGCCAATGGCATTTTTCCATATTATATTATAAATCAAGACTTCTCACCTCGAGCATGTGTTTTTCCAATAAAAGTACATTATAGAAAGCTCAATTTCTGCTTTCGGATTGGATCAGGGCAAATGTTAACTTACAAACAAAATGGCCGTCATGTCTTTTGTTTTAATTAACAATGAATTAGAATAAAAAATCTTAAAGGTGTTGGTACACATTTAACTCTATTCAAGAGAAATTAAAAATCTTGTCTTCATCAAAGCCTCAACATGAAGACTCGGTGAAGTGAGTGCAGTCTTAAGTGCACCGCTTGGTTGGATTGAAAACCCGTCGCCACACCGGCTCTGACAAACACAGAGTTAGCTGGGTTTCAATAAGAAGTCCCCCTATTTGCAGATTGATACTCTGGGATCCCAAATTTACCTTAGCTCTCTTTGCTAATCCCACATGTTTGCTAGCCCTGTGTTAGCTAGTTTTGAATAAGAAGTTCCCTATTTTTGCAATTGATAATTTGATAATTTGCAATTTGAAATTTAGGGATCCTAGCTTTAGCTTAGCTCTCTTTGCTAATCCCACATGTGCCTAAGTCCTGTGTGTGTGCAGCCTTGTCCCTGTGTGCGGAGCCCTCTCACTGGTCACTCTCCGGCTGGGCGCTGGAGCTTGTGGGCCAGGGTTCGGAGCTGCGGCGGTTCAGCGTGGGTCTCCAGATGTTCCAGGGGTTGTAGGTGCGGCTCAACTCGGTGGGGGATGCCGGGCTGGAAGGGGTGACCGGGCTGGAGACAATGTCCGAGGTGGAGGTGGGAGACGGGAACGGGTTTAGGGCGGAGTCTGCGCTTGTGGACCAGATAGAGCTGCCGAACACGGGCGTGGTGCTGGACCAGGGGTTACGGCCGCTGCCCAGGAGTGACTAACGGAGAGAGAGAGAAAAGTGTTAGCGTTCAAGAGTGTATGTGTGTGTGTGTATGTTGCTATGGTGTGGGGTCTCACTGCGGTGGGAGTGGTGGGTGAGCCAGAGCTGCTGGGCCAGGAGTGCAGGGGGTCTGGGCTCTGGACATCCCAGATGGAGGAGGAGACCGGCGTGAAGTCGGGCCAGGACTGCTGCTGCGGCTCAGGGCTCTTCGGGAGGTTCATCCCACTGAACACTGCAAAACCAGGGCCACAGTCAGCAACAGCAAACACCTCTCTGTTGTCAGGATTGAGGATAATAATACACTTAACTGCTTGTTTTACATTCATTGAGTGAATCAGCCAAAAAATGCATAACATAGTGCATTATAACAAGTTTAGTCACCACTTCATGTTTCAAGGTATTGTATAGTTTTTCAACTTTTTTTTTTTCACCTCACTTTTACACCAATTATTATACTCTTGGTTTACCAGAGTTGAAATGCAATGTTGCTTTTCACCAAGGGGAAGACAGGAACGTGTCAAAATGGCTCAAAAAGGGGTCAAAATTAACCAGGACCAGAGAGATTCACATTATCATGGACTATGGTTAGCTTAGCATTCACATGCTAGCAATATTAACATACTACAATACAAATATAAAAGAAAGAACAGCCGGTAAGAGCTTCAGTAATGTTTATAATAATAAATACAGCCACATGTATGTAGGGCTGTCACAATACATGAACATAGAGTTATCACGCGGTAACTAAACATGAGCTCGGTAAATTTCGTTTGAAACCAAAACTCACTATAATACAGCTGGGGTATTTTATATTTTCCTTTGCATGTTGGTAACTTGTGCCCAAAAGTAAAAAACAAGCGACACACAGGTTTTCACTTTCGTCAAAGACAAAATAACCCAGGAGATCAAGAGTCAATTGTTGCTATTTATTGTGTTTTGTAGGATTATTTTTTAACTGAGACCAAGTTTGTTCAAGTGTTGTTCCAGAACAGTGTTAAATATTATAAAGAGGTAAAAGTTTATTAAGTGGAAAAAGCCTCAAAATGGTATAAACATTTATTGAAATATTATTGTATTATCATTTCTGGGGCAATTTATCGTCAAGGAAAATGTGTTTTGACAACATGTAAGCAACGAGTGATGAAACAGCTCGGCACAAAGACTAGGTCACAAGGCGGGTTAAATACAGTGTCTTTTCAACACGTTAGTTTGGGTCACTTAATGTAAAGTAACTTGAATGTATGGCAAGTTCAAAACCGCTCCAGCCACATCCAAGTCCAAAGCTAAAGTAGTCGCCCTCAGCTGTTGTCTCGGCACATTCCGGCTTTATTGGCGCAGGCCTGAGCACCTACCTCCTGTCAGGTTGAAGTTGTTGTTGGGCCCAAAGGCAGAGAACGAGTTGGAGTGGATGCCTGGACTGCTGGCCGTGTCCATGGGACTCCACAAACCAGAGCTGTTAACGACAAGACACAGCTCACAAACTCTAACCTGACCTGGAACCAAAACACTGACTACAATACAAACCTAAGCTATACTATACCAGGACCAAAATACAATTATACAATACAATAAAAAACCTGTACTATACAAACCTACTATACCAGGACCAAAAGATAACTATACTATACTAGGACCAGGACCAAATCAGGACAAGGAAGGATGTTATTTTATCAATTCGCAGGCAACTCAGAATTCTATTTTATCAATACCATGAAAGCTGCAGGACTTCCTTCTTTCAGTTTAAAATTATAGCTTTCTTGTGTTTGAACTGTTTGTTTCTCTGATCTGTAATGATGAATCGACAACTTTGTGAAGTCCTCCGAGATAGCTGCTGATATATGGGTATACAAAAATGAATTGAATTAAAACCATTTCATCAGTGCTTTAGGCTTAATGAAACTATAATTAGTCATTTATATTTATATTATATACATAATGAATGTAATTTCATGCCAATAGCGTCAACTGTAGCAGTAAACTTCTTTCAGTCAAGTAATTACAAGGGGTTATTATTAAAATGTGGGAAGGAAGATCACTGTATAAAAAGTGATCCAGTCTAGGGGCGACAATGGGATGTCAAGGCATGTCATTTTAAAGCTCAAGAAAATAACTGTTTTCATTGATCAAAAAAATAATAATGGTCAATCAGTCTGCAGCAGGTTTGGTTCAGTCCATGCATGAACCTGTACTCATTTTGAATAATTCAGTTAGATCAGTATTTAGTATATTTGTGTAAAGACCTAAATCACAGCAGCACTCGTCTCTGTTGTCGATTGCTAAACAACAGATCAGAGAATTTAACAGTTCAAGCACAAGAAATACGGTAAAAACTAACACATAGGAATCCCTGTCCATAAATATTAAGATCATCACTATACACTGATTTAAATTGACTTTCAGTAGTGGAATCATTTAGTTAAGATACCTACAGGGGGTACTCTTGCCCTGGTGAGGGGGGTACACATGGAAAAAAGGTTGCGAGCCACTGGATTGGACAAACACGAGGATGTTTGGAATGTGCTGGTGCTTACCTGTCTGAGCCGTCACTCTCGACTGAAGTCATGTGGTGCAGACCTTTCCCTGGACCGGAGCCTCCTGAGGAAAACAAAAGCGAACGTGTTTATATCACGGAGACACTGAAAATCATTCAGGCGCATTTGTTTTTAGTCTTGCAGTACCTAAGTTTCAAACCAGGAAAAATATATCTTAGCTAGTTCCTCCCTCTCCTAACAGTGTGTCCTCTGTCACATGTTTATATCAGCTTTTTCAGACAGAAGGGAGAAAAACACAGGACCACCCTCACTCACCCCAAATAGTGACTCACAGGGCATGACGCAAAAGATGTTTTCTAATAACATAAAGACATCTATATTTTTAATTCAACGGCGACTGGCCAAAACAAATTCAATGCCGGTTTATTTGTATATCATCGCCATAGACGCATCATCAGCTGTTTAACAATAGCTTGAACCCCTCCAGATCCTTAGATTTTGGTGCATCCTTATCTTACTACTTTTACATATTTTCCATTCACTTTTGGTTGATGTTGGTTGAGTTGGGATTCAAAGACCAAATTCCTATCACTTGTTTACACAGAGAGACAAAAAGAAAAGCCTTAAAACGCATTTTTACTTTAGTTGCGCGATTACCTGGACTCTTGTCGTAACCAGCGGCAGCAACGGCAGCAAAAGTGGGGTTTCCGTTTTTCCCCGGGAGCGGAGGGGCCACGGGGAGTTTGGATCCTGGAGCTTTCTTTAGACTGGTGTCACTGCAACAACAACATACAATAAACACAAAATAATAAAAGTACAAGAGATTTAAAGACTTAAACAAAAAATCAAAGCATTTAAAGGGAATAAGAAAAGTTTGTGAATCCCATTATTAGCGTGGATCAACTTTCCTTTGTATTTAGATTATTGCCATTTTAAAATATTGGGCAAAAATTCTAAGTGACTTGAGTGCAGGCATGCCCAAACTAAGGCCCGCGAGCCAACTGTGGCCTCCTTTGTCATTTAATGTCTTGCTAATCAACATTAGTCTTTGACAAAAGTTCACAGTATCATCCAGCCAACTCCCGCTCTACCAATATACGCATGCTTTACAATGTTGGAAAGCTCTCGACTTCCATTTGTATGTACTGACTTTTGTTTTTGATTGTGTCACAAAATAGTTTTTTGTGTCTCACCTGTTGACGACGCTGCTGTAGGAGCCCCGCGACAGGAGGATGGGGGAGGTGGGGGGAGGGGAGCAGCTGGCTCTTTTGAGGAATGGGTCTGCGTGGATTGTCTGGAGCGAGATCTGATGAAGACTGCCCGGTTCTGCAGAAACACCAACATTAAAATGATTACAACCCGTTTGTTTGGATGCATTTTCTGGTTTAAACCCATTACGTGAAGAGATTTTGGTTATAGAACTGTTGGACAGCGAATTATGAAATATTGCTGGTTCCGACTCACGGATGTTAGTATCAGGGATGTCCCACTCTGGTAAAACAGACTCCTTTTCCCCCTCAGAGCTGCTGCTGTGGCCCAGCTCTGGCACCGAGCCACTCGACAACATTTTGGATAAAAGAGAAGAACGTCCTTCCTCAGACTTCCCATCTTCTGCACAAGAATAACACACAAAGAGCAGACAGTGTTCACTTATGTATATTAAGGGAAACAACAGTCAGACATGTGAATTATAGATTGAAATTAAACTTTAAGCAGTTACTTTGTTCTACTTCTGTGATTCCTGTGGCTTATATAGCGATGCGGCTTATATGTGTATTTTTACTGTGGTTGAGTTGTGCTGTTGTCAGAGCAGAGTGTATGGACTTATTATTTTTACTCAATCGAATAATAGCTTTCCTGCAGACTGCCCTACCCGACCCGCCTGGGAGTTCTTCAGTCCTGTACCGGACCTGTCCACGTTCAACGGCCACTGGTCCACGTTCTGTAGCTTAGGTCCTGGATCTATAGCCTGTCCGTCCATGGGAGCAGATCCCTTTCTCAAACTATGGGTCTCCCCGAGGTTTCTCACTTTTTTTCCCACTGGGCTTTCTTTCTGAGTTTTTCCTCGCCAATGCAGGAGGGTCTGTTGGGCAGTTAGTGTCCAACTAGAAGGACTGTGGTGATGATCCAGGACACTTTAACATTCTTCAACATGTAGGGACATTTTTCAACACGTGTTCTATATTCTTTTTGGGTTTTAACTGTTGATTCTCTGATCTGTGTTGGTGATTTCAATGGTTTCGTTAAGTCCTCCGAGATGACTACTGTTGTGATTAAGGGCTATACAAGAATAAGTTGTATTGTATTGTATTGTATCTCAGTAGCTATAGGACATTGGTTTATTGTGAATGAGACATGGAAGCTAACAGTTAAACTCTAAAACAAATAATGTTGTGACCAGTTAAAACAACATGAAAACCTGCGGCTTATATCCTGGTGTGGCCTCTATGTCGATAAAACAGATTTTCTTTTAATATGTAGCTGGTGCGGGTTATATACTGGACATGATTAAATACTATGCAAAATCTGTAATCGACTCACGTCTATTTTTTGGGAGGGGGCGGGGCTTGGGGAGGGTGGAGAGAGGGTGCATAGTTTTGGATTGAAAGTTCTTGCGTTTTTCTAGAGGAGTGATGTACGGCAGCTCTAGGGAACTGAAAAAAATACAAATCAAAAACAATATTAATCTCACAAAAATAATTATAGTTGTAGTAATAGTTTGAGTAGAGTTTTCTGAATTTCAAGTCTCACCCAGACTTTTCAGGCTGGTTTTCCTTCTTTGTAGTTGCTTGTTTTTTGGGTTTGGGTTTGAGTATAAAATTTGAAGATTCGTCTTTTTCGTTTGTTGTTGGTACTGATCGTCCTTTCTTTTTTATTGGCTCCTGAAAAGACACATAAAACATGTTAAATAATAGGCCTAAGACGCAAAACTGACTAGTAGTATAGACTACGACTAAGACTAGTGCTACGTAAATATATGAAGTTGGGGGCACAGGGCATTAAGATTGTATCTGGTTTTAACCTGTTCCCAATGAATGAGATCATTAGGAATGTACCTCTTTGATGCTGGCCTCCACGTCTGGGTTGGACGTCTCTGTTGTGGTGGAGGAGCTGTCGTCGTTATCGGCCAGATTATCTTTGAGCTCGTCTCCCTGAGTTTTTAAAGTTGCCTTTTTCTCTTTCTCTTCTTTCTTCTTTTGAGACTTTGTTTTTCTTACTTTCCCTTTGGATTCCAAAGCTGAAAAGTCAGTAACACATTATAAACATTAATATGTACCATTTTAAAAGAGGTTTCAAGTGATTAGATGTGCAATCAGGGACTGTATAAGCACGATTCTGGCAACGCACGTAGTCTTGTTTACTTTAAGATAAAAACAGGAGAAAGGAGAAGACTGGCATAACACTAGGAGAATGGAGAGGACTGGCATAACACTAGGAGTAAGACAGGAGAGGATTTGATTTTGATTTGTAAGAAAATAATTTATGTACATGACAATTTCAATGTCAATCGTGCTCGAGACGCCTGGACATGGACAGCTGGGTCGCGGTGTCTGTTTATGTAGCCAGTTTGCAGCTAAGGTTGCTTCACCGTGATTTCGGTGAAAATAGAGCTGAAAATGCGGCTGCTGAGTCGCAACACTGGGAGAAAGACAGTAGCAGACTGGCATGACACTCAGCGATACGGATTCGATTAAAAGAAAATTAGTGACCTTGTAGAAAAACAAGACATGGGACTTCTGGTAAAATCTTCCTTCATACCTTTACATTAAACTTGAGTAGACAAAGGATCAGATTTCTCCTATGCTTTTTAAACATCATGTGGGATGTCTCCAGTTCCCCGGCCTCACCTTTGCCTTGTAGCTGGATGCTGGTCTCCTGTGGGACCTCTGTGTTGGCGTTGTCCGGTCGGTCCAGGTCGTTGTCCATGGCTCCGATCAGACTGGCATATTCCTCGTCGGGACAGACCCCTCGGAGGGCCTCGCTCTGCTTGCCAGGCCGCTGGGGTTTGCGGTTGTTGAACTGACAGTCTGGAGAGGTCCCTTTGCTGTTCAGAGTGGAGGAGATGGAGGCTTGCATAGAGGATCGGTTCACGCCCTGCCTGTGCCTCTGGTCGCTGTTCTGCCGCCCGCCGAGCCGAGCCGAGCCGTTGGCGAGAGAGTTTGGGGGAGAGCCACTGTAGGAAAAACCATAAAAATCATACTACTTAAAAACTATTGTTTAAAAAGGGTTTGTATGCAAGATTACTATGGAAAGAAGTTAAACACGCAGGCCCAATAAAACCTTTTCTTTTCATAATATTAACTAACTAACTAATAGATGGATCTCTATATTCTGTGGCTTAATATTTATTATAATTATTGTACATTTTCTATGGTCAAATCCAGCTGGTTTGGTCACTACTAAGACCTCAGCAGCTTCAGCATGAGCAGATACATGCATGTGGTCTCCACATAAAGAACAAGTCCAGGAACACTGGGTGTAAAATGCATAAGATGCATTTTATACCAGTAAGAGCACAATATATACTATAAATATAATACACACTCGCAACTTTCAACAATAATGAGTATTGTTTATCCAGCCATCAAATACAGAGACACACATTCAACATCTGCAAGCAGAATTAACTCTCAATACTAAGTCAAAGAAGTCTGTTCCAGTAAGAACATGATCTCTGAAAAAGTGTCAATAAAACAGGTTGTTGCCTCCAAGGAGAAGCATCAGATTACAAAAAAGTATTCAAAAAATGTCTAGTTCACTGCTGGTAAACATGTGTAATGGTTGTAAGGCCATTGGTCATTTATTTAGTTTTTGAAGTAAGAATAAAACCTGGCGCTATAGAAGTTGAAATATAGCTAGACTCTTAATATCAATGGAACTTTGTGTCCGAAATAAAGTTTGATAATACCAATAGGTGAATTAGATTTAACCCTGTTATTGTTCAACCAGCCCTATGTTTTGGAGAGATGATGCAAAGTTTCTGTTAAAAATTTGCAAACAGACCGGTCCTGAGCTTGTCTATTGGTTTCAAATATTTTTTTAGATTTCTGTGTAAAAAATACTGCAGGCTTTACAATAATGCCCTATAATACCACTAAGCAGGAGGGTCCAAGGACAGTGGTGATGATCCAGGACACTTGACATTCAACTACATGTATAGACATTGGTCATCTGCCCCTTGTGGCCCAATGGCTCTATAAGCTTTTTATCATTGCATGTTTGATTCCCTGATCTGTGTTGGCAAATTGTACGGTTTTGTGAAGTCCTCCGAGATAACTACTATTGTAATTTAGGGCTCTACAAGGCTATACAAGGATACATTGAAACATAATGGGGTATTCTTCTTGTTAACCTGGAGATGGGTCCTGGAGCAACTACTACTACACTACCAAGTCAATCTGCCAGGATGTAGCATTGGAAGGATGGAACAAAAGCAGAGGATAAATTTGCCTACAGCGACAGTAACGTATACCATAACCTCTTTCTGATGGACTTACTGAGAGTTGCTGAGGTTCTGCACGATTTCACTGAGATTAAACCGCTTCCCAGTCTCCATATTATTGGACTCCACTGAAACCCGTCTCTTGAATGGCTCCCAGATGCTTTTGGCTTCGATCCAGGCTGTGGCGATCACCAGGAGGAACATGGAGCTGTAAGAGAAATAATGACAATGAGGTTAAAAGCCTAGATTACAATTTAAGTGTGTATAAAAGTAATGGCTGCATCCAAATCCATAGTAAAACCACATTTCTTTTGGCCTTTATGGGAACCTCATTGGTATTTTCAATTGGACTTACAAGAGTCTTACATTTCCTTGATCAAACAGCTCTGTCTCATAAGAAGTACATTCTAAAAGGAACAAAAGGATAAATAGGTATTTTTATGAATATGTGTGAACAATGGCAAAACCACTAAACTATCTAAATAGCAAAATAAAAAAGAATGACAGAAAGTTGCATTTTATTTGGCAACATTTGTTTCATACTATTGAAATATTTTGCCTTCAGAATTCATTCCTCTGTCCTCATCAAGCACGACAACCTATTTTATTCTATGTAGATCATATATGATTGTAGTTTTTCACAATGAGAATTTAGAGTTTGGTTGCTTTTCTACAAAACAAATCATTCTTTCAAATATAATAAAATATTCATGTCACAAGACACCAAAGGTTCAAGGAGTGAAGGTACAAGTTTAGCCAGTGGCAAAGTGATCCAAATTATCATCTTTTGTGATCTACTAAAATGTGCCCTGCTTTTATTGAGTGCTAAAAATGCTATTGGCTTTAGGGTTATTTTTTGAGGACGAGACTAAAAATGCACAAAAACTTTCAGAGGGGAACTAATTGTACCCGCTCGGCTCTTGTAAATGTTTTAATGTCCAGCAGTTCCATGTTTCAGAAGGTTTTGCATGACTGCTATTCTTTAACAAGCGGTGCAGGACTGGAGCAGCTCTCAGGGGGGGAGGGGGGCTAGCCCATGAAGCTGATTGAGTAGGGGAGTCCGCAGGTGCAGATGGAGGAGGCCAGGTTCCGGGGTCCCATCTTCACGCAATGAAATTTACATTTGACTTGAACATACTTTTATGATACAATACAATTGTAGCATGAACTTGTAAATTTCTCCACTGTGAGATCTATAAAGCTAAACATGTCACATGTCGCTGAGGTTCTGCATTATTTCACAGAGATAAAACCGATTTCCAGTCTCCAGATTATTGGACTCCACTAAAACCTGTCTCTTGAAAGATGTTGCCAAACAAAACGCAGATGTTGCCAAACAACAGACGTTGCCAAACAAAACACAACTTTGTGTCACTCTTTTTTAATTTTGCTATTTAGTCACATCTTATCGTTTCAATGTATTCCATCCCAAAAAACTGGTATTCCAAACTACTTGTGAGTAATGTATATTAAAAATGCACCCTTCAGTCAGGGGAATGACATGAACCTGGCGCCCTCACCTCATGATCAGAGACACGATGATGTAGAGCTCCAGTTCCCAGCTCGGCCGCGGCAGAGTCTCGGCACAGGTGGCCAACATGTGGTACGGCAGCGACGCGTTCAGCACAAACACGAACTCTGAGCCTCCGAAAGTCACCAGCTTCAGCTCCCGGATCACGCGAGACGACGTGAAGTCTGGAGTAAACCTACACCAGAGAGAAGCGGGTTTCAAACACTCAAAGGATATAAACGAGAGAACAGTAGCATTCAGTATGTCTGTGTAGTGGCAAGTAGAAACATGGTATGAGGTGATATGCAATCTGGATCCACAGCCTCAGACCTGGAAAGTCAATGGTGAGGACTGGAGTGACAATGGGGGACACAGTGCTTGAGTCCTCATTCTCCCGTGACCGTAAACAAGTACTGCTTACATTTTTGCCAATGAGGAAGTACGTTTAATAATAAAATAAACGTATGGCGCAGCTCCATGAACACATACTACCGTTATATTAAGTCTCTGAAAGGTCTCTGGACACAGAGACGCTGCTTTCAAAAAGCCGCTAGCTTAACTCTGTTAGCGTCAAAGCCCGCCTGTGTGCAAAAGCAGGGCAACACTTCATTCTACGTCTAAAATGTTGTGAATGTGCGCCCAGTGCGCATTGAAGTTCAGTTCAAGCTTCAGCGGTCTGAAAACGCCCCATGAGTCCTGGATCTACAGCCTCTCTGTCACTCATTGATAGCAATGAATTCACCTTTAAAAAGTCCTAGTAAAATAGTAATTTTATCTACTACAGTGAGTACAACTGTAAAAGTGGTTGAACTGGGGACATATTTACATTATATAGAAGCGCTTTTTTTCATTTCCTGTGGGAGTGAATATATAATAGGAAAAGGCAATGCTCTGGGGACGTGGAGAAATGCTTTGCCTTGAGCTCATTGAGCTGTAAAGAGCAGCTGTGAAGAGAAGTCAATGTAAATGTAATCATTTCAACACTTGTACTCACAGAATGATGAGGTCTTTGGAGGTGTTTGGTTTGAGGGTGAACTCCTGACAGTTGAGGACCTTGAAGCCGTAGCCCTCACAGACCTGTCCGTTGATTTGAGCAGGTCTGAGTGTGATCGGGAGCAGGCCTGTGTTCTCCACTCGGAACGTCCGCTTCAAGGTGAAGTTGGGCTCTCGGACTTTGGTTTCTGGAATAAAAAAAGAAAATGTAACACCTAAACGTCTGTTTAATGTCTTGTTCCAAAGTCACATATGGAGAGAAAAAAGTGAGATATCAAATATATATTTAAATCACACTAGGCTAGAGTAGAGGTGGATAATCTGAAGCTCCATGCATACATTTTCTTCCACTTTATCCATTGCCGGGTTGCGGGGGCGGCAGTTTGGGCTGACACTTTCCTATTCAAACACACTTACTCCATCTCATCTGGGGGAAACCAGAGACGCTGCCAGCTGAGAGCCCTTCCAACGTGTCCTGGGACCTGGTCTCTTCCCCGTGGGACATGCCCGGAACACCTCCCCTGGGATGCGTCTAGAACAGATGTTCAAGCCACCTCAACTGGCTCCTCTCAATGTAGAGAAGCGGTGGCTCTACTCCCGAGCTCCTGCTGTGTCACTGAGCTCCTGCCCCCCTCTCTTTGTGGACTGCTTGTATCCGCAATCTCGTCCTTTCGGTCATTACCCAAAGCTTATGACCAGAGGTAAGGGAGGGAATGTAGATTAACCACTAAATTGAGTCATCAGATCATCAGAGGTGTCCCATTTCAAACAATGCTGACCAGGAGCAAGGTTAGTACATTCCTGTTCACACCGCTTAGCAATAAAACACTAGCTGGAGCAGATTTTGGGGCGAGAAGGCACCTGGTCACAGAGTTATGCTTCTAACTTGATTTACAAGAAATATTGATCTTATATTAATATTTATAATATATATATTATATATATATTAATCTGACAGCATTTGTCTCTGAGAGAGATCCTTTGTTTTTGCAGCTATAAGACTGTATACAAGAGTTAAACGTGAGCACAATTGTTAGTGACTTAGTTAGAAATGTATGAAAAAGTGTGTGTGGATGGATGCGTCTCTTCTGCCGGACACATTAATTTCTACTGCAGGGATCAATAAAGTATATATCTATCCATCTGAAGTAGGGCCACAACGCTCTAAAGTCAATTAAACCAACTTGCGGCCATGCTAACTTCCTTTATGCCACAATTTAGATATTCCCAGTCAATGATTGGATCCATACTCACTCTCTGTGCAGTCTCTGAGCAGCCCTTCTGTCATTTTAAACCTCAGAAAACTGCCCTGTCCTGGCGCCTTCCCTGCCACCTTCAGACTCTCTGTTGTCCCACGCCCATGAAGCACAATGGTGTCGATCACTGTCAAGTTATTCCTGAGCAAACACATAAAAAAGAAAGACACATTCAGAAAGGGACAGTTCAAATTTGTCTAAGGTGGATCTAAGGGCCTGAGGATGAAGAACAAACATTGGACTGTGTATGACAGCTGTTTTGTGGGTAAGCCCCGGCTTAATACAAACACTCACCGGACAATGAGGAGAGAAGAGACACTGCGGTTGCTGGTGGGAGTGAATCGTACATTGAATGATTTTATCTCTCCGGGTAACAGGAGCAAGTTGTACACAAATGGTTTGGTTGATCCCTCCACAAACCCAGAGCTGCCCTTCACCACAGAGGTCTGAGGAACAAAGGGATAGTTAGCAGCAAATACTTCTCACATGTCGTCCTTCCCAGTAATGGTAATATCAAACACAGTGTCAGAAATGTAATTAGCATAATATAATGGTTTGAAATATGTCACGGAATACTCACTTGGTTTCTGTGAACTTGAAACTCAAGTGTTTTTTCATCAATGTTGATATTGGACAAGTTTCCTAAAGGAAATCTGAAACATAGAAATAAATGAGTTTTACTACAAAAGGGAAGATTCAAGAGTCTAAACCCCAAAGCCCGGGCCTTCTGAACCCTGAGGACCGAGCCTTCTGAACCCTGAGGACCGAGCCTTCTGAACCTTGAGGACCGAGCCTTCTGAACCCTGAGGACCGAGCCTTCTGAACCCTGAGGACCGAGCCCTCTGAACACTGAGGACCGAGCCTTCTGAACCCTGAGGACCGAGCCTTTTGAACCCTGAGGACCGAGCCTTCTGAACCCTGAGGACCGAGCCTTTTGAACCCTGAGGACCGAGCCTTCTGAACCCTGAGGACCGAGCCTTCTGAACCCTGAGGACGAGCTTTCTTTAGAACTCACTCAAACATGGACTCACATCTGAACTTCCCATCACTACTCAAGACCCAACTGTTTACAAATGCCTACACATAACATTATTGTAGTTTTGTTTTTGTAAATTGTCCAAAAAGTACTATATAAGCGCGTAAAGGTAATATCAACGCTATCCTACATTTGTCTGGTTTCGAAGAATCCAACACCCTTAATTTTATGTATCATTTAACTATTACCATTAGCTATTTGCACATTAGCCATCATGTTTTTAACCTGTGTTTTCCGTGGAGTGAAGGACTTCCACTGTCGATCTTTCTGTATTCTGTAAAACGGTACTTCTGGATTGAGTTTTAATAGCGCTTCAGTTTTTGCCCATTCTTTAGCAGTAGCTTTACTCATAGTAAAATGGCATCACTGAGTCCTCTACAGCTACCCTCCCAAGATGCAAAAAGCAGTATGGTTTTGCACAAGCAGTGGATAGATGCAGTATTTGCATATGTGTAAATGGCTTCTTATTTATGTGTTTCTGAGCGTGCACCTGTCAGCCAGTTTTCCAGAGAACACTGAAGGATTTGGTAACAAGGCCAACGGAAGGACTTGAACATAAACTGGGACATCCGCCGGGTTCTGAAGAATCACCTCCTCGTCCTGGAGACAAAAATACTTTCAATTATCACTTTTGAGACTGGTTAATAGTTACTTACTAAATAATGTTAAGCTTGAGTTATGTTCATTTCGCAGCTATTTATGTTGGCATTTCAGGTTTCATGATGTCAATGAATGAATTTCAATCAGAAATGCACCCTTCACCAAGTAGTTTTTTTAAAAGCCATAATCTATTTTAGTGCCTTACAAATACAGTTTCTCCCTTCTTGATACATATTGAAAATTACAGAAATACAACTTTCTAATACAGTTTTCAAACCAGAAATTATAAAAAAAAAAAATTTAAAACTTAAAAAAAAAAGTCTTGATTTATGGATAAACATGACTAATGCAGTAAGAGGACTAGTAAAAAAAAAAAAAAGTACATTAAAAAGTTGTATCCCTCAGTTGTATGCACAGCTATAACTGTGCATACAACTGTTTTAACCTGGTGACAGTATTGAAGCAATACTTTTGGTTTTTTTGCTGCCAATTTGTGCCAAAAATAATCCCAAGTAAGTGTTGTGTGTGCGTATGAGTACGTTGTAAAAAAGTTAGAAACTCAAAGATGATTATTACAGTATAATTATAGTATTATACCAGGGCTTTCAGCGAGATGGCAAGACCAATCTGTGTTAAGAGTTGAAAGACATCCCTAAGGATTAAGCACGAGATATAAATAACTTACAGAGGAGGCGTTTGTGTTGGTGAGGGGGAAGGTGATTCTCTGGGAGGAGTTGACGAGGGAAGGCCAAGTCAGGTGAGCTGTGACTTTGGCCTGAATGTTCTTCTGTAGATCCGTGTTCACTTCGAAAACCGCCTCGATCCTTAACAACAACAACACCAGAGACAACAGAGACAGAGGGCGGTCCTGTGACTGGTCCTGGGATAAGTCTGGCTCTGCGGTGAGCCAGATTTAACAGCAAGAATCAAACCATAAAGCATTTGTTTTGTTGGCAAATCTGATTTCAAGACCATAAAAACTGCCTTTTTTGTAATTTTTTAACTGTTGATTTATTGTCTCGTTCTTTTTCAAATAAGATCATTTTGCTTTGTTCCATTGGTAAATCTTGGTTTAAGGCAGTCAGAATGTGCTCAAATCAAGATACATGTTGCCAAATTGAAAGTAGCAATATGTAAAAATTTCATGTCAGGTCCTAATATGTCAAAAGGTATTAACAAAACATTCATTCATTTTCAACCCCTTTATTATTCCATTTCTGGGTCGGGGTGTGGCAATGAGAGCTGCCACCCAATGCTCATAGCACCAGTCCCTCGCTGATCCTCTGCAGGGGGTGAGTCCACAGGAAGATGGCTGCTCCATCAACAGTGAAACAGCCTTGGTCTTTCAGCGGGGGTTTCAGGCAACGTGGGGTTAAGTGTCTTGCCCAAGGACACAACGACAGTAGACATCAGTGGGAGCAGTTGGAGTAGGTCCCATGGTGGCAATCGAACCCATGAACCCCAGACCCAAAGGCCAATGCTCTACCAACTGAGCTACTGTCGCCCCCATTAACAAAACATAATATTTTCAAATACTTCTTTAACAGATAGCAGTAGTTCAGCCGAGATATTTGGATTTCAAAATTAGTTTTAGTCCGTGATCCGGGTTGCCATAGATCACTGCGTTGAGCTAATCTCACTGGTCAGGTACCATGTGGCCACAGAACTAAAAAAGGTCTCGTTATGATTCTCAAATCATTAATGACAAAACAAGGAATAAAACCAGGATTTTTATCTTTGTGAAAAAGGTGTTGGTTATAGATTTGTTGTTGACAAAACTCTTTATTCAGATATTATGGTCCCAGCTTGATTTGTCTGCATATCTGGCAACCCGAGTCAGGGAGAGTGCAGTACCACTTTTGGCCAGATTTTTACATACTGCTTCTTAAAGCAATTGTCAACTTATTTTCCATCACTTTGTCAGTGTAGTGTAATGTATTAGTGGAGGTATGCAATAGTTGTAAGCATATGAAACATACTTTGTGGAGCTACAATAGATTGGAGACCCCTGCCACAGGGGAAAGCAGTCACGTGTAGCTTACTTGTGCCCCATTTGCTCTTTCAGCTCCTTCCATCGTCGCAGGAGCTTCTGGTGGAGGTCCACGTCTGCGTCCCAAATGTCCTCTTGTAAAGCCAGTCCGTGAGGCTTTGACTCCGCTGTAGGAGCAAAAACAGACCATCAAAAACAGATCATCGACTCCATACTTTGCCATGATGTACATTAGGGCTGCACAATAAGTGACCAGATCAGTGAGTAATGCCAATAGCCAAGTAGGCTTCAGCTATGCTTTGCCTGAGAAAATAATTTTACTTATCAAGAGGTGATTGTGGTGATAAAAAAATTGCGAATGGTAATCTTGAATATCACATGCTAAAGTGGTGAGCAGAAGTTTGCCTCCAATTTTTCTGCCATTTTTAGTCTGTTCCAATAAGTACCTATAAAATATGTATGAATTAATAGAATTTAAACTTGTTTTTCAACTTAAAATTGCCAGTATGTCAATTTAGTACTTTTATATAGTAATAGTTGAAATGGGAAGTTTATAAATAGTCCTCCTTTCATTTCCTTTCGTCTTCATCAGTATTTGTAGAGTACTTGTGAATCAACCACAGTCTCGAGTCACTGTTAGTTTATAGTATAGCAGTAAAATAGAGAAAGAGGTCAAAAAATGATTGTGCAGCTCTAATATTCTCCACCCAGTTCCAACAACACTTACATTTAAGCACAAATGGCAGCCCCACATAACAGTGATCACCACACTGCAAGCTGGCGTCAAAATAAATATTTGCTACCTGGAAAAAAATGGAGCGGAAAGCAAATAAGTTTGTGCGTAGGGACAAATGTGACGTCCGCAGTCCGCAGAGACAGACCTTTGATTTTCGTCTCGGCTCCAGCTCGTCCTTGTTGTTTCGGAGGCGTTTGTAGAAGAAGCGGATGTCTTCGGTGAGAGCGCGGATCTGCTGCAGGCGAACTCTCTGTGTGAACGAACTCTGGATACTGAGGCTCTGGTGCACCACTTTACCCTGAGGAAAACCGAAACACATATTCAAAAATGATTGACATTACAAGTTTTGGCCATTTGGACAAAACATATATTTTGAACATTTGTAATATATATATATATATATATATATATATATATATATATATAAAAAATCATCTGTACATTTATATACAGTGGCCTGTAAAAGTTTGTGTCAACTTTTACCACATCACAACTACAAAGGGTGTATCTTTTAATTTGGCAATTGAAATGTGAGGCTTTCACTGCAGGTTTTAGATCTTAACACAGTTTCTGGATTGGAAAAATTTGACTGGGTCATTCAATTGTCTTCCTGTAAAGGGAAATTGTCCTGAGGGTAGGGGTGGGCGATATAGATCGTAAATAATATCGCAAAAGTAAATTTGAAGACATGCTTATCGTCAAAAAATGTATTTTCATTTCTTTCCAATACATTTTACAATTAGAGCAGGCAAGATGCCCATTCGTCAAATGCGTGTAAAAAGCCACCGGTTTATTTGTAAATTTCAGTAAATATTGAGCAAACCTTTTTGGATGTGTTCTTCCCGTGTTACTTGAATTTGATTTTTAATGTTAATATATGTTTTTGCAAAGATGTGTGAAGCAATTTACAAATGAAAAGCTGTTATTTTGATCTACACTGTATCTATAGATGCCCTGGCAAGAAAAAAATTGCAGTTAATTTTGTGTAATAATGATTGATTTTAAAGATATTGTGACAATATCGTTATCAGGAGTTGGGAAAAAAATATTGAGATATTTATTTTTGCCCATATCGCCCACCCCTTCCTGGGAGTAGGTAAACATCCACCCCAGCATTAAAGAAGCTATACCCGATTTGTTTTCCAATTAGTTCATAAAAATGCTTTTTACTACATTAAAAGCAAGTTGTATCATAATACATAATTTAATTGAAAACTTGAGGTCATTGATTCAGCTGTGTATGTAATTTATGCCGTGAAAAGTGCTGAGTAGAGTCTGAGCGGGACGCTCGTTCTCCTCCACTCACAGAACGAGCAGCGACCAGCCTGCGTCCTCTAGCCCCTACAGCGCTGCTTAACACCAGGGCTTCGACTTCAAAATTCGAATATAATTCTAAAATAAAAAAATATATATATATTCGAACAAATATTAGACAGCCCTTATAATTCGGAATGTATTTAATGACTGCAAATAAAATAGTTAGCTCCCAAAAGTTTCACTAGGACGTGCTAGGCAGGTAACAGCTAAGCTAGCTAGCTGTTTTATGGTAACTTCCAGGTTTTTCGCAATCGCTTTTTGTCACGTTAAAACAGTATTTTTGTCATGAAAACGTTGACAGCAAATTCTGAAATCGTCCGTGCATGTGTGTTAAGGATGTATATGTATACTGTATTGTCCGATTAACGTTTAATGGTGTTGATTGATAGATATGTATTTGTTTATTGAGATTCTCTACACAGACAAGTGTGCAGAAAGACTGCACAGTGTAGTGACAGGCGCTGATAGCTTGTTGTACTTGCAGAGTAATGGCAGTATTTTACACACCTGAATTACAAACAGAGATTGCATTGGGGCTGCGGTCATTATTGATTTGAGAGTTCTGTTATCAAGAAAAAAATATCGGAAGAATTGCATTCAAGTCAATGGAGTGTTCTGCTGCTGCTGTGAGGAGCTGTATATTAAATTATAATTAAATATTATAATATATTCTAATGTTTAAATGAATAAATTCGGACACGAAACTAGCGGTATTCTTTTACTTATATATTGTGTTAGCAGTGCATTGCTTTTGTACCATTTCATCAGTGATTGTTGTACAGTTTACAAGAAGTTGTGCTAATGCTAATGTTAGCATATGTATCAGATCGCAAATAAAACTATGTGGCTCCGTGGCATGAGAGCGTAGGGGAAATGAGAAGCCTGTGAGCGAGTTGGGGGGCGGTGCTAAACATTCAAACATTGCAGAAACGGGTATAGCGCCTTTAAGTATTTTCCAGACTTTTCATTCAAGGTTGCCCTGTGTTTTGCTCCATTCACCATCCCTCAACTCTGAAGAAAAGCAGCCCATGATCACAGCATGATGCTGCCACCCCCAGTAAAGATGGTGTTTGCTTATAATGTATGTATGATAGCCGTTTTATTTACTAATACAATATCAAAGTTTGAGTAATAAGGGGAAGTCAAGAGATGCCATTGAAAGTGTCCAAAGCTCTGGAGCTTTGAACGACTTCTCTGCAGGGCGCACGGAGACTGAGCTAAACTTGTGAAACCTGTTTGCACTTAATTTGATGGGAATATCAGTTTTTGAAAATACTCATTCTTATGCTTGTAAACGTACTCAGGGTTAGCTTACATAAGCTATACATAGCTTATTGCAGAGTCCCTGCTTGGCTTATCACAACTTTATTTCACCCCTGGCTTCCCATTTGCCACTTGTCCATAAACGCGAGATTTGCTACTGCATGACAGATTGGAATTTATGTGTGTACTATAAAGTTTACATTTTCTACTCACATTCTGTCCATGTCTTGCATTTTCATCACCACAGACACAAATTCTGAAGTGAAGCATAAAAGTACTCACCGGAAACGAAGGTGGTAAAACTATGTGTTTGGGAGAGGTGTTTAGTGCGCCCACAGCAATGACGGCTTTCACAGGGAGAGTTAAGATCTAGAGAAGAATAGAAACAACATTATTCAAAAAGGGCACACCACGTTGAAATTAAAGAACCAGGAAGTACATTAGTCCAGTTCTCAGATCTCTGCACTGGCTTCCTATGGCTCAGAGAATCGACTTTAAAGCACCTCTGTTTGTGTAGAAGTCTCTCCATGGCCTTGCACCAAATTGAATCTGTGACATGTTAGGGCCTTATTAAGATTAAGATAAAGAGAATTAACTATTATGAACCAACTCTGATTCTGAGGAGCACAGGGACTGGCCTCCTGCTGATGCCGAGAGTCTGGATAAAATAAGGGGCGACAGCTGTTCAGATTTATGCAGCTACAATCTGGAGTCTTTCTGAAAATGTGAGACAGGCTTCTTTTCTAACAATGTTCAAATCCAGGTTTACAAGAGTTCCATTTAGTTGTGCATTCAACTGAAGGATTTTATCTTTACTCTTTTTAATGTACCATGATTATTTATGGTTCTAATGACGTGTATGATTGTTCCCATCTTTGAGTTGCTGTGTAATACAAATAAACTTTCTTTTTCTTACCTTAACATCCACTAATAAGAGCTTTAAATTGTGTTGTAATATTTTCCCTGCATTATGAAGTACAGTGACAATGACTTTGATTCTTTGAGTAATCATACGTTGACTTGCATTGAAGTCTCAGCTCTAGAGGCGAGCAACTTCCACATTCCAAACTTTCGAAGACAAGGTCAGGGTTAAAACAGTCTTTTTTCAACAACAGAAACTGCTGCTTGCTCTTGTTTCTAAAGAGGAAGTCTGAAAATATTCTTTTACTTAGCTTTGTTATAAATATATACAGTGGGGCAAAAAAGTATTTAGTCAGCCACCAATTTATGCTTGGAGTGCACTAGAAGAAACCAGTTGAATAACATGTGTATTATTTTAAGTAATTCATAATAAATTGAAAATATATCAAAAAGTGATTGATCAAACCTCATAGTCTGTGGTCATGTGGACGGCGCCATCGTAAGTTCCCTCCAGAGACTTTGCAATCAGTGTGACGCGGAACACTGCATAATACCCAGACGCCAATATGGCCTAAAACAGAAAAGGGTGGTCTGAGTGAGGGTGGTCTTATTAACTTTTCTGTCTGAAAAAGTTGATCTAAAGATGTGACAGAAAAAAATACATGTGAAAACTAGTTATCAAACCAAACGAGCAAGGAACTGGTTAGATGGATTTTAATCCATAGTTCCTTTCTTGTGGTTTGAGAATTAAAGCTGGGGTAGAGAGCCTTCAATGATTTAAAAAAAACAAACAAACAAAAGTCATATGGGCCTTACAGAGGTGACGTCAGTAGTATAACATGTGCATTGTGTGTACTTAGTGAGCTTTTTTTTTTTTAATGCATGCCTAATATCTATTTTTACTTTTATAACTTGTTTAATAATAATAATAAATCGGTTTTATATAGCGCTTTTTTGGACACTCAAAGACACTTAACATGTCATTATTAATTCTCTCCAAACACGGTGAGAAACTACTACTATGGTGAAACTACTACCGCAGCTGCCCTGGGACACACTGCCAGAAGCAAGGCAACCAATATGTGCCATCGGCCCCTACGATCACCACCAACCATTCACACACTCACCAGACTCATTCTATGCAAAGGGGGTTGTGCCTAAGGACACAACAACAGCAAACATCAGTGAGAGTCGGTGAAGAAAGTCTTATGAGGGGCTCGAACCCACGACCTTCAGACTCAAAGGCCAATGTTCTACCAACTGAGCCACTGTCGCCTTGCTTCAAAGTAGGGATGTAAATCGGCGACCGTTTAACCGGTGGTTGACCGTCACAGCGTTAACCGGTCAAAGCTGTCGGTTAAAAAAAGAGAAAAAGGGGAGGTCTCTTAATAACGCTATTTTAAGCCCTATTTGCACGGTGTGACGAGCGGGTCTGTATCTAGCTGTGTGCGCCCATGTATTATAAACTCCGGGACGACTCTCATGCCGCACGAGCCACATATGCACACACGCATGCGCACACACACACACACACACACACACACACACACACACACACACGCACACACGCATGCGCGCACACACACACACACACACACACACACGTTCCCCCTCTCCATACGTAACATCCACACGCATCATCTCTCCCCTCTGTTACCGTCAAAGTTGCACACTGGCGCGGGTCAGAACTACATTGGAGCTTACATTTACACACACACACACACATACACACACACACACACACATACACACACTCATACCGGTCTGTCGCGCTCCTCTGTGTCACGGAGCCCAAAGGATTCGCGCAAATACGCGGCTCCAGTCAAACCACATGGAACATGTTTGTGTTTATGGTCCTCGGGATCAGCTCCACGCACATCACTTGTATTTAAACTTTTGTGAAGACCTGTGAGACGCGGCTCGTCACTCGCTGCTCTGACCATGTGAACGAGCCGTCGTTTGCTGCTAGAAAGTTTTGGTATTAACCCGCAGCACAGCAGAATGGGAAGATTAAAAAAGCAGTTCTCTGTGCGCAAAGGTGCCGGAGCTGTTGTGGGTTTTGGCGCCGCTGTCTCGGCTCTGATCCTGTAGAATGCTCAGCTGCACTTATGAAAAGTACGCGGCTCGAAATGGCTGTTATTTCAAAGAACGTGGACTATTTTAAACTACGCGGTTAACCGGTTTCAACCGGTTAATGAGGCTCGGTGGTCGGTCATGAAAATTCATAGTTTTTTACATCCCTACTTCAAAGCAAATTCTTTGTTTCTAACTTCCTGTTATTTACAGTGGCAAACAAAAATAATATGATTTAGTTTAGTTTATTTATTTAAAGTGAGAAGGACGATGTACCATAAACATTAACCTCAAAGGGAGAGATGAATTGTACCAGGTTATAATTTCCACCTGTCGTCCCTGGGCTATTCTGATGTATTCCATTAACAAAATTTCCTCTTTCATAGGGGACACAGGGAGGTCAGACTTTGTGTTGCCTTGTGTATGAACTGTGCTATACAACTAAAACTGCTTTGGCTTACCGTTCTGTGTGGGGAGGCAGAGGCGTTCTGCAGCTCTCTGAGGCGGCTCAGAGCTCCGGTGGCGTTCCCCTTCTCCGTCCTCAGCAGCTCCATCGAGAGGCTGTCCCCCGTCACCAACCACGACTTGAGCTCCAGCTAAACAAAAGACAATAACACACAGGTGAAGAAAATATATGCCAAGCATTTCAGATATAACAACCTTTTAAGAGACACATAGAAATAAAACTTTAGCGATTCATAATTTGTGTTAAAAACTTTTTATGAGAACAACTTCTAAAGCCTTATTTCCTCAACAACAGCAACAATAATTGTAGTGCTAAATGAGGAGTGATGCAATTTGACAACTTTACAACAAATAAATTATCTTTATCTTATTTGGGTTCCTTTGGCTGTCAGACTGTAAAACAAACCTTGAAGAGTCTTCTGCTGCTGGACACCTGAATTTCTCCTACTCAGTCTATCTCTCTCTCTCCCTCTCTATAGGGTTAGGGTTGCATATTTAAAACGGCTCTACTTTTGTTTGCAGAATATCCTTTTTACAGGAATGTACTACAAACTACTACTAACAACAGAATTATGTGTAAAATGTTAAAAGGGGCTTTAAAAGTTAAAATTTTGCCATAATAGGTTGAAGAAAGTTTGTTGCTACTTCTGTTGAAATGGTGACTGGGGAGATTTATGTTTTATCTTCATAGGAAGGATCAAGAACGAAAGTGACACATTGCATTATACGGCAACAATGTAAATCAATATTTACATGGAATTCAAACTGCTTAAGAATAAATGGAGGTAGGGAGGGGAAGGGTTCATTTAGGGATATGTGTGCGTGTCACTATTATTGCTGAATATTATCACAGAAGTTTTGTTATTGTCATTTGTAACAGTTTGAGGACAGTGTTTTTTAGTGAGATTTCTAAACTTTTGCGCAAACTTTTGCGCAAAATAATGTTCCACTTAAGAGAATGAAACTTGCATCTCCTGCACGTTTCATTCATCCTTCTCTGCCCAGTCCTGCTAAACAAGAAATGAAGCGTTTCTATAAAACAAACCAGTTGGGTGAGCATCGATGAATTGGGAGCCACCACCTGTCTTTAATAACGTGAAAGTAACAATGTAAAATGTGTCTTTAACAGTGTTAAAAGCCCCTTTACGGACAATGCAGATTAGCCTTGGCTATAAATGTTGTAGTGTTTCATATGCTGACTGTGTGTACCCGACCAAATAAATACCTAAAACAATGCATTTTTGATACCAAATTCCCCTTCAAAGTAAAGCAATAACTTCTCCAGCTCCAGAATACAGGATTAGTTTTAAAAGATATTGTGAAATTTCATAGAACAAGTTATATGAATTACCCTGTTTTATTATGATAAGTTGAGTGGTCATCTATTTTATTGTTTCATGTTTATTTATGTATATAGATAATTGTTTTTTTTTTTTGTTTTTTTTCTATTATTAGTCCTTTTATTTAAAGCTGGCAAACTTGTATATTTTAATGTGTTACTTTTATCTGTGCAGCACTATGGAAAAGTGTTTTATAAGATGTCCTATATGAATACAGTAGATTGGATGATGGAGATTAGATATATCTGTATATTTATGGGAAACATCTAGATCGGCTCTTTCCACTAAAGATATTCTACAGGCAGACAGACCTCTATGGGATTGCTGTTAACCACCACAAACGTGATGCTGCTGGTGTCTGTCGCGCTGCGGATGCCAAAGTCCAGCAGGTTTTCTCTCAGACTCGGGGGCAGGACCAGCGGCTGCAAAACAAACAAAGACACGTGTTACAAGAATAGTACACAGACACATTTCCCTACAAAACCACAACAAATAGGTCGATGACATGAGATCAAGTTCAACACTATATCATAATAATACAAAAAATATATTCAATCTATAAATACAACGGTGTTGCACTTAAGACGTTAATTCAGTTTCTCAATGTGTTTTAAAGGTCCTGAAAAACTTGGAACGATTACTTTTTTAGTCATATGGGCAGCTCCAGGTTTGAAATCAAAATCAAGACTTTAAACACATGTTTAAAAAGTATATTTTTAAACAGCAGTGTCGTTATGAGAACATAAAATGCAGTGTTGTATAGATATATTTATAATTTGAGAAAATAATATTTCACTTAATCCAAAAACCCTTTCAAAGCCCATTGAATATCATTTAGAGAATTTGATAAGTAATAGAATGTTAAAATCCACTCTCCATAGTTTCAGGAAAGGCCAGTTGTATTTGCATTGCAAAATGTATACACTGGACATTTCAAAGTGCTTCACAAAACAATAGAGGAAGCATTGACACTGGACTATTTGGTATCTTATGTTTTTATTTTATTTTAATTGCTTCTATTTCATAATGTTTCCTAATATTTTATAATGTTTATGTTTACATGAATAAAGCTGGCTGACCTGTACATGTAATTACATAACCTTTTATCTCTGTGCAGCACTTTGGAAACTTTATCTATGAAATGTGATAGATTAAATAAAAGTAATTTTCTGACATAACTAGAATAGGCAACATTGAGGAGGCAACATTGTCACATATGCTTAAGTTAAATGATTTTAAGGCCTTGAATTTTTCACCATCTAATTTAATATCTTTTAAATTATTTAACCCTCTATGGCATACTGTTGCCCTCGGGCAACAAACCAATCTTTTGGCTCTTACACTGGCCCTTTAATGTTTTTATTTTATTTTTTTATTTATAAAATTACTAGACATGTTTCTGTCCAATTAAATCAAGTTCTGAAGTGGGTGGGGGCAATTGTCTGGGGGTGGAGCAGTCCTTTCAGGAAGCAGAGTCACAAGTGACACAGTGCCAGAAAAAGGTAGGATAAATATAACTTTTCTACATGTTTAAATTCGAAAAACTTGATAAAATAAATATGTGACTGTGCATGAATATGTTAAGAAGCATATTTGATTGTTAATATATGTTTTTTGTTTACATTTATATACAAAAACTGCACGTTTAGGTTTGTTGCCTCAAGGCAACATCATGCAGTTGTAGCACTTTTGTTTGGGCAGTGTAATGCTGCTGGTTGGGGATGTGCTTGAATGGATAATCAACACCACACTCAATGTTTTTTGCTGTTCTATCTTCCATTCTGATTCATCTACTATTGCTTGTAGGAAATGGATGCAATAACGTTTTACGGGTCCAAGAATGAAGGAGTTAGGGACATTCCAATCGATAGTCCTGGTCTCAGGTCTCTGTCCTGAAGTCCTCTCACATTAGTCCAGGTCTCAGGTCTCTGTCCTGAAGTCCTCTCACATTAGTCCTGGTCTCAGGTCTCTGTCCTGAAGTCCTCTCACATTAGTCCTGGTCTCAGGTCTCTGTCCTGAAGTCCTCTCACATTAGTCCTGGTCTCAGGTCTCTGTCCTGAAGTCCTCTCACATTAGTCCTAGTCTCAGGTCTCTGTCCTGAAGTCCTCTCACATTAGTCCTGGTCTCAGGTCTCTGTCCTGAAGTCCTCTCACATTAGTCCTGGTCTCAGGTCTCTGTCCTGAAGTCCTCTCACATTAGTCCTGGTCTCAGGTCTCTGTCCTGAAGTCCTCTCACATTAGTCCTGGTCTCAGGTCTCTGTCCTGAAGTCCTCTCACATTAGTCCTGGTCTCAGGTCTCTGTCCTGAAGTCCTCTCACATTAGTCCTGGTCTCAGGTCTCTGTCCTGGCTGTGAAACATCTATGTTTCACAGCCACTAGCAACTGCTTCTTGCTGTTCCATACACAATAGGCTACCGAGACCCGCAGCTGTGTGACTTACTAGAGGCTCAGAACTGTTTTTGCTTTTGTTTTTGCAATCTGGAGTGCTCTGTACCCGTTTAAAAAAGTTGAGCTTGAAAAATAAAAGAATAAAAGCTTCTCTTATGTATTTGTTTTATTATTTTCCTAATTCAATGTAATATTGAAAACCTTGGTGTTTTAGTACCCTCGTCGCACAATGTTGCCCTTAAGCAACAAACCATTATCTGATTGGGGGGGTGGGGGGGGTCAAATGTAAAGATCAATATGTTATTAGGGACCCACGAGCTCTTAAAAAGTGTGTTGAAATATTTTTTTCCCCCTAAAATAAAAAGTCATGCCATAGAGGGTTAACTGCTCAGGGGTCATGTTAACAGTTTAATGAGCTTAATGTTGGAGCTCATGAGATGTCAGAAAGAGAGAGGGGCCTTTTGAAGGATTGAGAGAAAGCTGCTTCTCTTACTTTTAGTACAACATGTAGAAAGGTTTTGGAATCATTCTATAAGCTAATTTGTTCACTGCGCTTTTCTACACATCAACACTGAGTAACAGAACAGCTGACACATTGAAGGTTGAGAAACATAACGCAGGAAGTGGCTGTGGTTGGAAATGTACCTCGAGGAAGCCGGTGTAGGCGCGTACAGGAAGGTGGAACTTGGAAGCGTTGGTGATGAGGAGCAGGTTGCTGTCGATGTGGATGGACGGTCGGATCGGTCGGAACAGGAGGGAGAAGATGTAGCGAGAGCTGTGAGGCGGGATCACGATGGGAGTGCTGAAGTTCTGCACCTGGACACAACACAACGAGGGGTTAGCAACACGACGAGAGATTTGAAATTGTGCTTATTAATCTCAAACCTGCTGGAAACAACAGCAAGTCCTAAGTAGCTCTGAAACAGTTGTTTTTGTGCTCTACAGTTGTTATTTTTAAAACGCGGGAGCAACATTTTCATAGGTGTTGAAGTAAAAAGTACTGAGTGCTATTTCTCATACATTCAAATACTGTTCCTTTCTTAGAAAGTCAAGCCTTTGAAACAAACTGTTGAAAATTCAAGCAATACTACATATATATTTTTTGACTGGTATCGAAGCATTTTCAGCATCTACAGCTAGTTATGTTAGCTAAGAAACATAGCTACTAATTTGTATATATTGTGTGTGCTCTTACTATTGTCCTATATGTGCGCTGCAACATCGAAATTACCCCACTGTGGGACAAATAAAGGAATTCTTATCTTACATACCAAACTTTGAAAACACCTTATTGAAATTCAAGCATTTTAAGTAACGACAGTATCTACCACCAACACTATGGAGTACGTACTAAAAAAAGTCGGGAAGATTTTATTAGATCACAAAGACAGACATTTTGGGTCACTTTGCCTCTGGCTAAACTTGTACCTTCACTATGGTGCCTTGTGATATGATGGTATGATTAGTTTTGAGTAAGAAAACACAGAAAAATGACTATAGATTCCTATAGTGAAAATATCCAATACAATCTTATCTATAAAACTCAAATGCTAAGGTGCAATAAATCAAAATGCATGTTATCTAGTGGATTAGACAATGAGACATTTGTGAAACTCTTTAAAGTGTGTTCATGAACAGGGGAAAAATACTAGTTTTTTTGTGTATTTTAATGTATGTTTTAACCTATATTATAACCTGCTACTGCGTGAACTGTGAGGCCTTTGTCTGTGCCCTCTAGGACCAATTCTTTTCCATATTTGACCAAACCCTCTAAGTAAGCAGAGCTGGAGATCTAGAGACGATTGTTTTACATTTTACATTGACATTTACATTGAACATGGTTTTGGCCTCCTCCGGCAGTGTCACATTATGGATCCTGATGGCAAAGCTGAAGGCGTTGGTGAGGTAAATGGGTTTGTCCACTGGGTCGACCGGACTGTCGCGGATGTGGAACAGTGTTGCCGTGTGGTCAAACCCCAGGTACCTGCCCAAGAGAGAATAGAATCATGTCTCAGTCCAACGCTAAAGGTTTATGTAGGTTTTCTTGAAGCATAAAGAGAAATGTATCCGATATGAACTTCCATGATGACCTGAACATTACAACTGAAATCACTACAGACACACACTCACACAGCATTCACACAGAGATGGCCATACACACTCACACGTAGGAGTGTGACAATATATCGATATGGTGATGTATTGTGATACTTTCTCACGCGATCGATTATCAATATGCTTTTGCTAAGTATCAATTTAAAAAAAAAAATATATATATATATATATATATATAATTTTATTTTAAGCTTCACTTGAAAAAAAGTATTGTTACTTAATATATGGCTACATTACGCATTCTACAATTTCTGTAGAATGTTCATATTGATTTTAGTGGATATGACAGATTCTGCAGGTTAAAAGGCATTTTTGCTTGTTCACTTTAATGTTACACATGACACTTTATCCATTTATCTTGAAATAAAGTGTATTTTTTCACTTAATTTATGCCATAAGAATTATTATCGTAGGTATATTTTTGACCAATATATGGATAATCGCTGCATTGTCATATTGTGAGATAAATTGTTATCGTGAGCTTTGTATCGCACATCATATTGTATCGTGAGGTACCCTGAGGTTCCCACCCCTACTCACATGTCCAAATCTGTTGTCACTCATAATAATAATCTTATTAACTATTGTGTGTTAAAGGGTGTAGGCTCCTTTTGAGCTTTATTTGGTGTAATCTGTATGGTCTTAGTATTATGAGACACTCAAGCACATAAATTAATGTAAAAAGTATTTTCTGGTTTGCAGAAGAGCGAGGAAGTATCAAGTGACGATTTATAATGTCTGGTAATTATTTCCCAGATCACACAAGAGAACAAATGCTTCACAGATCTGTTTCAAGTGACTAGTGGATACATGTTCACCTGCTGTTTCGGTGGTTTCATGTCCATTAATAAAGACATTTTCTTCTAAGTGAACTGGTCCAGTATACCGGTCAAACTAATGTGAACAAGCCCTCACATGTCATGCCAAGCTGGCTCTGCATTAGCATCAGAGCTGTATCAACATTTTCATTCAGTTCAAATTAACTACAAAAAGTGTTTTGTTATGTTTGAAAATCTTGTTTTGATACAAACAATATATAAAACATGCACATACACAACCATACACCAATAAAATCTATAATAAAATCCAGCTACTCCAGGTTTTTGTCTGAAATCAATTTGGTTCCATCACTAATTTTCAAATGCATGTATAATTGGTCCCTGTCACATCTTTAGATCAGATATTTTCTTTGTTTTTCAGAAACAAAGTAAAAGAGGACCACCCACATTTGTTGAAGTAGAATTTTGAGAACAAATCAGACCACAACATTCGGTCTTCATCTTATTAGGAAACTTTTGCATAGACTTTCTGTTGGGACAAACATGTAATATTGATGATTGTGTATGTTTGCTATTCTGATGATTGTCTATACTTTTACTTTTATCCCTTCTGCCATTTGCAGTGTGTAGAGAGATACAACATAAACTAAAACCATTGTAATGACACCCCGCCCATCTCATTGGTCATAAAAAAAAAAGCAGGCCAGACTCACCCTTCTAAAACTTCCGCTTGGTAAGGGATTTCAAGTTTGGAGTAACTCTTCTCTTTTGCTTTTACCGTAATTTTACCCGTACTGTGTAATAGTTTTGTGGCTTTAGAGGCTGCAAAGTGATAGAAGGAAATACTGATCAAACAAGAGATAACATACGAGGCAAAATAGAAATGCAAATCACCACACATTAAGAGGAAGTGGTGTAAACACGCAACACCGGGGCATGAAGCTGCTTTTTCAGACAACTTTGAGACTACACAGATGGCATAGACATAGAGTAAGAGTAGAGTAATAATGGTCAAAACTCACCGTCAAAACTTATACTTGCAACTTTGGTATATCTGCTTTCTCCTGCTTTAAGAGTTACTGCTTTGAAATCTATTGTGACAGCTTCATTTGATGGTGTTGTGCGTATACTCTAGAAAAAGAAAAAAGATAATGCAAGTTAAAAATGTAACAAAACTGCAGTCAACATTGGTCAATTCAAGTAATAGCCACATACTGTTATTGGAACATCTTTGGTTCCTGAATTTAAAAGGTGTAGATTTAGCATTTTTGGCCGATCTGTGAAGAGGAAGTAGATAAAAACCACAAAATTAGAAAGAGTAGAAGGCTGGCCATGTTCTTGCAGAGTTGCAGTTTTGTTGTAGGCGTAGGCTGTACCTTGTGATCGCAACGTGCCAAAATCAAGCATTTCTGTGGAGGAGTATATACCAGGCGCTATACAGATAAAAACAAAAATAAATGTAATTAAAGTGATCCAACTGTTACTGAAATATCCCAACATATAAAAGTACTTGAAATGAAGTGCTTGAAATAAAATGTGCTGGTCCCATTAGTTCAGTGTAAAAGTAAAGGGCTTTAAAAGACTTAATTATGCAAGCAAAAAGAAAAAAGTGGGGAAAAAGACAGACAACTTTAGATTGAAGTTGTATGAATGTACTGTAGCGTTGTCAATTCAAATTCAATACTAATGAATCAATACTAGAGATCGATCAATATTGGTAGTCTGTAGCCGTACGAGTGGGTGAATGACCAGAATTAAACCTATACTGGGAAAATTAGTACATCTTTAGTGATTATTACATTATGGATTCTGGATGTTGATGGAATGAGACTCATTTTGAAGGGAAGGAAAATAGAATATTTGTAGTTAACATGGAAAAAGTTCAAGTTGTATTAGTACATTTGCAAGTGACTAGATCAGGGGTGTCAAAGCACATTTCGAAAAGGGCCAATGTGGCTGCATGTTTTCATTCTAACCAAGTAGGAGCACACCAGACTCCACACATTTCTTCAAGTGGTCGGAACCTGGAGACTTGAGGAAATGTGTGGAGTCTGGTGTGCTCCGGCTTGGTTGGAATTAAAACCGGCAGCTTCACCGCCCCTTTGAGACCCATACATCTTGTTTATTATTGCATATTATTCCTCTTATTACTTGCTTAAAGAGTATCGAGTTCCAATATTAGTCGCAGAATCTCTAGACAACACTACAGTACACTGCATTGTCTGTTTTTATATTTCATTTGAAACCAGAACATGCCATTTGATTTCTTCTGAGAACAGCGAAACTTGGTCAGACCTGAAGACACCTCCACTTCCACTGGGAGGATGATAAATTGGTCATCGGCAGCATTTGTTTTTATTCGGATAAACGCTGTGTGGTTGTCCGCGTCTCTGGACGAGAAACTGGCTCTCATCACTCCTTTTGTTTCAAACGGAGGAATTTCCTATAAGAAGCAGAGTTGGAACCAAGCAATGTAAAGTTCCGTAATTTCCAGACTATAAGCCGCTACTTTTGTCTAGTTTTTCTAATCCTGCGGCTTGTATAGCGATAGCAGCGTTTAGAGCTTGTGTATCATAGAAAGAAGGTCCTGGGTTCGATTCCCCTCCAGGCTTTTCTTTGTGGAGTTTGCATGTTGAGGCTTATGTTCAAGTGCGGCCTATATGTGGACAACATTTAAGTTTAGTTTCAAATTCTTATATACGGCTTCTATACAGGTGCGTCTTATAGTCCAGAAAGTACAGTACCTGGTTTATAAAAGGCTGATAATGTGCCATTCAGATTTTCTCAAAAGAATCAAATAAAACATCAGAAAACAAAAACAATGACTAACCCATAGTTTCCCTGTTCCTCCTTGTTGACCAGTGGGGAGCTCTAGATGCAGATCGCCACCACTGGAGTACATCTCCACAACCTTCGGCACAGAAATAGAAAGACGTCAAAACAAAGGTGCACTTCTGCAATAAACAACGTAACGCAAGCCCGGGCTTCACCTGTAGAGGCTCGCTAAACGGGTTGTGGATGTTGATGAGAGGAGAGAAGCTGCTGTTCACTGGGACGCGGGCCCCTATAAACGGACGCAGCCTGTAAGGGTTTGGGATGCCGACCCCAAATACCTGGAGGGAGACAAGGACAATATGCTCAAATACAAATATAGAGTAAACACCTCAAATAAATGATAGCTGCATGTGAAAGCTGATTCTAACAGATCACATGTGTTACACAGGACAGGGCAACTGTGATGGGAGACTGTTGAGAACACCAAGTGCCACAGATGAGAGAGCAAAGTACTTAATTGTTGTTGTGTCCTTTGGCATAAAATCTTCTCCCACATTGTCTAGGATGTATGAATGATTGATGTGATGAACGGAAGGGTCGATATCTCAGATTGTTGGCAATGAATGACTATAAGAACCTTCTTTGGTGATTATAAACAGCTGTTTATATCATCTGTACATGATCTGTACATGATTAATCATGTACATTAAGAATTATAGTGCTATATATACCAACAATGGAAAAATCTAGCACAAATCTTAAACTTCAACAATCGGCATGCTTTCCTGCCAACTTTCTTGGTTTGATGGAAGATCATAACATATAACAACTTTAATGACGAAAAAAAGTTTTGGTCAAATGTAAAATACAGAACCTTTGAGCTCCCTCTGAGACACCTGGTCTTCCACCCAAGATAACTGGCTAAAGTGTACGTTGGTGGCCATATCTCCAGACCAACGCTCATTTACTAGATGGAAAAGCTCTCACACTTTTTAAACTCTCAGCTTTGTCCCTGCAGGCCTGTCAACTCCACATCCTCTCACACATAGAAGTAACTGCAGTGAAAGAAGTGACATGTCACGTGCAAAAGCCTGTATGAGAGATTAGATTATCTGATGCGTCCATTTTACCGCTGTCACATGGCACGATACACAGCCCACCAGAGCTGTTTACAGAGTATTATACTCTTCAGTTTTAATTTAAAACAGTCTCAATAATGAGTGTGAGGAAGGTTACCTCTCCCCATAATTTCAAAAAATGAAAAGAAATTGTGTTTACAATAGTTTCATACAAAAAATATTGCACAGAATAAATGATGACAGATACTTTAAATAAATCTTGGGTGCAGATAGTTGAGGAAAAAGGAAAGGATTACAAGGTGCTCTTTGTTTAAACCAATTATATTATTTTATTTAAAGAAAATGTATATCATGTACAGGATTGTCTTGCCTTTATGTAAGGACTACTGTTGTTGTAAGTTGTAAAACCAAATATATGATATTTAATAAAATAAATAAACAGCCTCAAAAGGATATTGGGCAAACGTTTTTGTTTTGTTTTTTGTTTTTTTTATGTCCCATTTTATAGTTTTATTTTGAATCTATATTGTCTAAGAATTTAACTTCAAATATTCCAAATTAAACTAAGTTACACTACCACAAAGTTAATGCATAACAGTTTGCATTGCTGGTACATTACTTCCATATTCACTTGAACAACATGAAAGCTGATCTTCTTTTACTAGACGACTCATCTAAAGGCAGTGTCAGGGTGTACCAACCCGATTGGTCAAGACATAAGACAAGGAACCAAAACCAGGAAGGAACTTGTGCAGATATAAAAGTAGTTTTACTTTCACACCTTGACAAGTGGCAATAAAGTAAACTGTAAACTATAACTAAATAAAAAAACTAACTTCCTTATTGTTGTCTCTTATTTGGAGCAGCAGACACCATGATATGACACGCTGTACCTGGTATGTGAAGACTCCATGATGTGAAGTATTAATAAATAAAGTATTTTCTACATTTCCAACGACTCGAGCGAGAAAAACAACATCAAATGAAGTATTTCCCCCTGGAGGGATTATCTGCAAGAAAAAAGCATACATTAGTACCCATGCAAAACTGGAAAAAAGAGAAATAGCCGCAAACATATAACCAATTTTGTAACCTTAGTTATACACCAGGGCAGATGCATTATGAACACAATGTTTTTTTTTTTTTTTTACAATTTACTTGAGAGTTTTATTGTCAGAATTATGGGCGGACATCACCCATAATGCTCGCAGAAAGTTGGAGAAGCTGATTTGAACATAAGCTAGCTGGAGCCAATTTCCTTATATAGGCATTTGTTCTGACGCTGTCAGCTTCAAAACATGTCCCCGACACGGCCATGTGCCTCTCTGCAGCAGAGTGGGAGGAATTTCCCACTCTGCTGCATGCATGCTGCTCCTCTGTTTGCAGCATGCATGCAAACAGAGGAGCGGCTGCTGTTCTATGTAAGTATTTTGACTCAAAGTTGCAAATTGTATGCAAAAAACACTCCGGGCCCACACTCCGGGCCCACACTCCGGGCCCACACTCCGGGCCCACACTCCGGGCCCACACTCCGGGCCCACACTCCGGGCCCACACTCCGGGCCCACACTCCGGGCCCCCACACTCCGGGCCCACACTCCGGGCCCACACTCCGGGCCCACACTCCGGGCCCACACTCCGGGCCCACACTCCGGGCCCACACTCCGGGCCCACACTCCGGGCCCACACTCCGGGCCCACACTCCGGGCCCACACTCCGGGCCCACACTCCGGGCCCACACTCCGGCCACACTCCGGGCCCACACTCCGGGCCCACACTCCGGGCCCACACTCCGGGCCCACACTCCGGGCCCACACTCCGGCCACACTCCGGGCCCACACTCCGGGCCCACACTCCGGGCCCACACTCCGGGCCCACACTCCGGGCCCACACTCCGGGCCCACACTCCGGGCCCACACTCCGGGCCCACACTCCGGGCCCACACTCCGGGCCCACACTCCGGGCCCACACTCCTTATTAGGCTCTTATCAGTATCACAGAGAGCTAAACCACAGAAGCCAATGGCAAAACATATTTCAATAATATATATATTATATAATAGAGGCAACATATCAACTTGCTAATTATTGTGACACGTCTGACAATCACCAGTCACTCGGCTTCAAAAAGCTTGGATCAAATCAGGTTCTATGTCATCATTCGTACATTGTGTAGCGAGCAGTAGTGCCCCAAGCCACAGAAGAGGCATTTCCTGAGAAGGGAATGTTCACTGACTGGTAATCAAACTATATTTTACTGCAACAATCAGATTCCTCTTAAGTGCACGCTCTTGCACATAAAAGATTGAGATGATAAAGAGCTCTTGGCATCATTACATTATAAATCAATAACATCTAGTTTGGACAGTACACCATCCATCTATCCATTTTCTTCCACTTAATCCATTTCTGGGTCAAAGGGGTGGCAGTCAGAGCTGCATCCAATTCACAGAGCACCAGCCCCTCACTGATCCTCCTGCAGGTGGTGAGTCCACAGGAGGATAGGCTGCTCCGTCTGTGAGAGCAAAGCCGTGATCTCTCAGCGGGGGCTTCAGAGAACTCAAGCACTGATCACTACTCAAATTACAAAATACTGCATCTAGTCGCTTGTGACCAAGAGTGACCAAGAGTAATTTGTGACAGAACCCAAATGACTGCTGCAAAAAGTAATTTTGCAGCCGTCGCAAAACAAGAACAAACAGGAGGCTCTTAAAAAAAAAAACTAGATTAGAGTAGCAAGAGTCACTTCTAGCCCCAGACCCCACAAAGCCTATATTCACAGCAAGAATGCACTTACCCTATTTTGGAAAAAGGATGCATGAAAATGTGCCGTTGTAGCAGATATCGATATCAAACTTATTTCTTCTGAGCTAGGATTATGTAAATAAACTTTCTCCATTTTAGGCATTCCAACTGGTCTGTAAACAAGAGGCAGGAGGTTAGAACAAAAGTCAGTGTAAAGTTGCATTATGTTTGAGCATTACATATGCTATACTTGAAAATACATTATTTGCACCACAAGACTACAATAAAGTCATTCATTCATTATCATCCCCATTGGAGCAGAAAGAAAACTACAAATACCAAGAACCTCGCATTTTACTAGTATAGGGTATAACTGTATAATTTGTATGTTAAGCAGACTGTTTTGGAATCTTGATCAAATTATAGAGAACATACTTCAAAGTTATATATTTTTTTATTTAGTTATCAACTTGATCTAGATAGGTATATTTCAAATTAAAATTATCTCAATTCATTTGTCAAGGTTCCAGAGTGAGGATACTTGATTCCTCATTCATGGTCAAGGAATATTAACTCTACTCTACTCCACCCTAAAGTTAGCTTAGCTCTCTGCACTTTGCATGACTGCCAAAAGAGGCTGGACCATACACTTCCCTTCTACTCGGTTTTAAGTCAAATCTCCGAATGGTCAGCATAACCTATATATTTGAAACAAAACTCAATTGCTGATTGAGTCCAAGAAAATGGGTCTCAGAATATAATTAAGGAAATGCAAAGTTAATAATTTTTCATTTTCAAGACATAGAAAAAGTAAATTATCTTCTACTAGAGGCTCGAGATTCTGGTAGAGTCATTTTTCCATGATGGTTATATGTTAACGCTGATGGTCTTTTGAAGCCAATTGACTTTGGATAAAAACCTCACAGATTTCACAACTTCTGTGCTACTGCGAATGATTAATAGTATTTTTTGCTCAAGAAAAGATGGCAGATGATTTAAGGCAAAAACTAAACTTAAATATAAATATTATTTTCAGTCAGTTCCGATAGTTATTAACAAATACATTGCCATCTGACTAGATCATTCAAGAGCTAAAAAAAGAAACTGGTGATATTTATAAAATCATAGTAAATCCATTTCAATATGTTTGAACAAATCTGATTGTGTACATTGTTTGTGACAAAGGGATTCCTGTATAGGTGATAAAGCACAGAAGCTAAGGTTAGGTCGCAGGCAGAGCTCTGTGATGTCAGGGTGTAGCCTTAAGCAATCTCCCCAAGACATGGCATTACATGGGTTTGGTTAGTGAATACCACAGATCTGGTTAATACTTCAGGCATGCCATCACACCACGCCACATCGGCTTTACGAGCTTCTAGGTGTGGCTCAATAACATGGAAATGATACTGTTCAGCTTAAGAGTCAATCAAATAATAATTAGGAGAGTTAAAGAAATCACTCACTGTTCGTGGAAGTCCAACATCGGAGGTTCAAAGCGTATAGGGCGGCAGTTTCCTCGATGTGGGGAAGTGCTAAGAGACAGATAAATGTATGTCAGGAGGAAACCAACAGAAGGAAAACTCGCACCCATGCTGGAGAGATTTAAGCCAACAAGACACTAAAACTTTCTTTCCCTAGTCTTGACCGCCTCGAATGACTCCTATTCGCGGCACTTTAATTCCATAAGCAAAGTCTTCACTGGTGTCCATTGCAAAGGCAACACAACACAAAACAACCAAGTCCGATCTGGTTGTGGCTCGCGCAACACCAAGCAGCGCACAAATGAACATCGCCTGCACTGTCAGACCGCCGTACAGACGCAACTCGCCAAACCTGTTAGACAGCAGGTGTAAAGCAACAATAGGCTGAAGCAGGCAGAGTGTAATGAGAGCCTTTATGTAAAACTTATGGAAAAAAAATGCATTAATGATGCAGGTGTGGCACCACAATCTTTAAAGGTCCCATTTTACACTTTTGGACTTTTCTCTGGTTTTAACATCATTACAGTGCTATTTGGTCTTCATACACATGCCCAGAGTAGTTTTTTATTGATTCCCTCAAGCTTTAGATAGAGAGCCATCTTCCTCTGTTATTCTCCAGAGGCCCAAAAACTACCTGATTCACTTTGCTACATAGCACACTTTCACACGTAGCTTGAGCTCCAGAAGCCTTGCCTCCAGGAGGTGATTGACAGGAGAGAGAAACCACAACAGCGAATCAGCGCTCGCAGCCTGTCTCAGCGTATGGTCCCGCTAACACGGTAGGTGTTCGTTTCTAGGTTGTTTTTCTGCTTCTGACAGTGACTAAAAGTGTTAGCATCGTGTCATCTTGGAGAAATGTGTTTTATGTGAATTTGGTATAAATATGTGAATTTGACCAGAAGATGAATACCCGAGTGAAGCTGGATATTCTGCTCATGGGTATCTGCCTACGAAATCCGCAACAAATCTGCGTTTCTGTTTGACACTTCTCCAAAGACTACTCGTTTACCATGAAACTGGACTTACTCAAAAGCGAATTATTCCCATGATAAAATACGCTAACGAAGAGCTCCGATCTTTGAGTACAATGCAGCTAACTCGTTGTGAACTAAATAACTAGGGTCAGATTCTGGAGGGGCCCTGGGCTCTATGTGACGGATTGTCATTGTTTGAAAAAGTTTATTCTCAGGTCGGAAATGATTATGTACCGGTGAAAGCCAAATAGTTCTGTGCTTACAAAGTCAGAGTGAGGCTACGTCACCGAATGGGCGGGAGGAGGCGGGCTCTCAGGGAAAGAGCACAGATCCAAGCGTTTCACATGAGGTAAGATCAGATCTATGCAAGAAATGGCAATAATTTCTATGTTTTGTATGGTGTAACACCCAAATCCTTATCGTGTATGTGTGTGTGTGTGTGTGTGTGTGTGCACGCGTGCGTGTGTGTACGCAGGGCACAAAGCAGCTCCGAGCAGACAGGGATGGATTTCACTCCCGGGAGGCACAACTGTAAACCCACACGCCTCTGCCAGCCCACGCTCATCATAATAACACAACTACAGACTACATTCTTTGGGGATTAAAGAGTTGACGGTGCAAAAGTTACAATGAGGTGTAAAAAGGGCGTTAAAAAGACAAGGAGAGCTTAGGAACTGTTATGTTCAATGGATATTTATTCCTTTAATTACTGGGAAACTCACTGAAACTAAACATGAGGCCATCATTTCATTTTATTTGTGTTACTTTTTGCAAACCTAGCTAATGAAATTTATAGGTGAATAACAGAAAACCCATCCTAACAGTATTATTACTGAATCTGTGGCTACTATTTCAATTTCAATGTATTTTTGTATAGCCATAAATCACAACAGCAGTCGTCTCGGAAGTTTTTGATGTGTTGACAACAAATCAGAGACTCCAGTTCAAACACAGGAAAGGCCATATTAACAAACACATAGGAGCCATTGGTCTATAGGGAGTGGGCTGATCAATGTGCATGAATGTTATTAAATATGATAAGTGTCCATAAATGTCCAGGATGGACAGTGATGATCTAAGGACACTTCTCCGGCAATGAACCATTAATAATAATAATAATGCATCGGTTTCATATAGCGCTTTTTTGGACACTCAAAGACGCTTTACATGTGTCATTATTCATTCACTCCATACATGGTGGTGATAAACTACTACTGTAGCCACAGCTGCCCTGGGGCACACTGACAGAAGCGAGGCAACCAGTATGTGCCATCGGCCCCTCCAACCACCACCAACCATTCACACACACCAGGCTCATTCTAGGCAATGGGGGTGAAGTGTCTTGCCTAAGGACACAACGGCAGTTTCGCACTTTACAGCCGCAGCCGCCCCACTGTGGCACCCGGTGTTCCCAGAGGTTAAGTGTCTTGCCGCAACGACAGCAGGCAGTGGGAGTCTTGAGGTGGGCTCAAATCCACGACCTTCTGGCTCAAAGGCCAATGCTCTACCAACTGAGCTACTGTCGCTCATTCAAAAACCCAGTGGGGGAAAAAAAATGTAATAACGCTATTTTAGAAGACGAGTTAATTTAAATGTGAACTCATGAAGCTAAATACATATTTAAATGGTACCTTTATAACTTATTCGACTAAAGCTTACTGTATTTCATAAACATTGATCAAGGTGGCCCAACATTTCCAGATCTATGTAAATAAAGTAGTCATGATTCACTCTGTGTCTCAATGTGTCTGTAGTAATTCTGTCACTAATCTTAATTGTTTAGTCTCACACATCTTACATTTTCCTCACAGAACGCACAGTTAATTCATTATCTCTGGGTTCACTTTGATCTGTCGTGCGCAATCTATAATTCTTTTTGTGTCCGCTTCCTTCTAACTCGTCTCTCACATTTGTCACGTTAGCGGCAGGAGTGAAAGGCTGTAAAACCCTGGTCTTGGTTTTGGTTAGCGCGGAGGAGCTAATGCTTTGGGGCTTGAAATTGGAGTAAGTGCAGATCATGCCGTCTCTTGGCCTCTACAGCTGCTTCTGTCCTGAGTCTGAACATGAGGCGACAAAACCAACAGGCCTCAGCTCAAGAACACAGTTTGAATCACCCTTAAAAACTCATATTTATATAATGTCAGAGGTTCTACATTTATATAGATATTAGGGCAGCAACTAATGAGAAACTGCACACCCTTAATTACTGATTTCAGGTCATTTAATAATGTCAGAATGTGCGATATATTAGTGTGTCCATTGTCACTCTACTTTAAAACCCTCATGCGGCTCACAGGTACAGATGTAACATACAACTATATATGTCTTGTACTAGAATAAAGAAGTACAAAGTACTGTATATTCTGCTAAAGCTTGAGATTCTATTTTATTTAAATATGTTATTGTTCATTTATTTTGTGCTGCGTGTTCCTCATTCCTACTGTTCTGTATCTGGTGATGCAACACTGAAATGTACCCACTATGGGAAAAATAATGGATCTCATAATTTTTTCAATCAAGATAAATATTAGGGAAACATCTAATGAGAAAATGTTCAATTGTGTCCTCAAAATAAATAGTTGGCTTTGCAGTAAGGTTATAGTAAAACAGCAGATAAAAGTAGAGAAGAGCAGATTACGGAGCCAAGTAATGTTTTTTTTACCAGACATAAATCTTTAGACGTACAGCCTTGCTAAAATATGAACATTAAAGAGAGAAGGGAGTGGTTCTGGTATGTCTGTACAAGATAACCCTTTTATGGGCAGCAGTGCGGTGCATACATACAGCAGACATCTCGCTCTACAATTAGACAAAACAAGTGAGGACCAAGTGAAGTCTAAATACATGGAAAAATCCTGCCATGGTTTGGGTTTCAAATAACAGTTTGAGTCTCTGTTTGAGCTGCAAATAAGTCAGTTTTGCTCTGCTATTGAAGTTAATAATTGCCTGAGTCTATTGAAGATGTACCTGAATGGAAGTCTTGACGGCAAAGATTAGTCGACTAATAAAACGAGCTGTAAATTAACGGTTATCCAAAACTGTCAGATTAAAACGCACACCAAACACTTATTTGAAAAGTGGACATTAAAGCTAGTTTCCACATGCAGTGATTACCAATTGGATTAATTGTTTTTAAAGTAAAACAAATCATGGGGTTGTACTCCTGTGAAATTTAGCTTTGAAATAAAGGTTAGCATATGATGAGGATGGGACCAAGTAGAAGGGAAAAACTATTAAGCTAAAAAATACAATGACAAAATCGGATGCAGATCAGTCGATTGATTGGCAGAACCTAAACAGGAGCTAGATTAGTTCTGGTTTGATTCCAATGTTGTAACACAGCCTTTAGTATATACACTGAATGAAAATTACTGAACTTTTTATAAAAAATGTTGGCTGAAGCATCAAAGGGCCGATTAATTACAGCTGACAACATACTATTCATGGGCAGGGATAACAGTCTCACCAGTTTTACAGCTCCGGAAACGTATTGAAAACGTGAAGGGACGTTTTGATGCCAAGATTTGCAAAAGTATGATTGATGAGTCGGGTGTAGTTACAAATGTATGTGAAAATGTAAATTTAAAGCGTATACATCCCTAGAGCTGATTGGTCTGATGACATTGTTCATGAGTTAAAAATCAAAAGCAAGCAAGGAATAATGACATTGAAGCAGGACGGAAAATGTATATAAAAAAGGGAAAACGCAATGAATCTCAACCCGATTGAACCAAACTGTCACTGCCCCACTTTTTTAACAGCTAAACGGGCATTATATTGTCTCTACTTTGCAATAGAATTCTTGAAAATACCAGAAATGGGACAAAAACACTGATCAGGTTGTTAAGAAAGCTTGTTAGTGTCTCTGAGATTCTACTTCACTTTTATCGCTGCACCATTGAAAGTTTGCCGATTGGTTCTGTGACTGTGTGGTTCGGTGACATCACAGCTAAAAAAAAGCGAGAGCTCTATACAAGGTGCTCCGCTCTGAAAGAGGACTGAAAGCTGTGAGACCAGAGAGAGAGACCCCAGAGAGAAGCAGACATAACAGCCTGTTCCGGAGGTTCTTTATGAATCCAGACTCTAAAACTGCGATCTTAGATTAATCACTGACTCTTCTGGCTCCTGGAAAAGTCATGTTCCAGCTTCTTCCCTCTGGCAGAAGATATTGTTCACTGAGTTGCAGGACATCTGGATTAGCTAACAGCTTCCACAAGCTGTTCAGTCATCAGTCTGTTCATCAGTCTGATCTTTCACTTGTTTAAGAAGTTTGCTTTCAGAGTCACAATTGTTTCTCGTTTCTTCTATGTACTTGTCTGGTGCACACACTTTTACACATGTATAACCAACGTGGTACTACTGCTAACGGCAAATAAAATAAATCTAAAACTGTAAGAAATGAAGCAGCACTTACCTTTGTTGATGATATAAACTAAAATCAATGTCGGAGTCCGCCTGCAAACACAGGGAAAGATTAATTCACGTGGTTTCAAATCAATTAAAAAGTGAACAAAAGGTATTTGTGCATGATAGTTACCTGTAATAGACTCCCCTCACCAAAATGTAGCACCTCTAGGATTGTGTCTGATTGTATGAAAGCTGTGGAGAGAACAGAGGTTTCACTACATGTGTTCATCACAATCATTAGTTATATGTTGTAAATCGTTTTAAAACATTTTGGTGAAGAGTGGCACATTTTATAATAAAGAAAATTCTAAATGATCAATAAGGTACAAGAGCTACATTTAGCACATATACAGCTGTTGAAATGTGAGAGGGGTAGGGAAATAAAAAGCATCTTCTTCACCCAACCCATTTTCAAACCTGTATTAGTGTAAAGATTTGTAAAACTGTGTTCTCTAGGTTTGAAATTAATCAAACTAAAGAAAGTATTCTAATAATTACTACCAGCTGACACAAGATAATCATTGATAAACCATATACAGATTTTGAGGAAGAAATAAAAAGTCTAATAACATATAAAATGAACAAAACTAATATTCCAATTCCGAAGTAAAAGTACAATTGCTTCAGTAATATTGTATTTAACACAACTGTTCTTCTGGGTCCACCATCCTATTGGACAGTGGTTTCCAATGTGGCCCTTTCAAATGATGCTCATTGCTCGATTATTATATAGTACATTTTCAAGGAATTGGGGGATAAGGGCTGCTATTTATGGCATGGTCCCCACACTACCAGCTGAAACTGACACAAACACAACCTTTGCAGCCTTTATGAACGAAGCAAAGTCATTCTCAGAGTTTTATAAAAAAATCAAACAAGCATAAAACATATATTTCTTAACTTCTCACATTTGTTTATTTTTTGATTGAAAAGAAAGAAATGTGACACAGAGCAAGAAATGCTCAGCACTGAGTGAGTAATAAGTAAGCAAGTAATCTTTATTTATATAGCGCCTTTCACAGACCAGGGTCACAAAGTGCTTATCAATTGTTTTTTTTTATTTGGGGGGCATTTGTCTCCCACTCTACACAGCCAGACAGGAGGCGCATGCCAAAACTATTATACATGTTTTAGTGGTGGGGAAACGTAAAAGTAACGTGTAAATAAGGGTGGGCGATATGAACAAAAATAAATATCTCGATATTTTTTTCCCAACTCCTGATAACGATTTTGTCAAGATATCTTTAAAATCAATCATTTTTACACAAAATTATCTGCAATGTTTTGCTTGCCAGGGCATCTATAGATAGAGACAGTGTAGATCAAAATATAAGCTTTTTTTTTGTAAAGTGCTCCACACATCTTTGCAAAACATGCGCTAACATAATAACATTAACAATCAAATTCAAGTATCACAGAAAGAATAGATCCAAAAAGGCTAGCTCAATATTTACTGAAATGTACAAGCAGTGATTGGCATTTAGGCACACATTAGACGAACGGGCATCTTTCCTTCTCTAATTGTATTGAAAAATAAAAAAGACGATAATACGAAAAAGCATATCTTCAAATTGACTTTCACGATATTATTGTCTACGATATATTTTGCCCACCCCTACGTGTAAAACACTATTTATTTTTTAAAGAAACACCGAAGTGTGTGATACTCTCAGCAGAGATTAGGTGTTGTGTCAGAGTCTTTTTTTTTGTCTTTGTGTGATGGACTTGGAACCAAAAAAGCTTCTGCATTGTCCTTTCCTTTCTATTTCAAACTGTTTGTTTATTTCATACAGTTTTTTTTTTTACAAAATGTGTCCACAAGCTTTAAACTAATGATTGATTGATAAACCACATTACCATTGAGATTGGCCTTCATATGGTGTTAAAATATCATAAAATATCAGTAATTGGACACAGCAGTGAGACAAATATTGGGATTTGGTTCAAAAATATGTAGGAAAGCAGCAGCTAAGTTTGCTAATGCTTTTGCCATTTGAAACTTCTGTCATCACTAATATTACCACCAGAGATAACAGAGTACAGTGGATAACAGTTGATTTGAACTTTAATCTAGTGTTCTTCCTGACTTGGCTAGAAACAACACAACACGTGGCCAATGCAATTTCTTCATAGACTGATAACTTGAGCAATTAACTTTATATATTTAGTTTGGATAAAACAGGTCATGAGAACTTCCTGCCAAGCTAAACTGAGAACAAAATTACTTTTGCTTTCACCAAACATGAAACCCCCCATTAATGCTATTACAGCAGTTTGAAAACAAATGCAGCATAAAACTGGTGGTTAGCCTTGACATGTAGTGACATTAAAACTCCAAAGTGAAATAAACCATGCACGAACAGACAAGGTTTGAGACTTTAACTGTGGCATCTCTGAACTTGAAACAAACCCACTTTGAAGTCTCCATCACCCCCATCAACCTTTATACAAGAAACATTAAGAGATATCTTTCTTTGATGTATTTTGGGAAGGGAGGACTAGACTTAATGGCAAAATTATAACGTTTTTTGTTTTTATCTTACCTGAAAAATGCAACATGAATCGTCTAATAATTTTAATGAGGTTGAATTATGTCATAAAGGAATCTACTCATGTGAATGAGAAGTTAAGGAAACTGTTCTCTAGGGCTCTGGGACTGAGCCCTGGAGTATATTATAAATTTCAATGAACACTTTGGATGAGTTCTTTTGATCAAAGTCAGGTGTCTTTAAAACAGGAGAAGATAATAACAAGCTCAGGTTCATCATTTAATTTAATTGAACAATACTTTCCTTATAAAAAGAGCAAAAACTATTATTTTTATACTACAACTTTGACATTTGAAAAGGAAGTAATCTTTATTCATGTAGCGCATGTCAGACCAAGGTCACACAAAACGCTTTATAATTTTGGTGTACAGGTATTTTCCATTCACTCCCTAAACTGATGACAGAAATGAGACGCAAAACACACCGGTGCATCAAAGCCTCTAACCATCACCAAACATTCACTCTCCATTCCTATTGTACATGTATATAGTGGTAGGGGTCAACGGAGCACCCGGAGAAAACCGGGGAGAACATTGCATCCACACAGAAAGGCATAGAGGAGGAATCGAATCTAGGACCTTCTTGCTGTGAAGGACAAGCACAAACCACTGCACTCAGAAAAGGACTTCAGGGTGAGTCCTTTTCCTAACCACTATAATGAAAACACACAGATAAAACTTTGGAAACTTGTTCAGGCATGTCCTGGCCATAAGTGACAGCTTTAAGCTGGTTTGATTGAAAAAAATAAAACAAATCCTGTTGTGTATGCTATTTTTGTTATATTATTGCCAGGTATAGAAGTTTAGTCTGTTTATTAGTTAGTAATACTTTTTTTGTGACAACACTGGCCCTCATTAGGGTTTTATTTAGTGATATGGTCATATTATACACGTCTACATCAGTCAGGTGTCAACATATGGCCTATGTGACCAGGCCGATAGTTATTCCAGTGTATTTTGATGTGTATGTAGGCTTAGAAGCGAATGAAGGGGCAGGGGTGTGTGTTTTTGCACAAGAGCATATGTATATGTTGCATGAAGCAAGAGGCTTTAGAAATAGATCCACATAGATAAATATCAGTATTGACCATCCATCCATTTTCTTCCCCTTAATCCATTTCTGGGTCGGGGGGAGGCCAGAGATGCCACCCAGTACACATAGCACCAGCCCCTCTCTGATCACCCTGCAGGCGGTGCATAGCCTTGATCTTTTAGCGGGGACTTCAGACCAAGTGGGGTCCTTGGGCAAGTGTCTTGCCCAAGGACGCACCGACAGCAGACATCAGTGGAAATCAGTGGAGAAGGTCTCGTGGTGGGATCGAACCCACAACCTTCAGGCTCAAAGGCCAATGCTCTACCAACTGAGCCACTGTCGCGACCCTTACAGCAATATTAACATTGGTTATCGGTATCGGCTACAATTTTCACATCAGTGAATCACTAGCTGTATTAAATCAAACCAAAGCCTGAGTATGAACTGTGCTGTATAAACAAACGTTTCCTTGCCTATCTTTTTCTTGGTAGAGAACTATAAGCCCTGGATTGAAGTTTCCCACGTGTCAATCTTTCAGAAAAGCCCTTTTTGCCAAAATCCCAGACCATTTCACGAAGTCTATCTCGCGCTGATAAAAGCTTGGGACGCCTTGCTCCAGTTTTGCACAATAGTAAACAGCGTAAAGGGACTGGACACGTTTCAGACTTGGTACAGCTTATCACAGGATGTTAGTATCAGGGTGATCTGACACGATAGGGGTCTGTCCGTCTGTCTGACTGCTCAAACTTCACAGCTCCGCGGGGATAAACAAGCAGCAGCCGCTGAACCAATGAGAAGGAAAACAAGCCACGTTTCCAACAAGGAATATGAATTCCACACGTGTCGCTTTGAGTTTTATCAGGGAGATGACAGCAACCAGCAAGCGTTAGTCACTTTCCCCACTATATGACAACTTTTCCCTTCAGTGGATTGAAATCATACTGTGTAATCTATCTGATGACCAAATGAACTTGCTTGGACAACCCATACTCTAACTAGATTAGGTGAAGTCAACCAACGCTAATAAATATGCAACTAGATGAAAGCAACCAGCTAGCATTTGGCACTATCCCCTCTCTATGACAACTTTTCACTGTAATGGATTGAAATAATACTGTAAAACTCATCAGATAACGAAATTTGCCTAGTTGGGCAACCCATACTATAGCTTAAGTGAGGCAAACTCGTGCTAATAGCTATGGACCTGTACAATATTGTGGTATGCAGGTGGAAACTAGTCTAATACATCTCTATGTGGAAATACGGCTTTAAAAACACGAGCTCTGAATGGGACAAGTAGAACAGAAGCAGTTTGTCAACACTAGCTTTAGAGTCATGCTACTGCTAACACAATACAGAATAAAAGCACAGGGCACGCGTTTTTGAGTCAAGGTATGTCTGCGGCGAGGTGACGGTGGCGTGGAGTAGAGTGGTCCGTTAAAGGGAAGGCTAGACCCGGGCCACACTTCACCAGAATTGTCTACGGAAGTTAGCAGAGGCTATGCTAGAGAGCTAAGTTAACATTACAAACCTTGCTGATTCGCCCGCGTCGTGTGAATAATAGCAATAAATAGCATCCAAAACAAGGCGATAAATGATGTTCTTGTTTCTGTTACTAATAGGCGAGGACTGTGGGCTCTTTCTTCACTCGCCATTTCCGTGGATATTTTAGTTAAGGTAAAAGCCAAGCGAGTGCGAGGACATGCCCGTGTAGTCCTCTGCTGTGTCTGTCAGTCATAGCGAAGACACAGTCCAGCAGCAGAAGCAGAATCTGCAAACAGGAAGCAGCGAGGAGCACTTCCGCCGCGTCCGGGCGTAGGGGAGCGTCAAGGCGTCAAGGCCACGCGGCAAAGGCGCCCGAGAGGGGGAAAACGCCCTCTACTGTCTAAACACTGTCAATGAAGATATTAATAATAATACAATGAATAATATGAATAATAACTGTAATAACTATAAAAACCATAATAATAATAATAACAATAACGATGGTGAATATGAATGATAATGATAATAATAATGATAATAATAATACATCTTTTTTATAGCACTTTTCAAAAACAATGTTTACAAAGATCTGTACAGTGAGTATAACAGTGGTGAGGTATGCTTACTGCAAACTCATCAGTGTTACATCACGCATTGTAATTTTGACAGCTGCGATAGTCCTCACACTTTGTTCACACAGACTGTTCTTCTCAGGTAACTTCAAAGAACTTCTGAACTACAGAATCAATCAATCATATGGTATATAAAATAAATGAACCCATAAGAAAAGAGTTATGACATCAAAACAGTATTAACCAGGCTCTGTCTAGCTTCAAAGGTCTGACAGGATCTGGCTTTCAAATGCATGTGGCATCACAATAAACACAAATTCTTGTCAATGTGAATAACTGACCAACTGGAACATCAACCGAAGCAAATTGGTAATTCTGACCAATATATTGGTCAATCCAATCAACATTTGTTTAACCAATTAGATCTGTGTTTGTGTGTCTTGTCTTGTCGTTATTCTTTTTTTTTATTGTCAAAAGGTCATTCTGCCAGCTTGTTGTCTAAAAACTGTCACTGAAGATAATAAAATAAATATAATGATACATCTTTATTTTTATAGCACTTAAAAAAAAGTTAATAAGTGTTGTACAGTGAATATAACAGAATAGAAGTCAATCAATAACAGTCATTATCATATACAATGTCAAAAAGTACAAAAACAGGGAAATAAAGATGTCAGAGACTACACAACAAAAAAGACAAAGTCAGAATGAAATCAGAGAGAGAGACCAGAGAGACACCAAAGAGAGAGACAAGAGAGACCAGATAGAAAGAGACCAAAGAGAGACCAAAAAGCCTGGTCCCGTCAGATCTCAGATTGATACACTGCTCTTCCATTTGTTTTACTTTAAATTTGAGCGGTGAGAAATAGTGGCCCGTCACTAGTTCAGACACTTGAGCAGAATATTCCAAATTCATGTTGCCAAACTATTTTCCTTTAAGATGAGAAAAAGTGTGTAATTTTGGCCGGCCATTCAAACCCTTTCCTATCTGGATTAAGTCCCAAAGGAAACGGGGAGAATATCTTTTTGCTCCAAAGTCCATCTTTGAACAAATGCAATAGAATGTACAGTATGCTCAGAATTCCACTGTCACATCTACTACTTCTCACCAAAAGCAAATTTAGACAAATAGACAATGTAATGCTTTTACCATTACCAGTAAAATGTGGAGTTGGAAGTGCAGACAAGAGAAGATCATAACATTATTAGTGTCATAAGTTACTCCATAAAATAGGATATCGTGTTTGGATTCCCCAAAGAACAACACGTCTTCTATGCATTCTGTCAATGAATGTAAATTTGCCTGCAAGCTGAATTCTCACGGTATTTGCGAGTTCACAAACACACGAGACATTGTGGAGAACTGATTTGAGTCCTTCACAATCACCCATCTGGCTTTTGCTTGGTTACAATGAATGTACTATGGCCAAAAATCTAATCAATACTAGACTTGTTGTTATAGCAAAGCCCAAAGACGCGTGGATAAGGAAAGATAACGTGGAAGTTGCGGAAGCCTGTGTGATTGTAGCAGACACAAAATAGGATCAACAACGAGATACTATGCTTAATCTATTTGAACTTACTGTTTGTAAAAAAATATGAACCCAAGGCAATTATTTGTAGGTAAGGATAAGCAGTGATTTTGAGATCTGCACAACAATTTAGAAAGATTTGTGTGGTTCTTTTGAAGGGCAAGTTAGAGGTAGTACCTTGTTGACATAAAACGACGTATAAAGTTCAGTCCATTTAGTTTAGTTCAGATGTGTCAAACTGGTTCCAGACTGGACTGCAGGTGTTCACTCCAACCAAGCAGGAGCACAGAAGGGAAATTTCCTCACAATCTATAACTTGTCTTTCAAAAAACCACAAAAAGCCTTTAACACAAGGTAAAATGAACGTTTTTGAATCATACACTTGATTGAACCCCATACTTTAGACTGGATGTTTTCAATTTTACAATGGTAAAGCTTCTTTTAGTGTTGTTAAGCCATGTTTTTGTCAGTAGTTTATGTAGATGCTGATGATGGAATGTCTCTCTCTTCAGTATTTAAAGTTCTGAAGCTGGTTTTACGAGTTACTGACAGTTCTTTTAGTTTGCAGCAGGTCTAATGAGCTTCTGTGGTGAGGTACTGTATGTTTACTGCAAACTCAGTGTTACATCACGCATCATACTTTTGACAGCTACGATAGTCCTCACACTTTGTACACAGCGACTGTTCTTTTCAGGTAACTTCAAAGCACTTCTGAACTACAGAGTCAATCATAAGGTATAATGAAATCAATGAAACCATAAGAAAAGTGATGTGAGAAAAGTGTTATGACATCAAAACAGTATATAACCAGGCCATGGTTTTAAAGCTTGAATGTGGTTTTAAGAGTCTCACGAGTCCCACAGATTTGTCATTAAGAAAATCAGACATGGTATTTTAAAATTACCATTTTACCAGTTTTTAAATGATGTGAAAGCACAGTACATTTTCAATTCAAAAGATTCATTATCAATTCTCATCACAATCGATATATGATAATATAAATATACCTTAAAAAAGTGTATATTTTACAATAGTTTAATGTCACTTTAACTAAATGATTTTGATATAAGTCATATAGTTTTTTTCTGTTTTTATAAATGTTTTTACGAGTATCACATATCATTAAACTAATTTCAACAAAAATCTTTTGTTTCACAGATTACAATAAATTATATTGTGATTTTAACATTAGATTGCTTTCATACCAACCTTAATATTATGTTGCAATGTAACAATATTTTTCTGTTCATTTTACAGTCTTTTTGTAGCTTCAAAGGTCTGACAGGATCAGGCTTTCAAATACACAATATAAACACAAATGTACCTTGTCAATGTGAACATTAATTAACCGGAGTTTACGGATGAGACCGGGCTAGAAGAGTGAGCGTTCATCAAGATTTTTTCTAAAGCCATAAACAAAATGTTAAATAACGTTAAATAATGTTAGTTGAGAAACTGGAGTTTAAGCAACTCGCTATTCGTGGCCTCTAAATGTACTTCTCAGTCCTACACAAGACACACATGAGCTCATAAATGTTCTTTTTACAGGTAGTTGGACCGGTTCTTTAACATCTTTAGTGACATTTGAGTAATGACAGCTCCAGAATATTAACAAATCGCATTGTTCTGTTTCGCAAAAGAACTAAAACGGATCCGCCTGGTTAGTACTGTGATGGGAGACCTCTGGAACACCAGGTGCCACAGTGGGGCCGAGAGAAGAAGCTTTGAAACGTTTTTTTTTTTTCGTGCTTTATAATTGTTAATTTTCTTGATTTTTTCTACCTGGTGCTGTTTTTGCACTGGTCCAGAATGGGAGCAGGGAGGATTCATGGTCCAGAACAAGCGGATCAGCCAAAAATCCACTGGAGGAAGGCTAACTTTTTGTAAAATGCAAACAAAGCATTCAGCATTTTACTTTGGACAAGAACAGAGAAAATGGTCCGAACCAAGCGGCTCCACCTTTGCCGCTGTGACTTGAAGTACTGTTGCATTTTATTATTACTATTGTTAGCTTTTTAGAATGATCAATTTATTTGTTTTGTTTGTGTGGATGGATGGGTTTTTGCTGCTACTGGACACCTGAAAGGGGAGGGAAAGCTTTTAAGTGATTTGTCAGAAATGTTATGGGAAACAGATCGAAAAGCAAAAACATATGTAAGTAAACAAAAAAACAAACAAGACAACAGAAGAGAAGCTTTTGTAAAGGAAAGTTCATGGGAGTGGAAACCCTTTGGTGCCTAAAGACTTAATATCCATTTCATTCACTCTTTTTTAGCTAATAGTATTATTAGCTCCAGCCGTTTGGTTTAATTATCATTGTCACATTCAATTTCAAGATGTCGGTTCAATAATGGATTCTTCACCTATAAAGAGAAACACATGAATTAAACAAGTCCACTATGTAATCCACACATACTGTATTAAAGAGTTCATTGTGGTGAGTTAGGCCCACCCTGTGTGTGTGTGGGCTCCAGCCTCAGTCCAAACCTCCTCCTCAGAGACTCCAGTGTCTTCGTGGGCACCTGGCTCTGGATGGACTCCAGGAAGGTCAACACATGGCGGTCCGCATCCACCAGGACAAAGCGATGGCTGAACACTGCACAAATGTCAAGTCACTTTGGGTTAATTCGGATATCACCAACACTAAAGGCAGTGTTCAGCATTACACACACAGCAATAAGGTTTGTGAGTGTAAAAGATTAGCAAGTAAGAAGTACGTATAGTTTAGCCTATACATTAGCGCTAGTGTCCAGGGGCTAACAATACAGATGGACTGGATTGGGACTGGTCTAAGCTTTAAAATGAGGGTTGAAATGTCTATATTAGTTCATATTTACAGTAAGAAATACTGTATTGCAACTGGATTTGCCTTCTTTTATTTTGCAAGTGAAATCATGTTAGCTGAGTAATTTGAGTTCTGGCAATTTGCCTACACCAGACACACACATAAGCTCCTGAATGTTTTTCGCTTTAGTTTAGTTATGACAGCTCCATAATATTAAAAATCGGGTTGTTCCACTTCCCTTTGTTTCCAAAAGCAGAGCTAAAACATTTGCCCCTGGTTCGCTGTGACATTGTGTTGTTTGGTGTCAACATCTATAGGGCTCATCCACGTTAACTTCAATGTTTATTATTATTTTAGTTTGAGATAAATGACAGCTGATAGTTATTTTTTTCCCCTTTTCATGGACATTCTACCACTCTATCCGTTCCTATAGTTTAGATGATTAACTGTAATAAGAATAAAATCATTCCGTTTACCCTCCACTACTGAGCCAATAGCGAAGTCTGCCGGGGAGTAGAACTGTGGACTGTCTGAGCTGGAACCAGGTTTGGGGATGCGCGCCTTCTGCAGGAACTTCCCTCCCATCATCCCAGAGTTCCGGGTGGGCTTCTCATGGATGCTGATCATGTCATCAGCCAAGTAATAGGAAATCACAAATATCCGGCCTTCATCAATCTCATTCTGGGATTCCTAGAAAAAAATATAGAAAAACAACATTGTTAGAAGAATTGCTTAAGTGCGGCACTACAAAAAGTGAAAATGTGGATAAATGTATCCGAATTTGAGGATTTGAGATTGCCTTAGAGCAAGCCAGCAAAATGTCTCCCTTGGAATGAGAAAATAAAGCAACAGTTCTTCAAATGAGACTAAATGGCTTTGTCCCATTGGAAAATCTTGTTTTAAGACAGAATATCTCACTCAATGTACTCAACTAAATGAAATCAAAAACACTTGATTTAAGCAATTATTACCTCATACTGTATCCTTTGCAGTGTAATTAGAGTACCCTAACCCTAAGCCACATGGGAAACTGTTATGTGGAATAAGGCCATGTATAAGGACTAATCAAAACCATTTAAGAGCTTATACATTATGCACAGGCTCCTTATAAACTCCCCTGACGTCAGGAGCACTCTCACCAGTCTGGCTTGGTAGCGCAGAATCTTGTTGTTGTTTTCCAGCTGTTTCAACACATTCTTTCTGGGACGCTCTGGGACCAGACTCAGGCAGTTCTGCAGAGAGTCCTCCAGGGTTCCAAAGCCATTGTAAGGCGGGATCTCCTGCAGAAGAGGACACTCAGGGGTAAAGGAACTTCAATCGAAATGACTGATGACGCAAAGTAAACATTAGGAACCTGGAACTAACTCTGAAGCCACGTTTCCACCAGCCCAACTTGGCTCTCTTTACCTTGGTTGTGTTTCCATTTCTCTTTAGTATCTGTTATCCTAGAAACCTACCCACAACAACAAAAGCCATATCTGGGTGTTCTGGCCTGGGTGTTCTGACCTTCCATCAGAACACTTTTGTAACCGCTCGGCCTGGATAGAACCAGGACCAAGCAGATACTAAAAAGTACCTGGTACCAGTTAAACAGAGCCGGTGGAACGTTCCCAATCGGGGAGAGAAGAGCCAAATAGAGTATAGTAGCCAAGTATGGCTGGTGAAAACTATACTGTGCCTCTGCTTATCAGCTTTCACCTGGCTGCATTTAATGAAGTCACTGACTGTCACTGACTTCATCATACTCAGCGTGTGCCACAACCCTCCTCCTCCCTGTCATCACATCACAGAGGGGCTTCAAATCATACATTCAGTATACATACACCTCTGCTGGGGTCAAACCATGTATAAAATGCCTGCAGCCGACTCTAATCTAAATCATGCAGTAACCTATACTGTATACTAGGGCTGAGCGATATGGCAAAAAAGTAAAATCTCGATTTTATTTCCTGCTTTGGACAATTTTGATTTTTAATCGATTTTTCTTAAAGTCACCGAAGACTGACTTTGCCCTTTAAAATATGTTTTGATCTTTCCGCTCAATATTCAAGTTTCAAAACTATTTCTAATTTGTTTCCCTCAATACGTATTATAAAAGTCTTGTACAGACTGTGCTGATATTGCAAATATGATTAATGTGCTGCTGGAACTCTCACAATATCCTTCATTCGATTTCACGATTGTAACACTTTTCACACATTTTTTCAAAAGCCGATTAATTGCCAAAATTCGATTTATTGCCCAGCCCTACTGTATACTAATTGCAAACATAACATAATAAACATCCTTTTAATAAAATAGAAGATTGAACATTGTCTGAAAAGATTAGCAATAAACAAACTAGGGCTCTCTAAGTGATATGCAACAGATTGTGCAGTTTTGTTACCAGCACAGTTTACTAATCCACACGTTAAGTGTCACTTGTCACCTGGAATGATTTTATCTGCGCTGCCGTGTACCTTGCTTTTTTCTGCTGGCGGGGGCTTCTGGTGCGTTGGTTTCACTGGCGTCATTTCCATGTCGGGGAAGTTGCTCTGGTAGTACTGTTTAGTGTAGTTGTCGCAGTCACACAGGAGGAAGTTTCTCCCCATTAAAGTTATCTTCTGGCCCAGTTTGAAGTCCTGTGGAGAATAGTATTCCTCTACCTCATCTTTGGACATCTCCAGGACACAAGTGGGGAAGCTACCTGTGCAGAACAATATTCACTTCCATAAATGTCCATAAAACTATTGTTTTTCAGTTGTCTCTTGAGTACAGTCTGGCAGCAGGTGCTTGTTACCTATGTGTTCTTTGGTCTTCTTTGGCAGCCGCTGCCTCTTCATGAGGATGGGGACAGGGACTCGGCCGCTGTTGGCTTCGTGCACCTCCCTCACCTCCACCGTGTCGTTCACCAGGTAATAGTGGATGGTGACCGGCCGTGTTTCTGGGAACAAGTCCTGAGAGTCGTCCCACAGGCCAAAGAAGCACAGCACCTGCCAGGAAAGAAAGGAACTTTGACAAATGGAAGGACAACATGATGGAGCTTGAAGTGGTTCAAGGTTCAAGGTGACTTTATAATCCATGAGGGGCAATTTTATTGCAGCAGCAGAAAGACACACATATACATAAGGAGAAAATTAATAGACAATAAAACAGGATTAAAAGGACTGGTTTTAAATACCAACAGCAACAGGGTTTAAAGAGTTCTTAAATCTGTATTTTTAAATATTTTTAGGAGTGTCAAGTAGTAATTTATTACATTAGTTTCATTTCTGTTGGTCCTACATTTAGCGGAGCTATCTACGGCCGGATGGAAGCAAACTCTGTCCACAGTGTGTGGGTGGCGTCCGTAGAGATCTGCTGGGCTCTTTTTAGGATTTGACCTCCTGAAGTCAATGCACATCTCTTTGGTCTTGGAAACATTTGTATTGAAAAAGAAGGATTGGGACCAATCATAAAAGTCAGTTACAGCAAGACCGGGCTCTGAGTCTGAGCGTTTAGGGATGACTGTGTCATCTGCAAATTTATGTTATAATAGTCCAGTTTCGGTCTGGAATACCAAAGAAGAGTCAGGAATTCTGAGGAGAGGGAGAGTTTGTGTTTCCCAAATGCAGAAACACAGTTGTCTCTATAATGAACTTTGATGAAACAGGCCACTTAACACTTGACAGTGGGTGCAGCCTGTACCTTGCCATCCATGGTGAGGAAGCGCTTGATGCTGTCGTACTCCGAGGGCGTGGTAAAGCTAGGCACGGGTTTGTTCCTGTTTGCAATGTAAGGGTCTGAAGGCCTCGGCTCTGGCTCGTTCAAAACAATGCCTTCACTGGACAGGAACTCCTGTGGGAAATACACATGTCACAGAATTCCTTCTATTACTGGCAGTACTGTAGCCTGAGCCCCCATTTAATGATAAAGACATAGCAAAATATTGGAAGACCACTACATTCCCCACAATGCAAATAAGGAGGAACCCAAAACACAGGACTGCAAATCGAAGCAAATGCCAAATCAAAAACAGGCATAAAAAAATAATAAAAATAATAATAATAAAACACAGGTTTACTGTACATACACAGCTACAGGTGAAACACATGAGGGCAGATAATTAAACAACAGGAAGTTAAACTAAGGAGGACACAGGGGATAATAAGTTACAAAATAAAACAGGAGATAAACCTAAACCATGACAATATCAACATTTGTCATCCTGGCATTCTCATATTTGGGGTCTCGTACGTGTGCGAAATCCATGAGACTAATATTAAAATGTAATATTATGAAACTGCCATGAGCTGTACCTCAGTGAAAGCGTCGCAATCTGTGATGCGGTACTTGACGCTGTACACCTGCAGGTCCATGGCCACGTTCAGATCGGTCCAGGTGAAGTATTCTCCAAACTCGTTTTTGGGAAGGCGCTGGCGTTTGAGGAGTTTTCCCTGTAAAAGCCCAGAGTTCTTCACCGCTGGCTCGATGATGCACATGGTGTCGTCCTCCAGGAAGTAGTTAATGACCACGGAACGAACCCGGGAACGCTCTTCCAGTGAGAACAGGATGTCCTCTGTGAAGTATCCATAGAAACGCAGCACCTAGAAAAGAGAAGTTAATCTATATGTTAGTGGTTTATGTTGACTTACAGGTCAGATCTGTGAAGAAGCGAGCAGACCCAATAAAAGAATTTACTTTCTGCAGCAGTAAAACCAAGTAATAGTAATAGGATGTGAAAGCCAGATCCTGCTAGTACTGTGATGGGAGACATCTGGGAACACCAGGTGCCACAGTGTCTCAAACTGTCCTTGTGTCCTTAGGCACTTCACCCACATTGCCTCGAATGAGTCTGGTGTGTGTGTGAATGGTCGGAGGTGATCAGAGGGGCCAATGGCACATCCCCATTGCCTTTCCTCTGTCAGTGTGCTCCTGGGCTACTGTGGCTACAGTAGCTCCTTATCACTACCATGTGTGGAGTGAGTGAATAATGACATGTGAAGCGTCTTTGAGGGTCCAGAAAATCCCCATAAGAAACTGATGTATTATTTACTATTCCAATAATAATATTCCAAATAAAGCAATAACATCTCCAAACTGTGTATGAGCTTTGACTGGTAAATACACAAATTACATAAAAAGTGTTTAATTGAGTGTGAGTTAACAAAAAAGGCTATTATTCAACAACTACTTCAATCTCTTTTCAAAGAAATCCTAAAGCACCCAAAGATTTATCATTAATAAATCTATTACAACAATAGCTCCAGTTCCAGTGGACTGTGCGATCTCAGTTGATAAGTTTCGATATTTACTCCAGACTAACTGTACCTTCTTGTCCAGTGCCACATGAGCAGGGATGAAGTCCTGAGAGTGGGACTTGTCGTGGGGGTCATAGGATTGGTCTGGTTCATAGAGAGAGAGCTGCTCGAGCTCCTGCAGCCTGAGCTGAGCAGAGATGAGGGGGCTCTGTCCGATGCCGATGGTGGGGCGGGACGGCAGAGCGTATCCGTTCTTATACGACAGGGTCTGGGGCCGGTGGAACGCAGACTTCTGGTTTAAGAGACCAATGAAAAAGAATCATAATCTATCTAAAAAAACAAGGAACGAGTCCAAGCAAGTCCAAGAGACCAAGCTTCAACACATCACTGAAGGAACATTCTAGTGACGTCTTCTATTACTCCTAGTTTGCGTTTGAACAATAACATAAATATAACATCTGATTATTGTATCTTGTGCTGTAACAAGCGTATCCATTTATTGCAAGTAAATTCAATGTTTGATATTTGTCAAACAATGTGCTTCTTTATGAAGCTTTTATTTTATTTATGCAGTATAGAGTTGTGCTAGACTTAATATTCACTATGTAAGGGAGTGTTGGCTGCTCCTCATTCCTTCTGTAACTTGTGATGCAACCATAGACTGTAGATGATGCAACACTGAAATTTCCCCACTGTGGGACTGAGAATTTCTTTATCTTATTTTAACAGAGCTAAAATTATTATCAAGCAACCCCTTACCAAACAGTTCTCGAATGACATCGCTTTCACAATCTGAACAACCAAGAAGTGAGCGCGAGCAGTTACTCGAAAGATAATATATAATCGCTAAAATAATGAATTATCCAAATGACTAAAGCGTAATTATTGTGAGTAAGTTAGCATCGTTAGCATACGTGCTGTTGTCATACCGTTACATCCTGAAAGCTGTATCCAGGTAGAAAGGGCAGCCCGTGACTGTTCCAATTCCACGACATTTCTTCTTCCCGCGGCCTCAAACTATAAAACAATACAAAACGAATAAGTTAATATTTGTTGTGACTTGTTTTGGTTAATTCAGAGTTTACCTCTGAACACAGCGCTCCGTGACAAAACTGGAGACCAAAGACAAGTTTAGAGGTTACCATGGAAACGTCAAGACAGCACCCGTGAAGCTGATTTACGTCTAGAAACCCATACAGTAATGGTAAGATAATAAACAAAATATTATGCTAATACGTTATAATACGTGTATAAGCAGTTCAACTTCCCCAAGGACCAAAACAAGTAAAAGAAAACATTAGAACATTTAACATATATTAATTGGCCACTAGAGGGCGTCAATGCTAATACTTGCAGCACCAAAGCACAGTATGATTCTTTGCAGGAACTCTACTCATATCCAATGCTCATATCCAGGTTTAACACAGTTCTGTTTGACTGTGCATACAACTGAAGGATTGTATCTTCAGTCTTTACACTGTACTGTGATTATTTATGATTTCAATGCCTCAATGATTTCGATCTTTCTTTTCTTGTATTTTTTTGAGCACTTTGAGTTGCCTTGAGTAAGAACTGCGGTATACAAATACATATTTTCCAATCTTTCTTAATGATGATAAAACATTTTTTAATGTTTTGTTTCACATCAGCAGAAGGTTGCAGGACCCACTGAATGACACCAAAACACTCAACTCAAGAGCTCAAAATCAACTTATGCCACTGCCCTCTATTAGAGACAATGAAATCACAGGTACTTGTTTCCATTATTCAGATTAGAAAGATTAGACATAATAACCCTAAATTGCGTTCAGGCACTTAGCATTGTAAATAAAGATAAATTTAGTCCAAGAGACAGTATTTATGATTTTATACGCAAGATTCTAAAGCACTTTGTCTGATCCTAGTCTGCAATAGAGATTACTTAATAACAATTTAAATTCACTTTTTACACAGCAAAAAGTGATGAAAAATAAGTAAAACATTTCACAAATGAGAATTAGGATAATAAAATAAAGCAACAGTTCTTCATATAAGACTAAATGGCTTTGTCCCATTGGTAAATATTGTTTTAAGACAGTCAGATTGTACTCGGATTAAAACCACCTGATTTAAGCATTTATTACCTCATATTTTATCTTTTTTTGCAGTGCATCTGTACAGTATCTCCACACACAAGGTCTACAAGGTTCAAGTCCTGTTCTATAATTGTATTTTTCTTTAGATAAAGAAAAGCACTAAAAACAAATGAAACAGCACCATCTAAACTCTGCAACCCAACAGATTTTGGACCACTTGTAATTATTTGTCCTTTGCAGAATGACGGAAAGGCTATAGGTGAGGGTGGTCATTTAAATGACTTGTTTGTGTGTTTGAAGCTTTTGTACAATAACATAAAAAAATACATCTGATACATCCCATGATATGGCAAGTAAACTTCAATTCGATTCAGCTCCATTCTATCACAAGAAATGCAATGCTAAACAACACATTGGTCCATAATGGTCCAGATGAGCAACGTCCATAAATGTTGTTGAAAGTCGAGTGTCCTCAACCTTCTGGTGTGACAACCAACCCAGACAGTCAAGTAGAAAATGTTTGTTAACTAGAAGATAGAAGACTCTAAGTTGAACAGTTTGAATTTTAGATGCAAAGAGACGTATGTACTGTATGTTTTTAGGAATTAAGTTGAATATAGAACTGTTCCCACCCAACCCAGTCACTGGACGTTGGCATGACGATCTGCCTCAGGATGAATTAGTCCTGTGTCGTACTAAAGCTGAGGGCCTGTAATCACAGGCCGTCATCAGCAGGAGAGCAGCATGAGGACTCTTGAGGAGAGACTGCAGCTGGAGAAGAGAGCAGAGAGAGCGGTTACATTAGCCTTGCACACATTCAAGCACCCAGGGCATGTTCATTCATTCAAAATGCTATTCATGAGGTCACAGTCCATCAGCAAGAGACAGATGGAAGAAAACCCATCTGTAAGACAAAAAACAACAGAATATTGTGCTGGATGGACTACAAAAATTCTGCGGCACATCAATCATCAATAGGCTTCTCAAACTCAGGCATCTCAAACTTAGGCCCATAGTTTAAATACGGCCTGCAAGACAGTTTTTAGCGGCCCATGAAATGATTTTCAAATATCTTTATCACAGTAACTTGCAGCATTGATGGTAAGGGGCTACTATGGCTTGTTATACTTCATTTTAAAGCCTTATTGGAAAACAAGCATATAGTTAGTTAGTTATAGTGGTTAGTGGTATCAGTTAGTTATGCTTTATTTTACCCATAGAGAAATTTGTCCTCTGCATTTGACTGCTGCTAGGGCCTTTGTCAGGAGCTCTGGTATCTGTTTTAACATGCTAACTAAAATGTAATTAGTCCAATTCAATTCAATGTATTCTTGTATATCCCTAAATCACAACAGTAGTTGTCTCTGTCTTTGTCAGCACAGATCAGAGAATCTAACAGTTCAAACACATGAAATGCAATGATAAAAACGCGTTGCAGCCATTGGTCCAAGGGGCAGATGACCACTGTTCATAAATGTTGTTGCATGTCAAGCGTCCTGGATCATCCCCACTGTCTTTATTATCAGTCTTCCAATCCACTGAATCCAAACCATAGAAAATGATATCCAAACATAATTCGAGCAAGCTAGTTAATTTATACCACTTTGATACTATTGGTACTATTTACCCTCTAACTACAGTCTAACAATTGTGCATCTCCTGATCTGCAAAAGGATTATGGCAAACTTCAGAGAGCCTGAAATAGAATGATTGTTGGTTTAAATCGGGTAAATCCCAAAGAGAAGACCATTAATTGCATCCGTGTGCCTGTCCCTCCCTCATGCATTTCACCCGTAAATCTGTTTGTGTATTTATCCCGTCCCTCGCTCTTGTTGTCAGTGCAATGTCTTTCCCTGTACGTCTTGTTCCTGATTTTTTTTTTCTTAAATCTCACAATGATCCTGACCTGTGTGTGGGTGAGTGGTTGTGAACGAGAGGGTTTGGTGTATTTGTACAGGAACATCATGCACATTTACTGCAACAATTGTGGTTTGATAAATTGAAAGAAATAAATCCCATTTTATTCTCAGTTGTGCATATTTGAGTACTACTGTCACTTTGAACTGTGACAACATACATTTAGTCACAGAATACTGGATACCTGAGGGCTGCATGGTGGTGGAGTGGTTAGCACTGGGGTACTGGGTTTGAATACAAATCAGATCAGGGCGTGGTAGAGTGGAGTTGTCATTTTTTGTCTGTGTCTGCGTAGGTTTCCTCCAGGTGCTCTGGTTTCAACCAGTGGCTTCGGTGTCCTCCAGGTGCTCCAGTTTCCTCCAGGTGCACCGGTTTCCTCCAGGTGCTCTGGTTTCAACCAGTGGATTCGGTGTCCTCCAGGTGCTCCAGTTTCCTCCAGGTGCTCCAGTTTCCTCCAGGTGCTCCGGTTTCCTCCAGGTGCTCTGGTTTCCTCCAGGTGCTCTGGTTTCCTTCAGGTGCTCTGGTTTCCTTCAGGTGCTCCGGTTTTCTCCAGTGGCTCTGGTTTCTTCTATTTGAGTTGTTATGTTTTGTCTATGTCTGTGTAGGTTTCCTCCAGGTGCTCCGGTTTTCTCCAAGCGTTTCAGTTTCCTCCAAATGCTCCGATTTCCTCCTAGTGCTCCGGTTTCCTCCAGGTGCTTTTCCAACACATGTTTTTATTTACATTATGGACCTGACAATACACAACACATTACAAGTACATTTCAAGTAATTGTAATCCTGTGACACAAATGAAAAGGAGCAGAAAGAAGCAAAACATCTTTTGCCTGACCCTTTCTAATTCATTTACAAACTAAAACAAATAAACAATTTGACTTAGTATTTAGACTCAAGCCAAACTCCAAATCACTGAGAATTGACAAACGAAACAAAGATCTGTCGATAGATGTATGTTTCAGATGTGAACACCTGAAATCTTGAACAGTCTTCCTGAAAATGTGAGACAGGCCTCTTCTCTGACAATAGTCAAATCCAGATTACAACATTTCGGTATTTTGTTTGCTCACTCTTTTTAATGCACTGTGATTATTTATGATTTAAATAATGTGTGATTGTTTTGGTCAGCACTTTGGAGTAACCTTGCGTATGAACTGTGCTATACAAATAATACTGCCTTGCCTTTCCTTTGTGAAAGGCTCGTTCGCAGTGGTCCAAGGCAGGGGCATTAGAGGCAGAATCGCAGGTCTAAGCCGGGATTAGAGCGAGCTTGTATCTGGCTGAAGGATTTCTCTTTTAACCCTATGCTTCAGGCTTGTGTGCAGGGAGAGCAGGGGACAGGTGGATATCAACACTCAAATTCACATTTTCTATTCGGCCAATCCTTTCAACTCTTACAACTCAATGACAATAAGCAAAAAATGATGAAATATGAGACAGAAATTTTCCAATGGAGCAACGCCATTTAACTATATTTATTTATATATATATATATATTAATATATACTAACTATATATTTATACATTTCTTGTATCTTTTTAAAACAAGATTTTTTTTTCTTTGTCCCTTGTTTTAAGGCAGTCAACATGTGTTCAAATGAAGATACATTTGAACAATTTTTTTCTCAATTTTTGCAGTGTGGACATTGGTTATCTGCCCCACATGGACCAATGCCATACGTGTTTTTCATCATTGCATTTCTTGTGTTTGAAGTGATCGATTCTCTGATTTGTGTTGGCAAATCGACAGCTTTGTAAAGTCTTCCAATACTGTTGTGATTTAGGGCTATACAAAAATAAATTGAATTGAATTACAATTGTGTGAATAAGATTTTACATCTGCTGCTCTCATGTGCCCCTATTTTAGCCTCATTCAAAACTGGGAAAGATGATTGATTGATTTTATTTCAAGCTTATAAACAGGAATCAATTTATAGATTTAAAAGCTATTACATACAATACATGATAGAATTTTACATACATACATTAATGTATATATACATTTTTATTTTTATTATTTTTATTTATTTTCACTTTTAATTTATTTTCACTCCTGTTAAAGCTCAAAAAGGAGTGGGAAGAAGTCAAACTTATAGGCCCCCACCCCCTGTACCTATAATTCACTTTATACGGTTGCACCTACCCGCCCACACATACATACAGACATAGCCATACATATACAATATTCATACACACATATTATAGTTGTTCTTGTCATGTATAAATATGTAACCATACACACACACACAAATACAAAATATATATATATATATATATATATATATATATATATATATATATATATATATATATATATATATATATATATATATATATATATATATATATATATTATACGATACAAATTTTGAATCCAATCTGAAATACGTCATTTCGTATTTTGTTTAAGATTAGCGAGTCCAAGACAAGTTTCTCTCAGTGGACAATAATGTTTATTCTACTCTATTCTAATCTGGGCTTTAACCTTGCTATAACATAACACAACATATCTTGACATGACAGAAACACCTCTCTATTATGGCTCATACTCATGCATAGACAATCAAAGTGAAGTTAACATTCAGACACTGTAACAAAATCCATCAAACTCGTATTCCCACGTTTTTTTCGGAGAGAAAAGTTAAAAAGAGAAGACCGCCCTCACTCAGGCAATAAGCGCTCAGCCCAATGAGTCGAATACTGACGCAGAGGGATCTTTCTGACAAGCATTTTTCAAAACAAGACGGTCTGATGCGGTCTCATTTGTTAACAGCATTTTACATTAACAAAGCAAGGATCTTCCCCTGGTTTGGTTCCTGGTTTAGTCCGTGTTTCTTTTTTTTTCCTGGTCTGACTCCTTGTCCGGTCCCTGGTTTGGCCCTGGCTCCTCCCCCTGCGGCTCAGTCTTCACAGCCCGTCACTCCATCCCCGGGAGCCTCGGTGATGCCTTCCTCTGTTCGCGGACTGTAAAAACACGAGAAAAAAACATGATTTCTGGACACTGTACTTTTTAGTTTTGGACAAATGGATCCACACGGGAGCAGTCACGTGGGAACGCACTGTTTGGGACGCGCGTCGTGAGAAGGCTGCTTTCAGGTGAGCGCAGAGACTTTAGATGGAGCAAGCTGTTGATTTGTGATGTTATTGTTTTATACGTCAATTTAACCACATAAAAAGTTATTTAATTACGTAATGTTGATCTACTACTAGACACCAGAACTTTTATCTATCTATCTATCAAATCAAAACTTCAGTTAGAGTCCTTTATGGTTGTCAATTTGACCAAAGTACTTTACTATAAATTACATTAAATCCATTAAAACATTCATGCAAACAAGCAAAGAATAAAATTGTTAAAAAGCATTCAAAAGCAATAGAAAGGTGTCACTGGGCTAATGAGTGTATCTATCTATCTATCTATCTATCTATCTATCTATCTATCTATCCATCTATCTATCTATCTATCTATCTATCTATCTATCTATCCATCTATCTCTCTCTCTCTATGTATTGTTGTCGCTGTTCCTCACTGGTATGTGTTAATAATACACATCCTCTATATTATTTCTATTACTTTTTATGTTCTTACTGCTCATAAACCTGCATTTTTACTTCGGGTCAGCTCTCCTCTCCCCAGATATGGCTTGGCAATAAGTAAATTACTTTGTCTGAGATATACTGTATACTGTGGAACGACAGGCAAAATATAGCAATACAGTATATAGCTGTACCTTAGAAAAATACGGACCTTAAGTTACGTAGTGCAGCTTTATTTCAGTGTTATACTCATTTGATCTTCATTAATTTAAAGATACGCTTTGAATCTGTGCTCCGGTGATGGCCATGCGGCAGGAATACAGTCTCAAGCCTCTTAGTGGGGTTGGACGCTAAGAAGCAGAGAACAGATAATCTCCAGCAATATCAATAATTATACTCATTTAAGCTGAGGAGGAGAAACGGAGCCAAGCGTTTTTAAACACTGGACGCTTATGATACAACTACCACATGTATGAGGACATATGGATTAATGTGTGTGAGACCTGCTCTGTATATCACTGTATACTTACTGTCTAGAGAATTTTCAAGAGGTGTCACCAAGGTCTGACTTTTTTGCTTCGAAAACACAGAGAGTAAACTGTCAATGTAAACATGACAAAGCCCTTTCAATGTCTTGTTCATTTCTCAGAACAATTAGTACAAACTGCAAAACCATTGTTTATAAACTGTCAAATGGTTTAGTCATGTTTTCATTGTGACACTTTACTCTCTCTGTGTTATCCAGTGTAAAAAAGTCAGATTTTGGAGACACCTCCTGAAAAGGCTAAAGACAGAACTATACTCTGTACAGCTGAAAACTTCAGTAAAGTTAAATACTACTGTATTTAGTGAGGTAACTGAGTACAAGACACATATGCATGTATGTACTGTATCCATGTATATGTATGTATATATGTATGTAACAATAACATATACATATATGCGGTTTACAATTTAACAATTGTAATCTGCATTATGTCTCTGGTCTGTGAAAGGCGGTATATAAATAAAGATTACTTCTGTATGTATGTATGCATGTATGTGTGTATGTGTATGTATGCGTGTACAGTGGGGCAAAAAAGTATTTAGTCAGCCACCAATTGTGCAAGTTCTCCCACTTAAAATAATGACAGAGGTCTGTAATTTTCATCATTAGGTACACTTCAACTGTGAGAGACAGAATGTGAAAAAGAAAATCCAGGAATTTACGTTGTAGGATTTTAAAATAATGTATTTGTAAATTATGGTGGAAAATAAGTTTTTGGTCAATAAAAAAATTCAACACAATACTTTGTAATATAACCTTTGTTGGCAATAACAGAGGTCAAACGATTCCTATAGGTCTTTACCAGGTTTGCACACACAGTAGCTGGTATTTTGGCCCATTCCTCCATGCAGATCTTCTCGAGAGCAGTGATGTTTTGGGGCTGTCGCCGAGCAACATGGACTTTCAACTCCCTCCACAGATTTTCAATGGGGTTGAGGTCTGGAGACCTCTGTCATTATTTTCAGTGCACAATCGGTGGCTGGCTAAATACTTTTTTGCCCCACTGTATGTACAGTATGTGTGTATGTTTATTTATGTGTGTATGTGTTTCCCATATTTATTGCATTGTGCTCTTTGCAATTCTACAGCATTGTGCAAAAAAAAAAGTCACTTACTGTATTTACGTAGAACAAATAAGAAATATCATGATGGTAGAAATGTGATCAATGTAAACAAAACAACAGTACATATCACTGTAAACTTAAATTACATTATTTCTGGACTGCCACGCCTTCCTGTCTGTCATATTTTCATCTACATCACTGCATTTTCCCTTGAAGGCAGCAGATTTTGAAAGCTAGTTCAACAATGTTGTATGTAATGACTAAAGCAATGAAATGACGACTGTTTGTTTTTTATAGAGAATGACTCTTCAGCTTCATAAGTATGTTTCATTTTGACTGACAGGACAGAAGCAAATGATAGTGTTATAAAACAGCAGAGAATTGTATGAAAGTAACTGATACACGTCCAAAAGCATTTGACATTTGTTCAAAGGAGAAACTGCTACGATTATGTCACAAATGACTAAATGTTGTGGAGGTTGAACTAATAGTTGTGAGAACTTTCAATCTGATCTGAGAAAAGCACCAAAGTCACTGAAAAAAACCTGTACATTATTATTATAATTTATCTTGTGTTGTGTGCTCCTCATTCATACTGTTCTGTAATTAAATTCAATTCATTCTTTATTAAGAACACAGATAGAACTGGTTCATAGATAAAAAAAAAAAAATAATAATAATAATAATAATAATAATTGATTGATTGACCACTGTAAGTGGTCAATCAATCAACTTTTAATTCAGCTTCCTACACAAGGCCTCACAAAGCGTCTCACAAACCATATCACATCAGGCATAAATCCTAAACATTAAAATCTACATAAACATAAAAAATACAATTTAAAATTAAAAACAAACATTAACACAAGGAATATTAAAAACATAGAACATAAAATCACAAAAGTAACAAATAGCCACAGTGCATTAAAAGAGTAAAGATTAAATCCTATACAGATAAAATAAAACAGACACTGATGCAACACTGAAATTTCCCCTCTGTGGGGCGAATAAAGGATGTCTTCATCTTAATCTTTTTTTCCCAAAATGTTTTTATTAACATAAAAAGCATATTACATTGCAATTACACAGTAAACAATGTTTTCTGTAAATAAATGCACATCCATATTGCTCAATTACAGTCAATTAGCATCATCCTTTATGCATGAGTGCAAAAAAAAAAGAATAATAATAATAAAAAACCCCAAACAACAACCCCGTCTTCATCTTAATCTTAATATCGTAATCATCCAGCAACACTACATTATGCAGAAAAGAAAAATGATGCTTTCAAAGAGACGAGAGTTTGATTAGAGAATTCCTTTGAAACCCTATAAAGTGCCTCAGCGCTGTAATCCTCGTTCTACAGTCTGAGTCCTGGATCCCTGAGGTTTCTCACCTTTTGGGCTGAGATTTTCCTTGCAGATGCAGGAGGGTCAAACATAAGGACAGTGGTGATGATCCAGGACATTCAATAACATTTATGGACATTTATCAACACTTATGGACATTGGTCTAATGTTTTTATGAACCAATACCAATGTGTTCCTATTTCATTTCTTCTGTTTCTCTTCTCTCTCTTCTGATTCTCTGATCTGTGTTGGCAAATTCAACGCTCTTCAGAGAGAGCTATTGTTGTGATTTAGGGCTATACAAGAAGAAATTAAGTGGAATTCTAATCTATTTATTGTGATAGTCAATTAGTTGGATGACTATTCCTTTGAGTAGTGCATGAGTTGTTTAACTTTAGACCAGTGATGAATGTGGGTTGGAAGAGGCCACTCTCCAACCAAAGTTCAGAGGGAAGACTAGAGTTGTACGAAATTGTTTGTTTGATTAGAAATACATTTTATAGACATTAAGAGATTAAGAGGTCCTTTATTTGTCCCACAGTGGGGAAATTTCGGTGTTGCATCACAAGTTATAGAACAGTAGGAAAGAGAAGCACACGGCACACGTTAAGTGAACAATAGCTGTACTAGCATCAATAAGTATAAAATCTCTATCTTGAAAATAATAATAGATTTAATAATAATAATATTAATAATAGACCTTTTCACTTATTCTACAGAGAATACAGATCTCATGTTATTCAATCTCTATATGATTCAAAAACAATCGTGACAGCCCTAATCAGTTTGCATGTATAATACATAGAACTTTCAATGCAGTTGTAACTGTTTGATTTTATGATCTGTTGTTGGCAAATTGACAGCTTTGTAAAGTCCTCCAAGAAAACTACTGTTGGGATTACAGTCTATGGTTGGGATACAAAAATACATGGAATTGAATTGAACTATGAGGTTAAAATCAAATCAAGTCTATTTTTGTCCAGTCCAAAATCACAGCAGCAGTCGCCATGAAGGACTTTACAGAATTACTGATTTGCCAATAGCAGATTTGATAACACAACAATAAAAAATGTCACTGGTCAAGAAGGACAAGAGATAATTTTTTTTTTTTTTTTTTTTTTTTTTTTACATATTATAACATTTTTGTTGTTCTCGAATCTTTCCATAATGACTTTCTAAAGCTGGAAATGGAATTGGGTTTATTGAGAGTCTATAAAGACCTTTAGTATTTTTGCCAGTAGGAAATAGGAAATAGTGCTGGGATTATGATAGAGATCACATTATTCACATATACTTTTCTTTCTTGTTCCAAATATTGTTTTGTTTTATTCTTAAAACATTTTAACATAAATAGACTTACAGCATTCAGTTATATAAAAACGGTGAAAGATAATAAAGACAATACAACCGAATGTCAACCCCAGTGTCCACCCCCCACCCAGGGCAGAGAATAACACAAAATTCTAAAAGCATATAAAAACATAAGACAGAGACGCACACACACACACACACACATACACGCACACGCACACGCACACACACACACACACACACACACACACACACACGCACACGCATACATGCAGGCACACACACACG